GCATAACTGGCATCTACGAAACGAAGCCTGGACATTCATCTGTAAGCGAGCCACACCCATCGTTAGAGGAATATAGGCAGTGCTTGCCACCGTCCACCAGTCCATAGTTCACTTTCTCTTTGAATCTTCGAACAATCTTGACAAAAAGCTGCTACTTCCAAATGGGCCATAAGAACAGAGACGTCAATGCATCTAGCAAATGCGAGTAAATCGCTGTTGTATAGGTAGGCGGACAGTTTCTCTGTGCCGCCACATCTTGCTATAATAGAGTCTCGTATACATGTATCTATTTCATCCATCCATCTATGCAAAATAAGCCTTCGACAAAATACTTTGGGGGACTTTTTTCTCCATCTGTAAAACACCAATTCCTTGAGTATACTATATCCAAACGCCAACTCTTTTGCCTCTTCCAAGTGCATATATCTATACGTGTTGAGAAGAAAAACAAGCAAACCGTAGAAACAAAACCAGCCGAATAAGACAAGGAGAATAAGCAACGCTTCTTTACAGACGATCCAACAGGCCGCGGCTCTCGAGGAGCAAGATGATCTCATGCACAATAGAGCGGACGTTCTGCTTGGTCAGGTCAACAGTCAGCTCGGCCTTCTGAGGCGTCTCATAGGGGTCGTCGACACCGGTGAAGCCCTTGATCTCGCCGGCACGAGCTTTCTGGTAGATGCCCTTGCGGTCCGTCTTCTCGCAATGCTCGAGCGGCGTGGCAACGTGGACCAGGAAGAAGGGTCCAGACTTTTCAACAAGCTCTCGAGCGTGCTGGCGAGCATCCTCATATGGCGCAATAGGGGCAGCAATGACAGCAGCACCGGCCTTGGTTAGCTCAGAGGCAACAAAAGCGATGCGACCAATGTTTAGGCTTCGGTCCTGGCGGCTGAAGCCCAGCTCGGATGAGAGCTCGGCACGCACCGTCTCACCCAGCAGCATGGAAACGGGTCGGCCACCGCCCTGATTCAGCGTCGCCTGCAGGGCACGCGCGATCTGATCCTTGCCGCAGTTCTGGTATCCCGTCAGGAAGACGGTAAAACCCTTCTCACGCGGCAGTGGGTTCTGCTCTCGCAACACCTTGACCACCTCGGGGTAAGAGAACCACTCGGGAATCTCCTTACCCGTCCTCAGGCGGTTTCGCAGCTCCGTGCCGGAGATGTTCATGGTGCGGGTGCCCTCGGGGATCTCGTCGGCAGGCATATACTCGTCGCGGTCTGGGATGTAAATCATCTCCTGGAACTCGACCATCTTGATGCCGAGCTCCTCCTGGTGCTGCTGCACGAGGACCTGCGCATCATAAGGGCCGTAGTGGTCCTTGCCGTTCTTGTTCTTGCCGGGGCCGGCGTGGTCACGGCCGACGATGAAGTGAGTGGCACCGTGGTTCTTGCGGATGACGGCGTGCCACAGAGCCTCACGGGGACCACCCATTCGCATGGCCAGGGGCAGCAGAGCGAGAGCAGCCATGCCGTTGGGGTATCGGGGCAGCAGAGCGCGGTAGACGCGGACTCGGGTGAAGTGGTCGATGTCACCAGGCTTCGTCAGGCCGACAACGGGGTGGATGAGCACGTTGGCTTGCTGAGAACGAGCAGCCCGGACCGTCAGCTCACGGTGAGCGCGGTGCATGGGGTTTCGGGTCTGGAAGGCGACCACCTTTTGCCAGCCGAGCTTGTTGAAGTGGGATCGCAGCTCAGCAGGGGTGACTGTACAGAACCAACTGGTAATTAGTGATTTGCCCTTTCGACTTTGCACGTATACGTATTTCTAGAGGCAGAATGGAACATACATCGCAGATCGAGGAAGTCGTAGTGCTCGAGACGGCTGATGGCCTCGAGCTTTCCGCCAACGTAAAAGTCCTTGGCGACGTTGAAGAGGTGCTTGACGCCGGGATGGGTGTCGTCGTCACTGCCAAAGACCAGCTTGGCTTCCTGAACCCTGGATTGCGCGCGTAGTGTTAGCTCTCTGTCGAGGACGTTTGATTTTTTTTTTTTTTTTTTTTTTTTTGGCTGTCTGCTTGATAGGCCAATGGATCCTATCATGCAAATCACCAATTCTCATTCGCGTCGTCATTAGAGCTTACTTGTCTGGTCTGTACACATCCTCGACGGTCAGGATGGCCAGATCCCGGTCATCTCTGAAGTCGCGCAGCGTAATCTTTGCGCCCGGCTTGATGGAGAGCTCATCAATCTGTGCCTGGTCGACGTCAAGGGTGATGGGCATGCTGAAGAGCAAGCCATTCTCGAGGCGGTTCTCCTTGACGACTCGGTTGTAATCATTCTCGGTCATGAAACCTGCGTAACAAAAACAGTAGCGTCAGTAATCGCGGCCATATAAGTTGATTGCGCCTGTCTCTGCGCCTGTCTCTGCGCCTCTCTCTTTCGCCCCTCCCCTCATCGGCTTCATTTGCGCCAACGCTTGCGCCAACGCGGGGCACGTCGAATCCTTGCGATCCGCATTGTGCGCGGGCTTGGAGGGGCTTCGCGACTACCACTAACCCAACTGCGACGGCAAACAAACTGTGGCATACCTTCTAGGGGCGAGAAACCGCCATTGAGAATGAGCTCCAAGTCGCAGAGATGGCGCTCGGACAGCACAAGCGCAGGGAGAGTCTCGGCCTGCGCCAGCAGCTCGGCCTGGCGAGGCAGATCGCGGGCAAAGAGGTCCTTGAGGACGCCGCCGTGGGGAGAGTTGGCCATTGTGACGATGGTGGGGTGGTCAAGCTTGAGAGGATAAAATGGTGTCAACGGCACGGCCAGTCACGCAACAGGCTCTGATGAAAGGAGGGAAACGACAACGAAAGCAAGCAACGAGAGATTGCAAGCTCAGGGACGGCAAAAGAGCAAGAAGCGAGAACGACAAGATGGAAGAGTCACAAAGAAGGGAGATGAAGAGAGGGGAGAGGAGAAAAGAGGGAGAGGATGGATGGGGGCGGGCGTCTCAACGCCAGACTATAAATGCTTTTTCTCCTCTGGGGTCGTCTCGGAGATGCTAAAACGCCAACGATCCATGGCCCCGAAAAAGGTACATTTGCAATCTGAAGCGCAAATCTGTAGAGACACACCTGGCAGATTGGTGATCCCGTAAGCAGCCTTGCAGGAAGATCTGCCTGCTTCTCTCCTTCTATACACCACTCCCACCCCACCGGCTGCCCATGGGAAAACTGGCCCGTGGAGTCGCAAGTCGCAGCAGCTACAGTACATACTAAGCATTACTCGGCAAATGCTCCACAGAATAGGAAAAAAAGACTGGGAGCGGTCCACCACAGCCATAGAATGGCGGCATTTGGCTCGAGATTCTGGCGATGACGTGCTCGAGAGCGATGCTCCGGGTCCCGCATGGCTTGGAGGCCAGGCCCAATCAGCAACGAGCAGATGTCCGCAAAAGCCAGTCCGAGTATGAGGAAAGCAGAGCCAAAGGCCTTTTCCCTTCAACGGACGGGGTCTTTTTCTCCATTGAACAGGTTAGCCGCAATTGCGAAATCTCGGACCATCGGCGGTGGGTTCGTTGCCTCTCTGTCTCTTTTTTTTTAATCCCTCCTGTTCCTTTCCGTTTGAACTGAGGCTGAGGAGAGCGGCCTGCATACGTAAACCTGCTGTTGATCGTCACTAGAGATCAGACTGCTTTATATGTGTAGTCGACGGAACCCTAGCCGAACGCAAATGATCGACAGGGTGAAAGATTGGAGGATATTCGGTTCCATACGACAACTCATCACCAGCCATATACCTATGCAACTGAGTAGGTATCTGCCAATCTGTTCATGTCTCCAGTCCCCCAAGCCAGGATGATGACAAAACGATTTGGATGGAGGGAATTAAAAGAAGAGAAGCCCCAGTCCCGCCGACTAGCCACGGGCTAGGCACCGTCTAGTGTCTCCACGTCCTTCGGGCCATCGCTTGCTCTTGATTCTTTCTTCGCCTTCTGCAACGTTCGACCGCCTAAACCTTGGGTGGGAGGATTGGCCCAGATTTCACCACCGGACGCCTCGATTTCGCCATTTTCTTTTTCGGGAAGGCCCCCTGTTTGGGTGCTGGTTTTGGGGTGCGTTCCGTCGTAAAGTCACGCTTGCAGCTGCGGTTCGCCAGCGGCTCTCGGGCTCCCGGTGGATTCTTTTTTTTTCTTCGGGCTGTCGGCGGGCTGGTTGGATGTGAGAGATCGTTGGAGAGAGTGGTGATATGTACTGCTTCGATCCCATGCTGTCAGTATCTTTCTTTGCCGTAATTCTATGAGCTCTTGATCTATCCATACACGTCATCCATAGGAACTGTTGCAAGCGTGCTTGTGCGATGGCTGAGCATGTGCCCATAAGCAAATACGTATATGCGTGGCGATTTGACGTTGCACCTGCTAGTGCTGGACGGATATCCATGGCAGCAAAGCTGAAATTGTGATAGATTTGGAGGATGATGATGTTTAAGAAAGTCCTCTTGTCATCGCTAGGTTTATTCCTCTTGTCATCGCTAGGTTTATTCCGGACTCTTATCAGTCACACGAGTTTGCCAGCGTAAGGCAGTTGCTGCCGGGCCGTGGGGGAAGGATCTACTGCTCATCGCTCTGTGGTACGTACATGTACTCAATGTTCTTACTAAGTTAGGCAACGTCCAAGTTCAAGATTATCGCAACAAAAAGGTCCAAGTTCTATTTGTCTAACCAAGCCCAAAAGAAATAACATCTAGTCCCATAAAAAAAATTAACAAAAACCGTTTCAAATCCAAAAACTAACGTCCAAAATCTGGTAGAAATAACAAAAAGGAAGGTATACAGCAAAATCTCAGTATCGCTCAGTGAGCTGGTTTTGGTGTCAAGCAACAAAGAAACAAGCCCGAAAAAGAAACAAAACAAAACAAAAACAAAACGCAATAAAGAATTCATGTGAGTAAAACAAAGTCGCAAAGTGTCCACTTTCTGGCTGGGCCAAATAGCTGTCGTCTCATTTCACCATCCATGCCCATGTGCTGTTTACCTAGTAAGGCCAAGTAGTTGTCGTCTCGTCTCACTGCTCAAAGTGCAATTTCGTAAATCATGCACGAGATGGTGGCTGCGCTCCTGAGCGTCGCGTATTTAAGCCATATTACATTGTTGTCGGCTCTGCCTCGGTATCCCGCAACTCCCAAAACTTTGAGGCAGGGAATCTGGTTGGTATAGCCCCCACTGTTAAACTCCTTGCCGCAGCACATTTGGTCGTTCATGTCTCCTGGCCATTCTGCATACGCTGGTTATATTATTAGCATCATTCTCTGTAGTAAATGCTCTAACGGGGCGGTGGGAGGGGTATCTTAAACGTACAAACAGTTGTTGCGGGAGGCAACGTGAGTCCACTCCTGACTTGTGCGTTTTGCTCAAACCACAGGCAGATGACTCCGTCGAGATTGAATTGTCCCTCCTTTGTTCCGGCTATAACCCGATCCTTGGCACCAATTAGCTTGGCCAAGGACGCAATGTCGTCTCCGGGGATGGATGTTGCCAAGCGGCCATAACGGCGCTCGTCAATGTCTGGCATCTTCAAATCGCAATGACCAATGGGATGCAGGCTGTTGGTCGGCATATAAGTGCCTCCAATGAACAAGATCTTGATACCGAATCTTTGTCTCATGTTAGCACTTGCATAGGCATGCCATTTCTTTGTAGCATTGACTAGGAAGATCCTTTTGCCATGCATCTCACCCATTGCCCAGACGAGGTCGTCGTCGTTTCCGACTTTTATGCTCTGCACGCAATTGGGGCCGAGCAGTGGCACGGTATAGAGGTACTCGGTGAGATCGGAAATGATCCACCCAATGGGCCATTCAGCTGAAGAGCTTGCCATGATTAGATGCAAGAAGATTTTCGGGGGTCAGATCTGAGAGTTTAAGAGTCAGCGCTTCAAGAGTTGAGGCTACTTGCTGTTGTTAGAGAGGTGTCTGGAAGAGTTGATGAATGCCTGGATGGTGCGGAGGTTGCTGGAGTGCGTTGTGGTGTGTAGAAAGCTTGTGTTGTCTGGGTTGTTTCGAGATGGTTATCAGAAGGTCAGATCTGCCTCTTATTATAGTTTTTCGAGCATGCCTCAAGATGAGTATTGCTGTTGTGTATACTCTACGACAACGGAAACTGGTCCAAAAGGTCTTTGTTGTGCCGGATCTCAAGCATGTAAAGTCATATATCAAGTTCATTATTGTTCAAAGTATCCCCTTATAACAAATATTATGTTCAAAAATGCCTTCAAAGAGACAGATCATATCCCAAGACGAAATGTTCGTATCAAGTTCATCTCATTGAAAGTGGCTCTGCGTAACATTACGCTTACGAATATTGTCAAAAGAAAAACAAGTACGTCAATTGTCAAAAAGCTCTGTCTTTGTAATATCTCGTTCGAGAATGTCTTCAAAGAGGTGAAATGTAACAACTTCACATAACGAAACCGGCATTTCTTATTGAATCATGTTCACAGGACATTATCTCACTAAGAATGATGAACTCTACGCGCTGGGCTTTGTTTGAACTCTGTAAGACACGTATTGTTTGAACATGATTATGGCGAGTACAATGTAGAAATAACGCTTGGATAGGGCTTTTGGCATATAACGCAAATAAGAGTGCGTCAGACAACAAAGACAATTTATTTTCATCGGACGTTCATCGGTAAGCATCTTTGTCGCCTAATGCTCTTTTTGGGCAAAAACACCGGTATTGAGAGACATCAAAGGAAAAAAAAGATAAAAACGGCAAGCAACTGAGAATAAAATAGAACTCAAGGCATACATGTGATGGAAAGAAAGAAAACTGCATTCGGAGGAACAAATGAACGCCTAACTTTGTTATTCATGTGGTGCCTCCTCCTACCTTGAGTGTTGTATTACCATCTTAATACAAACACGCATGGTAAGCAATTCCATTGTTTGGGCGGTTTCACATATATTTATAGAAACATTTAGAGAAATGTGCTTGTTCTCGGAAATATTATTTAAAAATAAAACATCCTTAATGGCCCTGGTTCTCCGCCAAGGTAATCAACCAAGCCGCGGACTGCAATACACGTCGGCTTTGGGTTCACACAAATCATTGTTTGAGCAGCCCGACCATCTTTCACGGTGCAAGAACAATGATTTTCTTTCTAGACAAAACAAAAACCTCCCCCAGAAAACGCTGAACTAGTAGAGTGGAACTAGACATCAGTCGATGTACCCGTAACAAAAAGAAGCGTTTCCCTTCTGTCTCTTTGCTCCTTGCTTAACAAAGGGTATAGAAATAGCTCTCTAAAAAAACTGACTGACTTGAAAGCACCCCCTCGTTCTTTGATGATCCCCCTCATCATTTCATGGTGCTTTAAGCAGTTCAATGGCACCCCTCTCGGATTATGATTCATGCCAGTCTAAAAGACAGAGATTTTCCCACTCTTATAGACTCCGGTCTTGATACACAGGGCGGACATTGATGAAGTAGTTGGTGTGCCTGTGCTCTATGAGTATCTCGCGCTGAGTATCTCTCACGTACCTGTTGATGGCGTGTAGAAGGCGGTTTACGTATACACGAGCCATAGGTGTAACGTTGCTCTCCGCCATGAAATGTTTAAACTCATCCACGGAGGGAACAGGCATTTTCCAATCGCTCCAGAGTAGGTTGGGATGATGTGAAGACCTTTGACGTGCCAGCGTCCTTTTGTGTAAATTGAAGCGATATCTCTGAGAAATTGTTATCCTTTCACCACTTTCGCTATCCAGTGCTCCAGTTATGATATATGCCGCCATTGCACAGCCTTTCATTTTTTATATTGTTTTTACTTTTGGTATTCATTTTAGCCTTTTACCACTTTTCTTTGCTTCTATTTTTATGAGTGTTCAAGTTCTCAAATCCAAACGGTTTTTTTTTCTTCATGTGGATAGAAGACTGTTGATGTATCATTGGTGAATACAACAACAATAACAACAACAATCGACCAAATGCCTTACCAAGAGGGGCAGATAAGAAAGATGGGTGAAGAAAAAGAAGAATAAAAGGAATTCCGAAATGCGGCCAACACATGGTTGAATTGCTGTCACTTCAACGTTCTCTGCGGCGCGGGTCGGGCACTGTTGCCTCCAACGTCGGTAGGTGCTGGAGAACAGAGCAGACATGCCACGCAGCTACTTCATACGAATGGTCTACCGGTTGCTGAGATACGTCGGAGCGATGGCATAGGCCTGTAAATTTCAGGCATGGCAGGTCTTTGAAAGGTGGCGCACGGCAAATGTATGGTTCGAGAGATGGGTCCGAATAGTCATAAGCAGGGAAAGCTTTGTATATGCAGTCACTGGATGTATCTTGGCTGATGACCAAGTTTCTCACCACCGTCAGAAGGCTCTTTGCGTTCCTTATACTCTCCTTTCTAACCGAAACACTAAGTCTGCCTTCGACATTATAACAGTCAACCACGCAATGGTTGAAGCCAAGATACACGCCATTTGGTACAGTCGTAAAATGGCCGAGGTCGCTGACCATGCACATCCGAAGCTGCAGACCATTATTATTGAGGGCCTCAACCATTACCTCAGCCAAACGAGGTATGTTGCCTTTGTATCCAGCATTTGTCGGATAGGCCGCATGACTATTGACTTCTGTGTGAGTATATGGATACTGACGGGGGCCGGTAGAGGAATCTGTGGGCACGTCGTCTGTCCAGACGCCAATTGCAGCATCGGTCTGCAAGACTCGATGGCCAGCAACGAAAGCTTCATCGCTTGGGACGATCCAAGCAATCTCGTATGGCACTTGCATATCTCGCGCTCGCACTCGCGGCATAGTGGCGTCTTTTGAGGAAGGCGATGAGTATCGATTATTGCTGTGATTCTGTGCGTTGAAGTTTTCTGTTGGCAGAGGTTTGGGTATTTTGGAAGTTGGAGGATTGGTAAATTGCTTGGGTTGCTTAAAATGACCTCAGGACAGTGCTAGCATCTTTATATGTAAGTACAAGCGATGTATGTAAGAAACTATTATCATACTGCCGCCACTTTACAGCCTCTTTTAATCCTTTATTCTTACTGGATACATCTCTTATAGGTCGTTTATTCCTCCACCATTTAGTGTTCATCTCTTTGTAAAACAATGAGATTCAGAAAGCCAAATATCTTCTTATTTCGTATTCTAAAAGAAAACTGTTTAACCCAAGATTGGTGAATGAGATAAAAACAACAAAAACAACAACAAACATGCCAAGCAGGAAAAGTCACCGTCTATTCTATATTCCGATCCAAAACGTCCCAAAAGATGATGAAAACAAACAAAAATGCAACAACAACAACAACGACGACGACGACGACGACGACGACAAACTCAACCGACCTGCCCATCTAAGAGTGATCATTAAGAAAACATTGCCCTGTGGTAAAGATGGTTAAAGAAAAAAAGCAAGAATGGAAAGAAAACCTGTGCAGACGCGAAATTCCGAAGCCACTTGTCGTAAGCCCTCCGACGTCAACTATTCGTTCAATTCGCTATTGCCTCTAGTCGCTCGAGGTGCTCAAGAACACCCTTAATATGGAATCCCGCTACCGCAGACGAATTAGTTTGCGCTTCGTCAGACATGTCGCTCGCGTGGCACAGGCCCATAAACATCATGGATGGTAGGCCGAAGAAATCATATGAACGACAAATGTTCGTTTCGAGACTTGGGTCCCGGATATTGTAGAGAAACAAAGGTACAAACCTGTGGTGTTCCCCAAGTTGGGTATCTTGATGTCTCGCCGCCGCCTCGAGGAGGCGCTTTCCGTTCCTTTCAGCGTCAGGCATAATCAAGCTAGTAGCGAGAGGGGGAAATGAATCGAGTAGGCAGCTGTCGGTGGTAAGAGGTGGTGTGAGGAAACTGTAGTCCTCAATAGAAGCCAGACTGCTGATTAGAAACATGCGGATGTGCAGATGATTTCTCTTAAGCCTGTTTATCATGATATCAGCCAAGGCAGTGACATTCCTTTCATCTTCTGCATTCGCTAAATAAACGATGTGCCCGTTTATCTGATTGTGGTTAAACACATATTGGCGGGGGGGAGCAAAATCGGGGTGCTCTATGGTGGCGTCATTTCTCCAGAAGGAGTTCTCCTGAGCGGGCTGCAGAACTTGGAGGGCACCCTGGAAAGCCGACTGGTTGGTGGCGATCCAGGCAATGGCGTATGTCAGTCCCGGCATGATGGGCGGTCTTGGGAAGAGGTGATGGATTTTGTTTACGGCGGTGATTTCAAGGGTTGAAGTTCTCTGTTGGGAGACTGGGAGCTGTTTTTGTTTTGAGGCTGAAAACTCTTCTGTCGGTTGAGGTTTGGAAGCTTGAAAGCTGGAAAGTTGGGATTTTGATAAAACTGTCTTGGTTGCTGGGATTTGGATGGCCATTGAAAGCATCAAGCTTCTCTTTTATATACATGGCAAGATTGCAGACTCCGTATAATGAGAGAAGCAGATTTGATGGGTTGCATGTCACTTGCAAAGGAGCTCTCATTGAACTGGTCCAAGACTGATGCTAACAAGGCACTTGAACAAGGCAGGGTTAGAAGACACAAATCCAGAAGAAGAAAAGACGTACGAGACTTGTATTCTACGATGTGTGTTACTGGGCGAGATGAATACATTACTTATGCAGATGCTTTGTAGTTTACATTTTAACAAAACAGGCATTACACGCCCAGCACTCCTTTCTTGTATTCCGACAACAACGTACTTTGTAACACGGAATAACCTTTGTCCAAAGGCACAATAAACGTTGTTCAACCATAGCCTCAAGGACCAGTAATTGTCAAGAGGCAGAAGAAAGAAGAGGAAACAAAGGGTGCTAGGGAAATGTTTGGGGCCTCAACCTGCGAATACAATACGCGAAGATGGAGAAAGAAGGCAATAGCACCATATACTCCCTCCGAAAAACAAAAACAGCTTACTTTCATCCAAAAACTATCTCGAACATACTCCCTTTCATCCTTCCAATGTCAGCCGCACTCTCTTAGCCTGCTGGGGGGAAATGCAATCTTTGAACAATGTCTTTCACAGCACTTGTATATAATACTTGTAGTGTCGATATTTAGAGCTGCAATTGATTTATTGTACTCGCATGGCTCGCTCAAGAAGGCACTCGTGCCCTTGATTACATGTACCTACTGTACACCTTGACTTGTTGAGTGCCTCTACGCAACGCATGGATCCGATATATCCACCAGGGACATCGGCGCTGAATTGTATACAAGTTTAATATAGCCTTTATCGGGGTAGAGTAGAAGGCTGGTTACTGCACAAAGACACTGGCCTGCCTTCTGCCAACTCAACTCATGTCTTGAATATCTCTTCTTTTGTTCTAAAAGTCGCCTTCATATATGCCGTAAACGTCGATAACGCAGCCTTTTTCCAAATGTTCTCTTGACATTACACTGATTGCACTATTCACTTTTCCATTGATGAATGCGCCATGGCCACATACTACAAAGAGCGTCATAATATAACGATATGCCATGTAAGAAAATAAAATGCAGGTTTTGCATGTAATGATAGAGACAAGTCTACACAGTCTGGCATCATGAACATAGTTGGTTGACCTGTTTGTATGCCTAGCAAAGAATTTGTTGTATCCTTGATTGTTCTGTTCTGACAATATCAAGCAGTGAGTGAATCCTAGAGGACTTGGCCGCCATGACCAACGCAGTATGAAAGAAAGCAATCGGCAGCTGGTCATAGCCAAAGAATGGCGGAAAATTGATTGGACGAGAGCCGTACCTGTCTGAAGAGAGTTTGCTTTGAACAAGCCATTCAAGGAATACAAGAGCGAAGTATTGTCAGTTATTACCTGCGCAAAAGTTTGCATCATAAATGTGTCAATATCTTCGCGCGCAGCGTGCATGTTCTCACTTGTCATGTCTTGATCACTGGAAGTTGAAGCAAAAAGACGGCGAAACACGACATCAGCGAAGAAGAAAAGCAGACTCTGCTCTTTAGTAGAAGATAACACAACAAAGTGACTTCCTCCCTGCTGATCTAACAAAGCACGAAGCTGATATTTCAAAACGATGGCGCGGTTATCGGATAGAGAGGAGAAGCAGCTCATCCTCCACCCCGAGTTACTTCACAAAATTCTCATGGACTATTTAGAAAAAGATGACGATATTCTCAACTTCATCCTTGCAAGCAAAGTCTACTACGAGCAGTTTTACGACACTCTCCTCCTCCACAACGCGCTCCGTGGCGGATGTACGGCGTTAGAGGGGGCTGTGAAAACGGCCAACAAGGCCATGATGAAAAAGATACTCGAAATTCCAATCATAGAGACGGCTGCGCCTCGCAATATATGGCCAAGGATGGTCGACAGTGCTAGAGCCCACAAGGATCTGGTGAACCTTTTACTGCAGGTCGACTGCGTCCAGGCCAGCATCAACGAAGAAGCCCGCGAGATTAAAATCAAAGAAAGGGAGACTTGGAAAGAGCGCAAATTCAACGATTCATGGCTGCAGGTAATGTGGAACGCTATCAAGTCCGACCAAGTGGATGTGGTAGAGCTATTTCTTTCTCTCGGCCTGACAGTAGAGTCGTGCGATCAAGATGGCTCGACGGCTTTACACATAGCGGCTAAAGGCCGTGAAAAAGAGTCTCTCGTCCAACATTTGCTGGAAAAATATGGAGCTGATCCGAACAAACTTGCTGTGAAACTGCGTCCAGTTGGGCACTCGCCTCTTCGTCGGGCGGCTAAGAAAGGCAACACTAAAGTTGTCAAGCTGCTACTCGAATATGGCGCAGATCCCTGTTGTGGACAACCCGGGTCATTTTGTCAGGCTTTAGCAGCGGCAGTCGCAAAGGACCACAAGGATATTGTGGACGTGTTGTCGCGAGATGAGCGAATCGAGCTCAATGCACATGATGCTGGTGGCATACCAATCCTGAGCCGTGCTGTCATGAATGAGAAGACAGATATCGTGCAAATGTTGCTTGGAAATAAACGAATCGATCCAAACGTGACAACAGTCAATGGAAAATCCCCGCTAATGATTGCCGCCGAAGGTGTTGGTTTCCGTGCTGAAGTCAGCGGGTTGGCAATTACAAAGCTGCTTCTGTCTGACAAAAGGGTCGACATGTTCCTGAAGGATAACAATGGGTGGAATGCGCTGTTCCATGCCGCAAATTCTGGCCAACATGAAGTCTTGGAGATGTATCTGAAGGACGGCAGACTTGATCCAAACGAAGCCGATGTGAATCTAAATACACCAGTCTCATGCACTCGGATTAACAAGTGCCTCAAACTTCTCATCAATGATCCGAGGGTTGATCTGAACAAAGCGAATAATGAGGGCATGACACCGCTCATGCAAAACGTATCTTGGGAATGGAAAGGCAATGTTGAGCAGTTGTTAAACTCAGGCCGCGTCGATGTGAATCAGACAAACCACCAGGGGAACACGGCAATGATGATGGCAATTTCTAAGCCTGACCCCATGTCCGACATGGAAGTTCTTGCCTGCTGCGGCATAGTGCGGTGCATACTCCGTTCGGGACGAGTGAAGCTCGATCTGGTAAATGCAAATGGCGAAACAGCGCTGATGCTGGCCGTGAAAAAAGGAATGGAGAATGCTGCCAAGATGATTCTGGCCACAGGCCATTGCTTGATAGATATCAAAGATGCAAATGGAGTAACAATGATTGAATACGCCATCCAGAAAGACTCCAAGGGGATTGTAGACATGCTGCTGAAGACGGGCGAGGCGCAAGTGACACGGGAAATCATTGAGAGTGCTCAGTCGGAGGACATTCGGGACATGTTGGTGAGATACAAGGATATGATGGAGAAGAGAGCAGAGAGTTCTACTTTGGCCTGATGCTTTTCAGTAGATGGTGTGCAGAATGGAGATGATGGTTTACTATGCTGATGCCTAATATATATCAAGAATTAGATTGATATTAATAGAATTGTAGAAAAAGCTCACTAGACACTATCTATATTCTTGTTACCCTTCCCTGTTGCCCTGCTTAAGAGTGTGCTCACCAAGACACCGTAGAACCAATTGACAAATGACGGTAACATGCAGCGTCTTTTGTTTTCACTTCAAACATTATTTAAACGACAAAACGGTGGCTCCAACAGTCACCATGCCACGCCCTAACGTTTAATCATGACTCGAAATACACCGCGCCATCCACAAACGTGGGCTCTCGATCTTCATTGGAGACGACGAGTATAAACAGAGTAACTTCAGTCCTTGTGCCTGATGGTGGGGCCGAGGCTGGTCTCTCGGGCGAAGTCGATCGGTAACTACTTCTAAAAAGACATCGTTAGCTTCGAGACGATTATAAAGGGACGAGAGGGGGGAGGGTATAGAAGACTCACGACAAACAGGTCAAGCATTCTGAGACGGGAAGGGACTCTGAAATGAGCTCTCCACAGCCTGGGCAGTGAACGAGCTCGCACATGCTCGAGTTATTGGTGAGGAGGTAGCTAAGGTTGAAGATGGAAGGCCGCCGACTCCAATATGAAAGCTTGATAGGCTGAAAGCTTTTCACGGTATAGCTAAACGGAAGCTGCTCAGTGGCTCTGATCGACAACTTCAGTTTAGTGTTTGTTCAGTTTAGTGTTTGGCCTTGATCGACTATCCAAGCATTTTGCCGTTCTCTTCCGCTTTCTTTATACTTGCCGCATGCCCACCTTCGCTTCCCACTATGCCGAGCACTCTACTGGCGGCCCTCGAAGCGAAGCCTCGACAACGTTGCAGGCCTAGCAGCAGCCCAAGACAGGAGACATCCGTACACATCCGTATGCTCAGAAAAGGGGGTGCTCGAAGAGAGAGACATTTCCGAACATGGAAGAATAACGAACCTGCCAAGTCCCTTCATCCTCCATCTCGCCCTCAACAGACTCGTGGCCCTAGTTCCGCTTTCGACCGGTTTTGCGAGCCAATAGCAACAACTCATGAGCATGTTTCCCCTCTTTACTCCAGCCCCCCTCCCTGTGCTGAGAGATATGACACACGCTTCTCGAATCCCGTGATGGCCAAACCTTAATAGATGGCGAGAAATGTCACAGGCTGCAAGGTACGGCGGCAAGAGGCAAGGAACAGCGCCACGCTGCCCTCCAGGATCGGACCAAGATGAGGGCGTTGGAAGTGGTCATCGGAAACTAGCCGAGCGAAGCATCGCCAGTCTTGGTGGCGTTCTCCTTCATGCGGCTAATTTTACCCTGTTGAGAGCATCGTAAGCGACTAAAGTTGCGTTTTGATTCAACCTGCACTCCTGGTGTTAGAACGGGAGCATGTCCTCGCTATCCCCAGCATACGCACACTCTCATGTGAGTCAAGATTTTGTGAATCAGGTAGGCAACGCCATCACAGTCGGATTTGACTGTGATTGTTTCTTTTCACTGCCACATCACATGGAGTCAATGACGAATACAGGCAGGAAACAAGGAGAAAAAAGCGGCTGGACACGGCATCAGATAAAGAGACGAGCAGGAGAGCATCTCGTATGTGAATCCGCGCGTCTCGAACAGACAGCCTAAACTCTAACCGTGACTGACACCGCCAGCCAGTCAAAGCGCTCGATAGGCGAAGCTCAATCAAGATGGCCGCTGTCGCCTGTGACAGCGAAAAGAGGATGGAGGGGCATCGAGAGAACGGAGGGTTGTATTAGGCTGCATCCACCATGGCAGATGTGCGTATAGATCGGGGCTTGCCAGGTTTTGAATGGGGGGCGTGACTGCGGGTGATATTGGGCGAAGGAAACAAGGAAAAATCAAGGACGGCGCGAAGGAAGCAGATCTTGACGGCACTTTAGCTGCGCATCCGATTGGCTCGAGGTCTGATCAAGCGAAAGACGGGCTAAAAACAGAAGGAAAATGCAGACGTGAACGTCAAAGTCCAACCGGCAGGGGTTTCAAGCACAACACCACTGACTGCAGGCATCACAGCCCCCTTTGGTTGACGACGTCGCTGCAACCCTCCTTGGCCAACATGGATGGATGTGCACTGGAGCAGCTGCAGGTGCGGGTGCAGGTGCAGGGCGCACGAGCATCGCCCACAGGGCTGACCAACAGCTGAGCGGCAACCGGGGCCATCCCAGCGTCGATGAGCCGTGAATGAGCAACGATCAATCCATAATACACGATAAGATTACCCATAATTCTACTGAAGCAGTACTACCAGCACCTGTCAAAAGTCCTAGTCGGGCATACATGTGCCGAAAGACCCCAGATAGTTGGAGATCCGACGCCACTACCGGCACCTTTTTAGAGCTCGGACACTTTCTTACTGATGGCCCTCCGCAGAAGCGCCGCGATATGAGACGACGTGCTATACAGTTAGCGAACTGCTGCATGCATAGGCGTCATCTCGAGATACGCCATGTTTTGGGAAAGAAGAAAAGAAAAGCAAGAATCAGGCCATAGTCGCGTATTCCAAAGCTAAATTGAACGCTTTGACGCTATGACGCTTGAAAAGAGATGTAACGTTGATCCTCTTATGAATCCATAATCTTCAGAAAATGTAATATTGTGTGTATTTGGCTCCCCTCTGTATCTCTCTGTAACCAGTTACCAAAGACTACCTAGGCAGCTCAAGGAGGAAAGAAAGCAGAAAAAGTACTGGACCCAAGAGCTGATTTGCTCGGCCAAACGTGTCCTGTCTTGATATTCTTCTCCCCTTCTTCTCCGTCTTGCCTACCAGAACCCATCGGCTCGATTTCCCAAAATACAACGCGCCCGTATCAAAACTCCTCTTCTCAAATACCACCCAATGTACCTAGATAATCATCCATCGTCCCGTGTCTTTGTAAAAGACCCAAGCAATCCCATCCATCTATTATATTTGAGGGTGCTGTTATTCATCTTCAAATGCCCACACTAAACGTTTTTGCCCTTTTCTTTTTTTACCTTATCCCCCTCCTGCTCAAGCGGAAACGCACCAGCATAGTCGCAGATATTAAAACAAGAGATGAGAGAAAGTCAAATTAAAAATAACAAGGTATTCATCATACAGTTTTCTAAACAGAGGTTCGCGCTTGCTGATATCCTGTTGAGAAGAAGAAAAAGTAGAGGAGAAGAAGAAGAAAAGAGGGGAAGAAACGATGGTAGCCCGGTCGGTATAAGTTAAGAGTCAAGCGAGTATATCAATGATGTGTATATCATGCCGGTAAGTCTAATAGTAGATGGCTTCGATGAGGTAAAGAATGCCAAAGAATAAGAAGGCAACGGCACCGCCAACAGTAACTGCACACAGCCTTGGTTAGTCTTTTTCCTTACAAACAATTTGATTGCATCTGCATAGAGATGGGAGAGAAATTCTGCGGTTTTCAACTTACCAACTTTCAGACTGACGCGTCCGGCAATCGCACGACCACCAATGACCGCAACACCGGTGCAAATGGAATGTCCAGCCAAAGCACCGAGCGTAACCCACCAATAATCCTGTCCAGCAGCCATGGCAATGGTGGCAATCTGGCTTCGGTCTCCCCATTCGCCCAAAAAGGTCATGACAAAGGTTTGCACCCAGGCTGGGCTTAGGATAAGAGAGCAAAGGTTGCTGATACCACTGCCGACGCCGCTGAGGCTGCTTGATTTGCGAGAAGGGGCACGCGAGGGAGACTCAGAGGGCGATCTGGGAGAGGGGAATCTGGTCTTGCGTGAAGACCTGCCACCAAGACCCATCTCGAGGGCGTCACCAGAGATGGAGCCACCTCTTCGCTCAAGCTCCTTCTCCTTTTCAGCCAGCTCTTGCTCAACCTCGTGCATCTCGGCCGTAACACCTTCGTTGGGATCCATGTTCATTCCCTCCCGGAGCAGTCTGGCGCCAAAAACGAAGAATAGGCCTGCGGCGAGAAGACCAGTCAGACGCTTGGAAATCAGAGCGGGCACCGCATGTCCCAAGACAGCCGACAAGACAGTCATGACTGCGAGGGCTCCAAAGGCAGCAGAAAAGACGACCATGCGATCGTGCTTCATGGCCATGAGGGCGGCTACCAAAAAGGTCTTGTCGCCAACTTCGGAAACCAAGATCATGGTAAAGGACAGGATGAAAGAGTGGAAAGGTTGGTTGATGCCATCTTCGCCCTCAGAGTCCTCTGGCGCTGACGGTGACGAGCTTCCGGTCTTTGGCTTGGAGATGTCGAGATGGTCCTTCTTTGCGGAGTCGGGAATGGGCGGCGACAGCTGTTCGCGAGGCGTGTCGGGGAGATCACCCGGTTTCTGCCCGCGGTTGCGCGTCAGTGCATCAGATCATGGAACAATTATTGCATCGCTGCGGTATTGCGGTCCGCATCGCATAGAGATGGATGCATGCATCAATAAGGAGAGGGGGGTTAATGATAAATATGTCCTACCTCAAGTCCGGTGTAACCAGTGTCTTCGGTATCCTTATCGGATGAAGACTTTGGCTTTGACTTGTCCTTCTCAGACTCTGCCGGCTTGGTCTTGTCTTTGCCCTTGCCCTTTTCAATCTTCTTCTCCTCGCTGTGAGGCAGTGGCGGGTGTTCCTTGGGCGCTTCCGGCTGGTTCACCAGCTTCTCGCCAGTCTTGCCCTCGTGGGCCTTTCGGGCCTTGTCCTTCTCGGAGACGCCGCCCTCAGTGCCCGTGGTGCCGTCCTGAGGCTTCTCACGGTTCTTGTCGAACATGACGCCATCGTTGGATTCGGGAATCTTCTTGCCATCGACCACGGTGGGATCCTTGGGGCGCCCCTTGAGTGTGGGGAGGTCGTCTTCACCCTTGGTCTCGGTCGATACTTTGCCGTCGGTCTCGACAAAGGGTCCTAGGTGAGGCTTGCCATCTTTGCCGTCTACCGGCGCGTCTTTGGTGGGCACACCGATACGGCCCTTGAGGGTCGCGGCGTCGGCAAAGTCACCGGGGATGGTGTCTCTCTCGCTGTTGGCGACGGCAGCGGCAGCGGGGTCTGTCGCAAGGGCGCTGGCGATGGATGGAAGGAGGAGGAGGAGGAGAGGAGAATGCTTTGCTCGGAATTGCATTGCGGCGGCGGGGGGCTGAAGTGGAACAGCAGCCTGGTAGATGTCGTCGGATATCGGTAACTCAAGGGTCAATTGTTGCTCAATGCATCAGGATGCGATGCGGTCTCTGGTGAACACTGGGCCTTGTGCCAAGCGCAGGGCGGTGGAGCAGGGCTTAGCAACAGGCAATTTCGAGATGAGAAAAGAAGAGCGAAGAAAGTTGCAATGTTTCAATGGATGCGAGATGAGGAAAGGGGCGAATTGGTAGATGGAATGGCCGATTGAAGGTACGCAAGCTCGCGTGTCTTGGCTGGTGGATGCACACAGGCCGCTCGGAGAGGATTAACTCTGACGGAATCGATTTTCTTGGTGTCGCAAACGTGCAAAATGCAGCGGGCGAGAAGAGAATGGAAAAAAAAGATATAAGGGAGCGAGACGAAAGAAAATAGAAAAGAATTGTAAATAGCGAAGCGAAGAAAAAAAGGAGACCAGAGAAAGAGACGCCTTGTTGAGGAGGTAGGAAAAATGAATCCAAGCAGGCAGTGTTCGAGGCTCGCTGTCCTTTTTTTCCTAGCCCCTCCCAGTGCTTGAAAATGAAGTTCTAGGCTGCCAAACAGCACTGGATGCTTGCTGCGGGCGGTCCCTCCAGGTGCCTAGCGCTGCTACCGGCCGCTGCGCGAATCTGTTTTCCCCTTAAAATGCACCGGCGCCGACTCCATCACCTGCAATTTCGCGGCCTCTTCTTGGTCCAAAGCGGCGACCCCCTTGCAGAGAGGCGGTGGGGCCAGATCCACCCGGCCGGTACTTGGGTACTTCCAGACGCCCCTTGAGATACGAGCGCAGACGTCTTAGGCAAGCGAGCGACAAGCAGAGTGGGCTTTGGAGCTGGAAATAGACACGATCGAGTAAAAGACAACTCACATGCAGCTATACGAAGAATTGCGCGTATCATCATCTATCCAAGTTTATCAATTGCAGGGAATCAAATCCTTCCATACGTGAAAGATATGGCAGCGCATCGCCACAATAATTGGGCAGACAAAGAAAGAGCCTCTCGCCCTTGACTTCAAGTGCTGTCCCAGCGCCCAGATCGCACATATGATACAAGGACTCAAATACATCCTCAATTGAGCGGTACATGTTGCGATATAACCAAATTCATTGGCAAACAAGTAGTGTAAGAGCATTACCCGCATGTTCAAGCCCAGGAGTATTATAGGTAGGTACCCAGTAGAGGAAAGAGTACATGTAGCAGGCAGTCGCTTGGTACCTCTCCAAGAATCTCGCTACTAACTCGGTCGATTGTTTCCCTTATTTTGAGCTGGTGCCTGGAATTCTCTCGGCGCCCGTCGGATATCGTCGATCTGGGAATTGCTTTGCCAGGCGGCTTCGTGTTTTCTCCAATCCTTCCGAGCTGCCGGTTAGTTGAGCCTTGACATTGTCCACTGATGTCCGATACCTTTGACAGTAGAGTTCGGCGGTCTTCTGCTCTGAGTTGAAGGTATGAGTTTTCTATTCTGTTCCAGTATGCGCTCAGAGTCTCTGCCTTTCCCTCCCAAACGTGTGCACTTGTGCCATTAAATCATTGTGCAAGGCAGGATCTGGGTTCTTGAATCTCTCCACGAAAAGCGCTCCATTCCAATCGTGCTCATGCGCGATCATCCGCTGAGAGGTCCTCACACCACGTCAAAGTCTTTCCCCTCAGCCCCGATCCAAAAATTTGCCTCAGAACCATGCCGCAGCTCTCCGGGCTCACTCTCAAGATTGCCACATTTGACTGGCACATCTCGAGGTAGTTTAAAGGATCGCCGAGGAGTTTATATTCACGAGCTTGGAGGTAGCGATTGATAATAGTGTACCGATACACACTATATAAAAAAGCAAGCGGCATGTTTTCGCGAGTGACTGCGGTTTTGTATCGTTAAGAAGTACCTAACATTGTATTTCCTGGAAGTTATGATTAGTGAGCTGGTATCCCATAAACTGACCTTGCTGACAGTGATGAAACTTTAGTACTGAGGGCATTAATCCAAATTGAGAGAATGGTACAAGTGATTGTTCACAGCTTGCGAGTAATGATCGGCGCCAAATACGACCAACGACACTGGCCCTGACTGATGTCACACCTCATACACCCTCTTGATGCCACAGTTCACTCAACAACAACATACTTGCCTTCAACTTATTGTACGCTATAACTTCAGCGCGCATAGCACGAAGCTCGTTGGTTCAAATGTTTAAAGCTAGTGTGAACTGATCTACTGTATTGTTATTCATGTATAGGTAGTCATGGATAGAATGGTTAGGTAATTTTGATCCATAACTTAAAAGAACTCCACTGCGTTCATCCACAATAGCTTGGAGGCAGGTCTCAATGGAGATATAGCGATAGAGGTCCATTATATTGAGACCAAGCCTGTACTTCATCGCCACTCGTACGAACGGCAGCTGTAGCTGGTACGTTAGGGATTCGTGGTATCTAAGAGCAAGCCGTAGGATTTGTCGCTTGGGCAAGCCAGCAGAGAGAAAGGGTTGGTGGCTTACAACAGACTTGCATATAAGCGGAGAGTGTTCTGAGAGTTGAAAGTAGTTTCGGAGATATAGTAGTGGCAGCAGTAGACTGGATGCTATAGCAACGCTTGACTGTCGCCGGTCACATGATGCTCAAACCTAGATTCGATGCTGTCTTCATCCCAACTTTATTCTCAGAGTGAACTTAAGCCTTTCTTTTCTCTAAGTGTGATCTGATCATGTATAGTTAAGAAAGATGCCGCCGGACATTGAGTGTATCACGCTCTGTATTATGGATGGCCTTATCCTCGAAGCCCAATTCCCCTAAACACTGGAAAAAGGGAAGAAGGCAACCGTCGTGAAGCACAGCTGGGAATGTGACGATAACACCAGCCATGTCCCACCATCGATACGGAATCGCAAACCAGATAGATAGCATGAAGATAAATGGGAGACGACTATGTCTGAGAAATGGCCCTGAAGGATTTTTATACGAGGTCTCATCAAATCGTAGATGGGGAATGATAATTTTCATTTATAGATCCTCGATTATTCATGGTTACTTTGCATCGCTCATGGTACGCTCTACCTTTCATACGAGGTCGCATACCCATCCACATGAAGGCAGATTCATGGTTACATTTAAGCAAAAGCGCTGAGGGATTTCTTGTATGCGGCTTCACCAAATGGTCAGTGGTGAGTTAGGACGTATTTCATTTACTTCTGCTACTGCTCTTCGTGTTTGTCCTCCAAATCTCTCATATCCCAGCCCGTTTCACGTTCAGGTCCCTTTATTCTTTCATATCAAGGGTTGCATTGATTACACAAAAATACTGACTGTGTTTTCAGCAATACTTGGCGATCTTCTCTTGGAAAACCTTTGCCAAACCTTTGCCAAACCCTGGAAGAAAAGGAAAAAGGACAGTCAACATGATGTAAAACTGGGATTATGACAATAACGCTAGATCCTCTCAATCGCCCATGATAGGCTAAAGTTAAGGCGTCCAGCAAGTTTCAGAACAGCGCGAGGAAATTCTAGGTTTGTTTACTTCGCTCATCTTATAACAGCGACATGACAGAAGCTAGTACCATTCTCACAACTAGATCTGCAACTTGGTGTTAAGCTTGTGGGAGCATGTAACCACTTCCAAATATTCAAGTACACAGCCGTCAAGCTCAAGATATATCGGACCTAGAATTAGTTGGTCCATCATGAGACTTCTTTTGTGTTGCTGCTCCTCGCTAGTCATAACGTTGCAAAACTCCTCCCGCCATTTATTTCACGATGCTCCTTGGTTCCAAACAAGCGAAGGCAGTAAATGGAGCTGACATCCTCAAGTCAAGCTCCTTTGTCAAAACTAGAACATCGCTTGGAGCATGTGTAAAAGCCGGAACCTACCACCTAAGGTGGAGTACAATATAGAGCTTACGCTCATCGTGCGATCCCCAACGCTGTTCATTATATCTAGAGTCACTGTACCAAGTACGGCTAGATTAGAAAGGAGGGGCACACACATGAGATACTGTATAGGTGGAGAGAAGTCCTTTATAATAATTACTCCTCCATTCCCTGCTCTATGCGTGTCTCCGGTTTGCAGCACCACTTTTTGTCCTCCTGTTACATAAATCGCAAACCACTTCATAGGAAATTCTTATTCTATTAGGTACCCCATCCTCTATTATTAGCCCGTGTCCATCATCAAATTGTCCTCTAGGAATCACATCCATCCAACACGTTTGCACAGAAATGACGCACCGCCAGCAATGGCAGTTATTCCAGTAAAAGCAATAACTGGCCCATAGCCGCTTCCATATCCACCAAAAGCCTGCCCTTGCCACGGAGTTCCTTTGACCAAAACCTCGCTCAAAGGTCCCGACACCACGTTTCCAATGCCCCGGCCGGCTGCAAGGTATCCAAAGACTATGAACGGGTCAAAACTAGACCCTCCGCCCGAGGTATTTGCTTGGCTCGGCTTGGAAACTACCGTGCGGATGATTCCAGTCCAAGCACTGGTATAACTCCCCGCAAAGAGCCCGTATATGACACAAAAGATGTAGAGCACGGCCATGTTCGTCGCAAATCCCCACAGCAAGAAAGCTCCCACTGCCGCGCCCACTGCCGATATCATGAGGCATGTCGTAACATGGAATCGGTCGACAAGCATTCCCATAGCGATACACCCGAAAACCGACGCAACGTTGACGGCTAGCACTGTCAAAGCAGCAGGGAATGCCTCGGAGCCGAGAATGGAGGTGGCAAAGGACGGCAGATAGAGGCCCGGCATGAAGAACCCGAGAGCCTCGACTATGTTTGCCAATTGAAACAGGAGAAACGAGCGATCGAAGAGAAAGCTCAGCTTCGACAGCTGGAACTCTACACCAGTTGTTATCGGGAGCCGTGGCTTGACAAAGTAGACAACCGGAATCGTCAAAACGAACAGGGCAACAGCCCAGATGCGCAACGTGGTTCGCAGTCCATATCGTCCCAGCAGGAATTCGAGCAGCATCGGGATCGCAAATCCGCCAATACCCGTGCCGGACCACATCACGCCAAAGGCCAGACCTTTGCGCTTAACGAACCACTCGTCCATGTACAGGATGCAAGGGCCGTAACAAATCGAACCACCGATGGCGAAGAGTACGCCCTGAGTCAAAATAAGATGCCAGACAGTCTGCGAGAAGGAGCTCAGTGCGAGAGCTATGCACATGATAAGGAGGCCTGCGGTTGGACCATATCGATTCTGCTTGGGATACATTCGCATGAGGGGAAAGACGAATGGGGCGGATAAGTACATGGTTCCCTATGACGATGACGATGATGACTATTAGCACGAGGGCCTCGGCGAAGAGGATGAAGAAAGGCGAAGAGCAATCTAACCATTGCAGTTGTACCGATAGCGGCAATATTCGAAGAGCCCATGAATGGCGCATGGGTGCTATAATAGTTTTGAAAAATACCAAAGGCAAAAGGAAAACCTGGTTATCTGTTAGCCAACATGGTGTTGAGTCGATAGGGCCATATCTTAAACTGACCCCAGACTAGGCACTCGATGATGGTGCAGGCAGCCAAGAACAGCATTGCATCTCGACCTGTGTCGACGGGGGGGAGCGAGACTCCATGTTCGTTTTCCGAGTCGATGTCGATATCTGGAGAGAGAGAAGAGTCGCCGGGTGTGGTGGTATCGAGCTGGATGGACTCTTCCTGCGGATAATGCTCCAAGGAAGCCCGTCCCATTGTGATACGCTAGGTCGAATTGGCCTTTGCCTGAAACGTGACAAATATGTAGTACGAGCAATGTGACAGATGATCGAAACGACGACAATTCTTTTCTGGAATGGGGAGGACGGCAATTCTTATTCTTCGACACTTCGATGCTTCGTCTTCCTCGTTTTCGAGCGTCTGTTCACTAATCATTAAATACGAAGCTCAGGACTCCACAAAGGCTTAAGCCCAACGCGCCCTATTCTTGAAGCGCGGTGTACAAAACCCCACGCTAGGGGGTTTATCGCCCAGATTGCATGGACCTTATCTGCTTGTCGGAAAGAGCCCGTTGCTGAGCGTTCAAAGGGCAAAATATATTCCATTCCTGGTATGCTGCTGGTGGGGTTACCTGTCCATCAAACAGCGGCTTCCGTAGTAGAATGGCGTACAAACGATTTGATCAAGTCCCATCCATATATGATATCTTGAGGATTACATAGGTACACATCCCGTCTTTGTACTGCCAGTAGTTTCGGGTCTTTGCGGCTGCGGTTACTGACCCCGTATTCGCGGCTCCGACCTGTGGGTTTTAAGATGCAGATACCCACTGTTCGTCGATCTCGCTGCCCGCTGCATTGCCATTCTACGCCTGAGCTGTGGGGGTAGAGACAGACACTATAGTAGCATAGACACGTTCAGAGGGAGGACCAGAGACGAAGTCAAGCGTGGCAGCCTACGGGGACGATTGGTGAACACACAAAGACAAAGAGTTGGGAAATGTTGAATTTCTTTATTCTTTTCCACAAAGCCCAAAGGGTTACAAGCTCTATGAAGCCAGGATTAGATTCGTTACCAAACTGTGCTAGCTGCCTCCTACGCTCATCGCTCTCTAAATATCTAATTGCTGGATATTGGGGTGTCATATAGAATCGACAGGCGACGAGAAAAGGGGCGATGATCGAAAGACCGCAAAAAGAGACCGTGCTCTTGCAAATATATCGCACCTAGCAATCCATTTCTGTGCATTTCAGTGTGTTGCTCCTATTAGATGGGACGAGATGTACGACGGTGTTCGTCATAGAAACGGAACCTCGCTCTATTGAGAATGTCGGAAACAGGATACATACGCATAGCAAGATAGGTATTGAGGCCAATCGTCTTCAGCACAGTTTCGCAAGTGACGTCTTCGCTGTCGGGAAACCTGCAAATAGAGGTGTGGTCGCCGTAAATGGAAAAATGCTTCTCCCAGTATTCGTGTCTGACGTTGCACATGGTATCCTCCTTCTCGACCAGCTTGAAGGTAGAAACAAATCTACGTGTCAGCTGCTGGACTGACTGATGTTGAATATTGGCCAGGGAGGGGGCAAAGAAAGGGCTTACAAGTTGCTTTCCACGGTACCAGTTGCATCCATGGAAATTGATGACTAGGCGTCTGCGGTAGAGGCGTCCTCGCTCTTCAAGAGGCGCGATACGCGCTACGTGCTCGTTGCAGGCCTTGTCAAGCATATCCAAGACGTCGGGAGGAGTGGGACGGACAGCAGCACTGGCTATGTTGCGCACAGACTTGGCAACGTTGTGATGGGGAGTGTTGAAGAAGACTAGGAGTCGAGTAAAATGATCGATGGAGATGATGGTGCCGGACTTGTCCAAGTGAGCCTTGGCAAGCGCCTATGATTGTTGATTCAGCAGCCCCAAAGGTTGGACGGGCAGTCAGCCTGTCAAAAAGCAATAGTGTCTTTGTATACTAACCTCCTTGACAATAAGTCCGCCTACATCATGGCAGATGAAGATTAGTGGTCTTGTAGGGTCATCCTTTCTCTTTTCCATGAGAAGGCGGAGAAGGCGGTCGGCATGCTTGGTGAATTGCGTGTCTTCGTCGTTAACAGAAAGACCGTCGTTGTAGGAGAAGAGCATGACGCGACAGTGTTTGTTGAAGCAGCTGGGAAGAATGTCTCTGGGCCAGACTTTGCCCCGGTGAGACCAGGTGTCTCTGTGAACAAGATAGCGAGCCTCAATATTGAGGCCGTGAACGGCGACGACACTAAACGGGCACAACGAAGGAACGAGTTAGCGGCATAGAGAAATCTATTATCAGAGATAGTAGAACACAAATCTATCACCCGATTGCGGTAGGTAGACAGATGGCTCTTAGGAAAAAAGGAATGCCAAACCTTGAAGGAGATTTCGCGCGGGATAGAGGCACTTACTCGACGTCTGCGCTGCGCATGATAGCAAAGGGTCCAGGTTGGGGAAACACAGTTTCGAGATCGTACTGTTCCATGTGCTCTGAAAATATCATAGGCATGGTCAATACTTTGCGCAAAGGCCGTAGATGATACACAGGATTGAAATTTCTTTTCGTTTTCTTTCGTTTTCTTACGTTTTTCTTCTTGTTCTGGAGCGAAATCGGAGGTGGGATAGTAGAGTAGGCAGAGAAAAAAAGATGAGCAGGGAAGAAGTGGAAGGGGGGAGAGGAAGAAAGTGTCAAGAAATTGTAACTGCTGTGTTCAATACTTTCTGCTTGCTCGCACTTGCGTCTGCAGCTGCTGCAGCAGCCCCGGTTACAGCTGATCGGGTTCGCTTTCTATAGCTTTTTCAGACACCCAAGAGCGATAACAGAATTGTTATTGCTAATGGCTGCCTTGAATCACTGTTCAAAAAGCAAAAAAAGAAAGGAAAAGAAAAGAAAAAAATGGCCCCGGAATCTCGACTCTATTTATGTCACAAAGCAGTCTTTGAGGCAGCCCTTGAACAACACGAGGCTAATGTGATGTTGTCAGCCTCACAGTTGCGCACCCTCATACGCCATTTATTTATGTGGCTGGAAGAGATGAGTTACACAAGAGCTGCAGTTGATTAGGAGAGAGTAGAGAAGAGAAAATAAGAGGAGAGGAGAGGAGAGGAGAGGAGAAGAGAGGATGAGTGGAAGGACGAAACGCGTGCGATCCCGAAATGCAGGCTTCCGTGAGCAGATGTAGCCAGTCACCGCAAAGTCAAGGTATACTCGAGATGATGAGGAGAACTGAAGAACAGAGAACAGAGGACAGGAGGGGGGTGAATGGGAGTGCGAGCAGACGACAAGTAAGTTCGTTCGTTTCCTGTTGGACTGCCACATGAGTCTCAATCTGGTTACCAAATTGCTCGAACCGAGTATCAATACTACCAAGCAGGATATTAGACGTAGCCGATCAACAAAAAGTCTGGACGAGATCAATGCACCTGGTCTAAATGCCGAGCATCGAGGAGAACGAACGGCTTGGCTCTGTCGGTGCCTGTATCTGTGGATGTTACAATGGCCACACTAGCAAGCAGCGAACGCTCAGACGTGTAACAGAATATCGCTGCTACCTTCTTCCACGCTGCGTATCAACGGAGAAGCCGTCTTGCCATTTCTCCCCTCTCTTCTCAACGGTTCGAATTGTGTTTCTAGTATACAGCAACGATTATGAACAGAAGTGAAGTTATCAGAGCACGTAGATGCTCCATTGTTCTATCTATCCAAGCGCCCAAATGGGATCCCAACAGATGCCTAACAAATGCCGGTCCATGCAGCTGCTGAGGAGTTGTTTCCCCCTCTTTGGCTCGTTCGTCTGAGCAAAAGATACAAAGGCGCGTGGGCATGTCATTGTGTTACACAGCTTATGCGCCCGGCACCAAAAGACTCCTCTCAGTGTGGCAGGGTTAGATTTGTGCTGCCGCATCTGTGGGGTGCTCCCCATCTATCTCGTCCAGTCCTCGTCGTTTGTCTCGGGCATGGAAACTTTGGCCACAAATCAGTTCTCGGCGGGAGGAGACGTCTGTGCTCGTTGTCCGGCACAGCGTGAACCTTGCTTGCACCACCATCTCGAGTAGCTTTCGAGGGCGTCTAGTGAACGAGAGCAATAATCAATGCGGTATTATGGCAATGCCGTCCTTTCCCCGGGTAACAGAGTCATACACGGTGCTTTGGGTCTGTGTTCTGCGAACAGGCACGGAGAATAACCAGTGGGTATGTGCCTGACAGAGCACAGAGCTACCTTACTTTGTTGATGGAGATTGAGGCACAAAGCGCTAGAGCCCAATATGCTTTGGTCCACGGCACTTGCAGTCCATTGCTGGCTGGCTACTGGCTGCCGGGTATCTGACAGATGCGATTCGTATGATGTGATGCTGGCACGCAGCATTCTTACAGGTTATCACAGTGCATGTTATTTGGCTTACATGGTGTCTGGGGTGGCCTGGGCATAGATTCACATGAGAGAGCAGCAGCACAGCACAGTGAGACAGGTGATCGTTACAAGAGCAGATGAGATCAGAGATGTCCGTCCACAGCACGACGAAAATCCGAGTCATAGGGGCGCTCACGCTGAGCTGGACAGGCCCAAGAGGCCCAAGGACCTGGAGCTAATAGCTTGTAGCGGCAGCTTGTAGCCCCCACAAAAGCTTCCCAGCTCCAAGCTGAGTCGGCTCACTTTGGCTGTCACTAAATCGGCAGTCATCCGATCGGCCCAAAATCTGGATCCTCGGAAACTAACTTCTTTTCAACCTCAGTCCACGCTCTCATCACCTCCTACTTCCCGCCCGGTAGCCCAGCTATCCACAGGTGTGTACCTCTCAATTGAAATTCAACGACCAACGACTATACTACGAGGTGAGAGCTCGCAATGGGACAGGAAGAGACATAGATCAGGGTGGTGTGCACGACTAATGACTTGACAGGGGAGGGATACGGCTTCGGAGCACAGGCGGCGGCTTCCGCAATCAACCACCACGTCTTGATTTCATTTTGCTTTTTGTTTGTCTCTGGCCCCAATCTCAGCCGCTCACGGCGCACTGCATTCTTGCCGCACTATCCCTGCGCCAAGGAGACTGGAAATGGACGCGCCACTGATTCGAGTCGGACATGGCCTTCGGGCGGCGGCTTCAGCAGCAGGACCAGCAGCATCGGGCCTGGCTTCACGGTCAATATCGGGTGCTTCGAGATCTGCAATCTGCCATCCGTCGAGGGCCACAGCAGTGGCTGCAACTGTCGCCGCTCGCCATTTCTCTGCGCTCAACCGGCCACCGCCCAAGTATCCAGGCCATGTGCCTCTGACCAAGATAGAGCAGGCCGGCATGGCCATTGGATCCGGCATCATGTCGCTGTTCAACCCTTACCGCGCAGGTACGTGTTATGGTTTTTTATTTCTATTTCCAATTCGGTTTACTTGCTTCTTTTTCCTTCTTCCCCTGGAGTGCTACACACAGCTGGCGCGATGCAATGCCGGTTTCCTGTTCTCTCATTTCCCCTTTGGCTTTCCCTGCTACCCGCCGCCAATGTCCCACACTAGTAGAGGAAAGCAAACAAATAGTCTAGGGTTCCGCTTTTGCAAGACTCGTATGACAAAATTTGATTACCTCCTCTATCAAGAACGCCGGATATCAAGGTTTCTGCCAGAAGCCAAGCTCAATGAGGCTGTAGAGGGGTGACGTGAGTGAGACGGTCACTTGAACAAAGCCCCAAGTGCCAGGGGGGCCAAGAGATGGAGGCCAGATGCAAATCAAACACATGATGGATACGAGTCCTCAGCTGATGCGGAATCTTGCAGATCTCATAGCCACCCTGGGTGAGGCCACGGCAACCCCCTACTTCATCTACCGCCTCCGCGACGCCATGCTCGCACACCCCACAGGCCGTCGCATCCTTCGCCTGCGGCCTCGCATCAGCTCCAAGACGCTGTCCATCCCGGCCCTGCGCGCGCTGCCCGCAAACTCCGTGGGCCGCGCCTATGTCGAGTGGCTGGACCGTGAGGGGGTGTCTCCAGACACGCGCTCTGCGGTCAAGTACATTGACGACGAGGAATGTGCCTACGTAATGCAGCGGTACCGCGAGTGCCATGATTTTTACCACGCCCTGACGGGTCTGCCCACGGTCAGAGAGGGCGAGGTGGCGCTCAAGGCGTTTGAATTCGCCAACACGCTGCTGCCTATGACGGGCCTCAGCATGCTGGCCGTGGCAACGCTGAAGCCGGCCGAGAGGCGACGCTTTTTCGGCGTGTACATGCCGTGGGCGGTTAAGAACGGCGTAAGGAGCAAGGACATTATCAATGTCTTTTGGGAGGAGGAGCTGGAGAGGGATGTGGACGACCTGAGGAGAGAGCTGGGCATTGAGCAGCCGCCGGACCTGAGAGCAATTCGCAAGCGGGAGAAGGAAGAGAAGAGGCGATTGAAGGAGATGAGAGCCCAGGGTTTCTGATGTTGATACTTGTGGCACAGCTACCAAAGCTGTACATCTAGAGTTATGCCGCTGGAGCAGCTCTCATGACAATGTATAAGTACATGTACTTTTAGTGTTTGATAACACCATTTACAGTTCAACCCTCGTTAAGCTGTATATACTTGGTCTCTCCTGATTTCCTTTGTTTCTCTCTTTCTACATATGTAATTATACAACTCCAACTATGTGCCAGATAGAAATTAAGAAAGAAATAGGTATTCGCAATCAACATCGTATGAATAAAACAAAAAAACTTGAACTAAAAAAAATTTGAAAATTTTGTCACATCCGCTTAAAGATCCAACAAATCGTCATCGTCATCATCCCAGCCCTTGCGCCTGCTCACAACAATCTTTTCGTGCTGCTCGTTATCCGCCACTGCCGTCAACAGCTCCTTGAGCTGCTCCTCGGTCACTTTCTGCCGCAGCTGGCCGGTCTGTGCCAGTGTAATCAGGCGGTTCTCGACATCGGTTGCGCGCTGCTCCTTGACGAGGCGGATGCGTCCGAGGCGGTCCGCAGCTTCGGGGTGCAGGATCTGGTTGAGGATTTGCTGTCGGGCTTCTTCGGCTTGTCTAAGAGGGGGGGATTAGCTGTTTTAGCTTTGAATCTGGCTATGTATGCTATTTTTTTCGATGTCAAGGCGTTATAAATAGTAAAACTTACTGTCTCTGCCTCTCTTCTTGGCCCGAACCGTTGCCAGAGCGAGCTCCTCCTCCGCCGCCGCCGCCGCCACCTCCTTGGGCCTTGAGCTGCTCGAGACGAGCTTTTCGGATCTGTAATTGTGTTTGTTGAGTATGAGAGCTTTGCTTAACGCAGGAATACTGGGGGGTAGCAAGAGACTGACCTGTTCCAGCTCTGATTCGTCCATGTCGGGAGAGAGCTGCTGGCAATTTGTTTACTTTTCAAAGGGACTGCCTGGCCAAGATCGTCATAGCAGGCTGCGGGGCATTGGGGCATTGGCTTTGAGTTTTGGAGGGCCAGCTTGGGGCACGTGATCAAGATGTGTACATGTATCTTCTCGGCGTCAATTCGTCTAGATGAAAGTTTGAAAGAGGAAATATTTCGATCTTGATTCAAAGGATCAACAGTTGAATGCATCTAAAATATATGCTGGTCATTGATTTTAGGAGGATGATCACGGTGCCAGCATCATCAAGCAATGGCTGCTGATCGATTTTGAGACGATGAGATTGGCGTTGGGGAACAGTCAGCAATTTGCACAACAAAGAACACCATAGACTCCATCAATGCCATTGAACATTTCAACTAGTCGCACATTGTTTTATTCGCGTGTCATCGCAAAAGCAACATCAAGCCATTGCCTCTTGATCGAGTCCAAAATGAAAGAACGTTCTGCAGTCCTCTCAGTGGCACGGTGTGCAAAAGACTCCTGCTCTTCAGCCAAGGCTTCAATCTTACATGTACTCACCAACCAAACCACCACATGCAGCAACTTCGTTTCGATTGCGCAGCAGTTTACTTTACCAAACAAAGTCTATTACCATATGCTATGAACAGCTGATAAGACAATCGCGACTGACCTCCACCCAAACCCTCTTGCCCTACGGATGATAATCGGAGCCAAATAATTACAAGATTCTCGGTTCATACTCCAATTCTGGGTATTACGTTGCGCTACATATACTCGTACATAAACAGTTACTAACCCATTTCCGAGATTTCTCAGCACACAACTTCCTCGTGCTCGCTACCAGGGGGAACCCGGTACTCATCAAAGCCAACATAGCACTCCATATCCACACAATATTTTTTTCTTCGATTGATTCGCAAACGTAGCTCATAATCAGCTGCCACTTCCTGATCAGATTGAACGATCCAAAGAAACATACCCAAAGCTCATTGACCTCGGCACATCAATAAATCTGCCAGCTCTGTCCTCGGAACGACGATTGGACGGACCTTGCTGCGTGCTTGAGCCAGCTGCTCAAAGGCGTAGGCTATCTTGAATAGCTTTTCCTCCTGAAAACTGGTGCCGATGAAAGAAATCCCATAGGGCTTATTGGGGGCCGAGTCAATCGAGCCGTCATCGCTGGCAACGATGGGTCTTTCCGGCCCCAGCTTTGAAAAGGGCACCGTGATTGCACAAATATTACCCATCCGCGAACAGAGCGTGGCAGCAACGTGCGGCCATGTAGCAACAGCGTCAAGCTCATATTTCTTGAAAGCAGTCAAAAGGCCTAAATCGTCCAAGTATCCCTGCTCATGCTCAGGCACCTGGCTTGTCGGCGTCTTGTTATTTTCCCTCTCGAGGGCTTCTTTGGAAGCGTTTGTTTGACAACAGGCGTGTGATCCATATGGTTTATCTCGAGTACCGCCACGGGAATCCATCGCTGAATACATGTTACTCGGGGTCTTTCTAGAATGGCAAAGATGCCTAGGAGAGTCGAGCGAGAAATCAAGGGCACAACGACGATGATGAGCGCTATCCGAGTCCGTGTTTACAGCTCCATTGAGCATGATGCCGTCGACTATTGTAGCTTCGGCCTTGCGCATCATATCCAAGGCCTGGTTGAATTTATCTACTGACAAGTCGTAGGTACAGATTTGGAGAAACCAAGCCAGCGATCGCAAGAAACCGATTCTCATTCCTCGCAGGCCGTCTTCCCTGCAAGCTGCCACGTAATTAGGATAGATGTCAAAGGGAATTCTTGTCGTGTAAGGATCCCATCCATCTCGCCCCATGATGGCCTTCATCAAATACGCCGCGTCTCTGACGGTTCGGGCCATCGTACCAACCGACTCAAGTCTCAGCGTGTCGACCAAATCCTGTCTCAACACCTGGGGAATTGCCAGATGCCGTGACGTTAGTCCAACCGTCGGTTTGAAGCCAACCACATTGCTCTGGCTTGCTGGCATGATGATGGAGCCATCAGTATCAGTGGCCACAGATGCCCACGCAAGGCCTATTGAAGCTCCCACTGCGCAACCACCACAGGAACCCTTTGCGACCTGCCCCTCGAAATATGCGCCTCTGGTGCAACCTCCGTGTGGAGTCCATTTCTTTGCATTGTTTGTATAGCTGTGGTGACGGAGAGCAGGCCACTCGGTCCTTGTTCTCCCAAGGATGATAGCTCCAGCGCCACGCAGCTTGCGTACTACTGTGCTGTCTTCGGGAACGCGGGTTCCTATTACGCCGTGCAAACTGACTGTGGTTGGCATATTGTCATCTATTACAAAGGTATTTTTGATCAAGACTGGAATGCCATGCAGAGGGCCGAGCCTGGAGAGCTGAGAACGATTCCTCATCTGATCCCTTTGGTTATCAAGTTGAATAGCAGTCACATGGGCGTCAGGGTTGATTTGCGTGACAGCATCCAATAGGGGATTGACCTGCTGGATTCGACGAACATAGGCTTGAACAAGCTGAAGGCTGGTGAAGTGGTCGGCATCTAGCCCAGTTCGCAGCTCCTCAAGTGTCGCGTCCAGGAGCAGCGGCGGCGCATAAGGTGCGGCAGGGATGTTGAAGTTGTTATTCATGATTAGGTGTGTTCTAAGTGAATAGGCCTGAGACAAGAGATTGGGAAATGGTAAAGACTTTGAGAAATTATAAGAGCAATCTTTTGCGAGTTACTAACGGACGAGAGTGTGTAAAGTGATAGAGAAAAAGAAGTCAAGATTCGCTGGATACAAACGTTTTGACTTGTTTGGAGTGATGAGCTGAAGACCCAATATTGGGTAGCACACGGAAGGGAAGCAAACATTGACTACATCATTATAACAAGCGTTATCAATTTTGCAATCTCAATTTGAGACATCAATCAGGCTATACAAGGGTGGACGACTCAACGGTCCTTGCTTTCGTGTAATACGCTCGAAGCCGACATTACTACCTATTCATTGCTCAGTTCCAAAGATATCTTACATGGCCATGTTGTTGCCATAATTTTTGACGTGCTTCGATAGCATACTTCTACAACACTCAATTTCAAGCCTGTATTTCACATGGCTAAAAATTGAGTTGTTCCCGCACATGTGAAGGTGATTCTCGTTTCACCTTCTTGCTATTCGACTGCTGGCTACGTCTCTACAATACTTACTACTTTGTATCCTAGCGAGAAAGGTTTTTCTAAAACGATTGTAGGCATTTTCTGACTCGAAATAACACAGATTCGCACTGGAGAGTTCCATCACATGGAAATTTCCACCACGGCTGCTCTGAAGTACCTAAATCGAGTATCTGGTACTTTGTCCTAGCAGGCCTGGTTACACAAATACCGTGCACGTTCTGGCTCATGACATCTAGACCCTTATTTTGAGGGTGGGATTGGACGCCACCAATTTACCTCTATGCAGCCGGTCAACACTCATCACACCGGTTACGTTCCTCGAATCCTTCTCCTTTATTCGACTTAGCCGCCGATGAGAGGAAGTGTGGAGGCGCCGTACACCATCTTGAATCGAATCATGCTGCGTGCATCGAACAACTGGGATAAACAGGCTCGGCAAATCTTGATAAACTTGCGGAGAGCCATCATGCCTCCACGCCTCTAAGTTGTCAAATCCATTTTTGGAAATATGCGCTGATCAGCTGGGACAGGTGTGGTATACACAGCCTGATAGTGTCCTTACTCACGGCATTCAGCGCCTGGGAGCCGGTTCTAGCCCCTCAGGAGGATTTGCCTTGGCATATGGGATGTCTTTCTTTAGATCAGGTTTGAAATATTGGAGCAAACAAGCAAAAGAACTGCCCAAAGCGTCACTCGCCTCACTTTCCTGCCCCATTTCTACCCAATCATCCAAGACCGAATGGAGCCTCTGCCGCTAGGACTGAAGATGATTTGGTGAGACATGAGGGCGAGAGCGGTTTTCGAACGCAATATTGCGTGCTGAATAGGTCAGCTCTGACTATGCCGTCAGATTCTGCCTTGGCTAACCGTCAGGACCGCAACTGAAATGCAGCTGAATACTGTCATATGGGGTCTCTGACACAAAAATAGGCACTGCCAGGTCTTACTGCTGTTGAAGTAGTAGTACATACAGCAAATCACTGGTCTCCCCTTGCTCAAAGTCGGCTTTGACAGAGCGTATCAGCGATACGGGTTTACGATTGTCTGGGAATCAATGCTGCCACCACCTCTCCGTTCACATACTCACATGTAGATATATGGGTCTTTGACAACACCGACAGCGTTTCTTGATGGAATACCTTTGAGAGAAATTATATGCGTGTTCATATACACGAGCTTTTAGACTTCAAAAAAAGTACAACTTGGTGGGAAAGGGCCACATTGATGATATTTCATCAACTTGGTGGTTAATGGGCACTATCTAGGACACTTTTGATGGGCACATCCGTCCGCCTTGCTTTTGCTCAGGCTCTCCCAGAAACTCATACCGTATCCATAGGACTGTCTCTGTCTCTTCCGCTGGTACAGCTGACTGAGCTCATTTCCGAAAAGAAATCGTCTGACATAAGAAAAAGCAATTCTCTGCTCGTATACTGACCACTCAAAATCCCAGATGGCTATCTATCGCAGACTCAAAAACTAAGACATACATAAAAAGAAAAAAGAAAATCCCAGGCGGTGTGTCATTTACAAGATAAGGGAAACGCGCCACTTCTCCGGATTTGCGTTGCCCGGTCTCAAAAATCCCCAAAATCCTCAGCCAGAGTCGCTTGATCCTCATTGCTCGATAAAGATGAAAATCTTGCTCCCTGAATAAGACCGGCCAGCCCCAGAGAGGGATAAGCGTATAGCCCCCACGATGAAAATCGGATATGTTTGTCTTTGGCGCCTGAACCAAGGATGAGCTAACAGACGCCAGGTCTCAGTTGAACCCGGTATCTGGCGTACAATAACATGACAGCCAGCCACTTTCTGGAGATATGTCAGGAAACCGGGTTTTCTCCTTGACCCCTTCATCTGCCCTGCTCTTTTTTTCTTTTTTTTTTCTTTTTTTCCTGTGCCCCTTCTTTCTCCAAAAACAATACCAAATTGAGCAATTGCGACGGCCGCAGGCAGCGTGTGCCAGAACGCCTTCTTCTTGCTACAGGGGTTTAGTTTTTGTTCACGAGGCTCTGGATGGGGCAGTGGTCTTGTGTTTCTCACGATCGGGGCACTGCTATTGGCGTAGATAGACGTCAGTGGCACTTTTTTTTCACACACTTACACGAAAAGTTCCAGGGTCATGCAGCTGTGACACTTTTGCTCAAGGAAATGCGCATAGGGGTACGAGTGGTGGCGGCAGTGAAGAGCGAGCTGCATGATAGAGCATGCCTATTTCACTATATGTTAAGATTTGTGGAGTACTACTATATGCTGCGTACCTTACCTAGATGAAATTACTTAGGAAACTTTACGCAGTAGTATCTGTCTTGGGATTCGTTATGCAATAATATCTGTGTTTGGTGGTCCTAGCGGTAGAAATGTCTTTGCCTAGGGTCCATTTCCTAGCAAATAGCAGAAAGGTGCTGGCAGGGCATTGACATACGCAGACTGACACACTGATCAGTTTCTCTCGAATTATCCGGGTGGCCCTGTGTTGTAAGTTGTAGTATATTCCGTATTCCGTATAAACTGTCTCTCTAATTCTAGCAAATTTCATTACGCAGTCAACTCAAAGGGAATCAGAGTTTGTCCCTCTCAAGATGCTGCTCCTCAGATAGTGTTCGAGTGTTCGAGGAGGCCATGGTTCTCATAATCATCATGGCCTGAGAAACCTGGTTCTATGGTATCAGATCATCCTATCTACTAGTGATGTCTCGAAAATGGTGCGCCCTAGTTAGCTCTCTTCCTATGTATTTCCCTTTCGATCAGATTCTAACTTCTATACTCTCACGTACGCCCACCTTCATCGGCTGACTAAAGAGTCGATGAGGCCAGTCGAATAGGGCCTGTGGTCTTCCACTGCATGCTGCAGCGCAAAACATGCAATAAGTGGATCATCGGTATACAGCCGCAGCTGGATCCATCTGCCCCTGCTCCGCGGATCCAATCAGGCTCCAGTGCTGAGACTCTGAATGTATCGGCCGCGCTCGACGTTGGCGTAGGAATAGGGCTTTGATTCCGGTGGGAACGTGCCATCGGCCGCCCAAAGGTCAATGAGGTACTGCATGGGCTCCAACTCGGCAGGCTGCAGCATATCGAGCGTGGTTGCGGTCAGGAGGAAGTGGCTGAAGCAGCTGTTGAGCTGCTTCTCGAGATTGAGGTGGTAGAAGGGCTCGACGAAGTGATCCCAGTAGAGGTGAGCGTAGACGCGGAAAATCTGGCGGAAAATGAGCTGACAGGTACTGGCCAATTGCTTGGGGAAGCCGCTTCTGCCTCCAAACCAGTCGTCGGTGCCGCCGAGCTGCTGGATGGTAGTGCTGGTGTACTCTGGATGCGTGGCAAACGACACCGTGTCTGGGTCGGTCGGGAACAGCGCAGGGTCGTCAATCTTGCCAGACATCCACCGCTGCATGAGACTCATGTACTCGTAGGCCGGCAGCTCCACCGGCTCGTGGTTTTTGTTGAGCCAGGTATAGGAGTGGTTCCTATATCCGCATGCGCGCATGCATTAGCCAAGGCACTCACTCCACTTGCTTCTGGGGGGCAGCGATAGGTTGTTGTAGGCTGTAGAAATGGGGATGATGGTGAAACTTACTTGCCAGCAGACATCTTGGGACATGTCATGGGATTGCAGATGCTGGTGCCATCGTCTTCCTTTTCGTGAAGAATTCTGACAAAGTTCCAGAGGTTACGGTAGTGCTCGACCACTGTTGTTACTAGCTGTTAGAATATACCATTGCTTCTCTTTTTGCTTTTACACCCTCTCGTCCTCTCCACAGGCTTTCCGTCTCTATCTCTTCCTCATCTCAAGGGTTTGATTGATATTGGTATTGGAGGCGTACCCTGGTGTGCTACCCACTCGCCATGCTCAACGGTCTTTGGCCGAGCGCTTAGCGTCATGAAGTTTCCCTTGACAATGTGTTTGGCGCAGGCGGTGTTGAGCCATAGCGGCAGCGGCCGGGGGATGTCGAGGGGCGTAGGAACCACTGCGTCTATTGACTTTGCAAAGGACAAGGACTCGGGCAGAGACACCTTTGGCGCTGCGGAGCTGGACACGGAGCTGAATGACGGGTGGTGGTCCGCGGCGGCTGCAGATCGGGAAGAGGCAGCAGCCTGTGCTTGCGCCTGGGCGTGAGCTGAAGCCTCCGAGGCCGTCGGGCTCTTGACGGGATGCCCTGCCTTGGCAGAGGTTCCCCGAATCTGGGCTTTTCTGGATTCGGAACACGCGACGTTAGCAAACACACGGACAAACAATCAAAGCGGCTGACAGGAAGCGCTGGCTGCTGCTGTGGAATCGCAACCGCAATAGCAGCAGGGACACGTAATCGACTGGAAGCCACGCAGACGAGGACCCAATCAAAACAGAAGCAGCGAAACAGCAGCAGCGACAGTCGGGCTTTTGCTTACATTCCAGAGAAGAGGTTGGACATTGCGCGTGAGGTGGTGTGGTGTGGTGGTACAGCAGCAGCGCAGCTTTTGGAGTAAACAGTGTGAGCTTGTGATTATTGGCGGGGGGTTTTAGATGGGCAAGGGAAGAAAGACGGGCCATCCATAGGCTGGATTCCCCTGAGCACCGCAGCGCTAGAATGCAGGGGGCATAGAGTGTTCTTAGATAAGCAGCGGTCCCCGAATTAGGAGACTTTGATGGCTGGCTGGACACTAAGACGGGCGGGAAGATCCAACAGCAGCGGGACCTAGCACTATTGCAGCATATCCGCTTTTAGAGCAGGTCACTAGAGGCTGTTGTAGTAATGTAGTAGCTGGCAGCTCGGTGACGGGCAACTCAAGTTGGACTGACTCTGGAGCTACAGGACGAGATGCTAACAAGTGACGGGCGGTAAAAGACTAAATTTGGATTTTCAGAGACAGACGGCTGGGCATAGAGTAGGTATCATCCATCATAGCGTATAGAGCACTGCTGGCACACACAGCTTCTCACCGCGCGGGTGTCACAGCATCGTTTCAAGGGACTGTCATTTTCCAAAACCATCCAAGCCTGCATTCTTAGTCAGTGTACGTAGTATACTGGTGTAATACCGCTAAGAGCTGCCATCTCTTGTCGCCGCCCACCTACGGAATGCCGTGCTGCTACCAGGCACCGAGTACTATGTTGTTACTCAAAGTGAGCAGAGACCAGGAAGTTGTCGAGAAGGACGGGGTCTCTGCTAATATGCGTTATGCATACAGCATACTGTGGTTTTCTGCCTTAATAGGTACAAATACTATTTGATTTTCTGAGATGCAGCTACACTCTGCTGTTGGATGAGCTTTGTTGCCGCAGTAATATCGAGAGGAACGGCTGATTAAGTCGGGATTGATAGCCAATAGACTAGGTATCTAGATGTCCCAGAAACAAGAAGCCAATGAACCCCGCAAATGAGGCATCTAGGCTCACTCACATGAAAATGTACATCCAGCATGGCCCGAAATCATGCAAAAGCTGGCCTATGCAAATTCCCTGCACGTTTCGGGCATCCTTGATATGAGGTACCAGCCCAGCGTTAATCTGCCGACCGGTGAGAGCAAAAAGGTCAATGCCATTGGGCAGCAACTACAAGTACTACGCACTACTGGCGATAGTGCTGTGCCACTCCAGCCACCGGTAGGCTAAATAAAGAAACAAACTGGAGAAATGTGACGGAAGAGAATATTATCATGCCGGTTTCAGTCATCTCGAAAAAGAAGAAATCAAATCCTCTTCTAGTCCTTTATGTCTCCCTGCAGCCTGTAGCTTTTTTTGCCTCTAATAGTGCCGCCGCGATTCATTTACACGGCCACGCCAGAAATATTCCAATCGGAATGACTCTTGTTCCACGCTGTACACCCACCACTCGGTCGAGAGGGTGGCCGGAGGATTGGACCGGTGAGAGACGTACATATGCAGGTGGGAGAGGATTGATGCACGTCGAGCCCTGTCTGTGTCAAAGCGTCCATTGCCACACTCTGTCAATATTGCTGCGGTGGTAGTTTAGCCGTGCGTAATACTGCTGGTAGGTAATCTCTACCCAGTGGTAGCAGCGTTGATTACACCTGTAACGAGACACTTGACTCGTTCACTGGCTGCATGCGCAATGTATTGCAATACAGGTATGATGAGATGATGTCTGCTCAACCGGCTGCTGCAATTTGGGCCACTACGTCTAGACCTGCCCAGCCCAGGTTACATGCACACAATGCCAATCATATGTAGGGTCCGGCTTGAAGCGTGGGGCGCCTGGAAGATGATGCTGTAGCCTTTGAGACCTACAGTCTCTACATGTAGATACGACCTTGAAGCGAGAGGAATGTCGCCCTGCGTCTGTAAATGGTTGCAGCACCCCCAGTAAGGGCGGACGGAGACGGCGGAGAAAAGAAAAAGAAAAAGCATGGCTCCCACGCATCCTCTTCTCATTGCGGGCATCTCTAGTGTCGGCCAACCCACTCTCAGTTTCCCGTCTCGCATATGCTTTCGCCTTCGTGACGTTATCCGGGGCTCTCGTATCCCATTTCTCCCTGCAGCTGGGAAAAGTTGGGCTGCATGGCGACCTGCATGAGCGCTGGCTGCTTGATCCGAAGGGAACCCGCTTTGGAGTCCACACCGGTCACGGACTGCATGCAACTGGGTCGCCCGAAGAGGGTCAATTGGCTAAAGAGTGCCGGACGAAAAGACTAGGTATCCGTAACTGGTGCTGTATAGGGAGGAAGAGGAACTGCTGGTACATGAGAGGAGAGGAGAGGAGAGGAGAGGAGAGGGGAAAGAGGAGAAGATCTCGCTACGTGCCTCATCGGAGACGCTCGCAGGCGGGGCTTCTTGTTTTAGAGATAGGTATTTTCGTGCGAGACAGTCGAGGCGTGTATGTGCAAGTGCAGTATGTTGCATGTACCTGGCTGCACAGTCTGTGAATATTGGGGCGGCACGGCTGATTGGTGCAAGGCGAAGCTGAGAAGTGGCGAGCAGCAGAGTGAGATGGTAAGATGATGGTGATGGTGATGCTGTTGCTGCTGATAGAGACTGGTGAATGACAGAGAGATGTCAGTGGCTATTTGCTACATGACGCAACGGATGGACTTTTCCTAATCTTACAGGTATCGATATCAAATATCGGTTGATTCCACGCGTCAATACTGATACACGGCGCCTTATATGCAGATTTGAATTCATCCAGCACCGCATATTGCTGCAATACTGGGTAGATACGCCAGGAACCAGCCAGACTGGGCGTGCTCTCAAGTACACACGCCCACAAACCACAAAGTGCTAGCCAAAGCCACTGTGCTGATAACGGCCCCTCCCTTTTCTCGAGTTTTGGCTTTTGCCTTGTACTGCAACGGTCTCGAGCCAAGTACCCGCTACCAGATCTCCCCCGCCAATCTCAGATCCCTGACTAAGCGCTTCAAGTACCGTCTACCTGCCGCCCGCCGCGTCCCACTCCAGCAGAAACATCGACGCGTGCAGGTTGTCTGTCTGTCACACTCACCAGGTCCAAAACTCAACATCATGGAACTGCATTTCACGACACCGTGAGGATTGGCCTCTTCCGCACGGCATACGGAGGTACCGCCCACGAGCCCAGTCCCGGCGTCCAGCCTCCCCCACGGCCCGCATCTGGGGTTCAACAGCAGCTCTAAAACGTGCAGCTCTCACGGCCAATCCTCCGCCTGTCCATTGCATCTCGTGCTATCCGTCGCCGTTTTCTTGCTGTGCTCTGTGCCTCTCCACCGCTCTTGCTGCTGCTTTGGCTATTTGTGTTCTGTGCCATACATTGCATCCCCGATCATCGGCTGCCTGTGTCCAATTGAACTCCCTGGTCAATCGCTTTCGAACTGCGCATCTCGTTCTTCTCTCAGTCCTCCCGGTCTCGCCAGCTTTTAGTAAGAGAGAGGAAGAGAGGGATCCGTATCGTCTATAAAAGGCGAATATCTGCTTCACAAGCGAGACAAGAAGAAAAGGAAACCAACCGCATCTCCCAGGGCCGCGCCGCGACTCCTACTCTGTCCTCTCTCTCCAGCAACATTTCTCTGTTGTTGTAGAGACAGGAAATCTATTTCTTCCTGCTTCTTTTTCCACCGGCTTCACGCAAACCGTCTGTCCATGTCAGAGTATTATCAGCTCAACTACCAACTCAACAACGATCCAGACAACTATCTTCTGGAATTTCACCCTTCGGGACCCAGCTTTAACCACTACCGCCGAGAGCTTCGCAGGATCCAGAACGAGAACAAGCCACCATACGCAGAGACGGAAAACGGGCTCTCAGAGGACGACTCTACTCCTGAGCCCTACTCTCCACCCTCCACCTCCCCTTCTCCCCCCTCCAGCGTTGCCACCATGGACCTCGAAATCATGGACATGGGCAGAGATGTCGACGAAACACCGGTTCATACGCCGGTACAGCGGCGGGCCAGGAGTCTCGAACCCTCCATCAGTCGTCTATCCATGAACACGCCCAACGAGCGTTATCGCCAGAATCCCCATTACCCCCATTCCTCCATCAACACCCCGGCTCCTCCCACTCCTCATGCCATGGCCGCTCGCAGAGCCCTTGAAGACCGCCGCATGGCCATGTTTACGCCAGGTCGAACCCGTCGCCAGAGCCTCAGAGAGCAAAGGGAGACGCCCATGCTGATCCTACGCAACCTTGGTCGGGCTCTGGCTCCCACCAGCAAAGCCATTGATTCTTCCTCCTCTCCTGAAAAGCCCTCCCCTAATGGCATTGGCAACAGAGGAGCCAGCGGCAGCGCAAGGAGCGCTGGTCGACGCAATAGCGACGATGACGACGAGCTTCCTATTGATAGGCCCCGACTGTCCTTGCCCATTGACGAAGGCTCTTCAGATGACTTGCAGCCTCCTCACTCTTCCATCTTGGACGACCCGTCGAACATTACCGTCCAGTCTGTCGAGCTGCCTCGTCGAGCCACCAGCGAGGGTCCGCCAAGGCGCAGCTTTGGCTATCTGGGAGACAGCGACGTCACTCCGTGGGACGACATCTATGGAAATGATGATACCAACCCTGATCCCTTTGCGTATCCTCCTGGCATCGCGCCTCATGCTCCTACAGACCCTGAAATTGCGGACCTTCAGTAAGTATACGATTGCTCTGCTTCAGTGAACCGGAACTTCCTTTTCTAACACTTTCTGATTTCAGATTTCCCCCTGGGGTTGGTCGTGAAAGTGACTTTAGCCTTGACATGCCATCGGGTCTGAGCGACAATGAGCAGACCACCACCTTCTATATGAGGTCTCCTGTCGTTGACACCGTTGAAGCTGTCCCAGAGGATGAGGATGCTTCTAGTTCCAGCAGTGATTCCGATGACGTCCCGCTCATGGAGGGGCGACAATCCGAAAAGGATAGGCTGCTAGAGCAGGCCACAGAGCCAGAAGAACAACAAGGCGAGCAACCACTTGAGCAACCATCTGAACTGCTAGACGTCGGGTTCCCCGACCTGGGCGACTTTGAGCACGTGCCAGATCTTGGTGATGCGGAGATGGACGCTCTCACTCGCTATGACCCAGAGACTTTTGCCCAAGATCCGGTGAGGCCCGGGGATGAGTGGATCGGATACCCTCCAGGTCGACCCAGGAAGAGGAGAAGAGAGGACGATGAGAGTTCCCGAGCGGCCGAGGCAGAGGCCGAAGCTCAAGCTCAAGCTCATGCTCAAGCAGAGGCCCGGGCCCAGGCCCAAGCACGGGCACGGGCACGAGCACAAGCACAAGCACAGGTCAGAGTCTCGGCGCACAATATCCAGTATCCTCCGGTGACAAACCTTTTTGTGCGACAGGTTGTTCAACATGCCGCGCAGAACTCGGCTCTGGGCCACCAGAGACTGGCTGCAGATGCTCTAGAGACCTTTTCTCGCGCCTCGGAATGGTTCTTCCGACAGCTCGGTGACGATCTCCGTGCTTACGCCGGACATGCCAGACGTAGCATGGTAGAGGAGCGTGACCTTGTTGCTCTGATGCATAGGTGAGTCCTTTGTTTTTCCTTTTCTACTTTTTCATTGTAAAATATCTCTATCTATAAATGTTGATTGGGGAATATTCCATGATGCCATTCCGTGATGCTAACCATATAATGTACACTAATAGACAACGCGTCATTAACGCTGAACAATCTCTCTTCCACCTGGCCAGCCACAACCTTCCGCGGGAGCTTCAGCAGCTGCTGAGAAGCAACAACCCCGGATACCAGCCCGCGTATCCCGTCGCCCAACAGTCAGGCATTCAACTTCAACAACCTCTCGTCAATGCTCAGTCAGAAACTGTCACTGGCCTTCGCCCGTTTGTTCCGAACCCCCCTTCTCCTTCTCACGCAGGTGAAAAGCGCAAGCGAGATGAGGATGACGATGGCGAATCTGATAACGAGTCCTTGGTGTTCCCTGAGGATGATGATTATTGAGGCCGGTATAAGAGTGAAGAAGACGGGTAGTGGCTCTTTTCTTCTTCTTCCCCCTCTCCCCTTTCGATGTTCTTTCTCCTCCTTTCTATACGCTTACACCGTCACGCCATTACATGCCCCCGCTCGCTCGGACACGGCGTGCAATGTTGGACGGAGGCTTCTTGAGCACCATGTATAGCATGATTGACGTGGCAAAGCTCAGCCCATACCTATGATTTTTGGTTGATTGAGTTAGCGGCGGAGGGCCCTGACTTGCTTACTTGCTTTTTGGGCTTTGGCTTGGGTTTCTTTCTTTCTTTCTTTCTTTCTTTCTTTTCTTCTTGTGATGTCTTGCTTTTTTTTTTTTTTTTTTTGCGAAAGAGCAGGATGGATCAAGATTGTTTGCGAGTTGACTTACCATGTAAAGATATATTGGGCGTGGTTGTTCCTCAGGGTGACCTCGGCGGGTCGCCCAAAGGGAATACCGCGGGCTTCATAATCCATCATGCGTAAAAATTCGGGCTCTAGATAGTATTTTCATTTTCATTGTTTAGCGACGGATTGTCAAGGATACAAGGATGTATGCCTGGATGTTTGCATGGATGGATGGACTGATTGATTGCGAGAAACGGAAAATCTGGCCGGCTTTGAAAGGAAAGCTTGGAGATATATTTTGAGATTGCTTTTTTTGGGGGTGGATACCTGGGCCTGTTTTGCTTTGGATTGTTTGTGCTTTATGAAAGGGAAGGTGCTGAGTATGATGTACGGATACAAGATGGATCATGATGAAGATGAAGATGGAGGATGGCTGGTATGGGTTTGGGTTCACTTACCCATAGTAGCTTCTACCCACACCGGCTGACTTCCGGTCAAGGCAGCCATCTGGTAGACATCGGGGAAGTAGAACTCCCCCTTGTCGGGCCTATTTTCAGGAGTAAATCTGTTCTTTTTCCACGGCTCGCGCAGCAGTCCCTCGATCGTGATCTCTCCCTTGACCAAGCTGTCCGGCCTTGTCCGCTGGCTGCGATGCTTCTTGCTGATCCACCCGCGGTTGACGAGAATCGTGGAGCCATCCTTGCGCTCCAGCGGCGTGATGACCATGTAGCCGTCCTCGCCGTTGCGCATGCGCGGGCCCACGAGCATCTCCTGGTCGTGACGCAGCGTGCCCGTGGCGAGGACGCGGCGGAAGTCGAAGTCGCTGATTACGGAGGGGTCGATGTGTGGCGGCAGGGGAAGGGGATCGCGGACGAGGCGGTCTTCGGATTTGGCGATGAGGCGGGTTTTCCAGCCGAGGCGCTGGACCTGCCATGTGCCGAGGATGAAGGCGGTGATGGGCATGAGGGCTGTTCATTTAGAAGATAGGCGAATGGTTAGCGAAGCTCTTAATATAATATCGTCATGTATATATAAGATCTGACGGCATTGGGAGTAGGGCTGCTGCGAACCGAGAAGAATGATTCCGGCGCCATGGCGCTTCCCCGCGCGCACAGTCTGCGGCTGCAAATCGACAATCGATACAAAGTTGGGATCATCGGCTGACGGCGTCTTGTGACGAGGGACGGTCGAGGAAATGTGTCTGCGGTGGATCGTTCGGGATACTGATGACGCTGGTCTTGTTCTGAAGCACCGAGACTGTGAAGAAGCAGATTTGGCAAAGGCGGTGCGGTTTGCCCGCAGGCTATTGCGCATAAGAAGCTGTGCGCAGTTCATTGTCGATGGCTACACGGGAAACGCCTCATGCAATTGGCTTCTTTTTGTGTTATCGTGAGCTGCTTGAGCTCCTCGTTGATAGCGAGAAGATTGTTTTTACTTGATACTACCTAGGATGATGGCACTGAGAAGCGTTGACCGCCTACCTAGATCGGCCAATTGGCGGGGGAACAGGTTTATCGCTAGTGTGATTTTGTCCGATACTCCGGCAGTAGCGCTATTTTACAGGCCAAGCACATGTATATTTTCAGATGACAGGTGCCATAGAACGGGTCCGTTGCTTGGATCGCCATGTGGTGCAATTCGAGCTTTCATTGGACCAGACTCTGTCAAACAATTCGAGTTTTGATCTTCTCATGCTCTCTTTTGTCAAGATGTACTGTAGCTCGGCCATTGTTCCAAGTTTGGGCCTGAAGAGGTAGAATTACAGGTTTTCGGTGCATGGCTGCCCTGGAATCTGACTTACACGCACTGCTGGAATGATGCCACATCAACACCAAAATAAATAAAACCGTCACCAACAGATCCTTCTCGTCAAGAAACGAATCTACATTAATCAATCGTCTTCTCTTGTCGAGCAGTGGAGCAGCCAGTTCATCGCCGTAGAAACCACACCAAGCGCACGTTCTAGCATCGCGAACTAGTGCAGGTCCCCTTCTAGCCATCTATCCGTCTCCTCCCAACAAAAGTTCGGGTTTGCTAGAAGCGCAGCACACTCGCAAGTCGCAAAGTTCCACAGCCTTGCCACAAACAGCAACAAGTGGACGGGCCTCGGCGGAACTTGAGCGCTGCTGGGCAACTGGGCAAAAGTCCAGTAGTGAGTATAGTGGAGCTTTTGGGTCTCTCAGGCCTTCTTTGTTTTGGGGGCTAGTCCGCTGTGGCCCTTTTTCTGCTGCTGTCGGGTCCTTTCGTCATCGGCTTAACTCGTCTTCTCTCCCCCAATGGAAAAGAAGCCAGCTAGTGATTTCCCATGTAAGCTGTCATTGACATGATAGCCGCAAAGGACCCCAACAGAAAGCAAGCAACGAAAGGAAATAAAAGAACAAATAGGAAAAAGATTGTCGTTCTTTTATCGCCATTTTTCTTTAAACGTCTTTTCGTCTTTTTGATTTTACGCTTTCCATTCACAAGCTGCGGAGAGGGGCGGAAGACCAATCCCTGTCCGATTCCCAAGCTTGTCACCATCGATTTTCGGCAACCCGGCCATTTGCGATTCCCCTCCTCCATTTATCATCAACGCCGAACCGCCGCCGCCTACTATCCTATTCCTACCTCTCGAAAGCAATAATTCACGATTTCGAAAAGAAAAAGGAAAGGAGATTGGTATTCAACAGCAGCAAAAGTGAAGACACAAAAGCATAAGCAATGTTCTACCAGGGGAGCCTGCAGGAGGGCATTTCCACGGCCGTCGGGCAACAGAAGCTGGTGCTGTGTTTCGTCACTAGTACGTTTCGGCGAATGCGTCTTCAATGTCTGGTTAAACGTCTTTCCTTACCTAACTGTTTGGATCACTAGATGAAAACGACGAGAGCAAGACATGGGAGAATGAATATCTGCAGGACAGCTCGGTGAGAACATCCCCGCGTATCTGCATACTACATGGAACGACAGCAACCAATGTTTTGTCTACTCTGGTATAGACACGCTGCTAACCTGATATGCTCGCCAATTTATAGCTCTCAAAGTTGATTGAGACTCAAGCTGTCGCTCTGCGGCTCCTCGCAGACTCAGACGAAGCCGGCTACCTGTCGCAAATCTTCCCGCTGCCCAAGACCCCGACCGTCGTCATCATGAAGCATGGCGAGCTGAAGGAATACATTGCCGCCGGCACCAGCAAGGAAGACTTCCTCCGCCGGGTCCTCGTCGCCTTCAACGCCGCTCCTCCGGCACCGGTCTCTTCGCTGCCCTCGCCCGCTGCTTCGCCCACATCTTCACCGACAAGGCTGTCTGCCCCTGTGCCGGTCCCCGCTCCGGCGTCGCATTCAAACTCGCATTCACCTTCGCCGTCTCCTGCGCCTTCATCCCAGGCACAGACACAGATCCCACCCGCGACCGCACAAGCTGCCGCGCAATCAGAGATTGTTAGCCGCATTCTCGCCGAAAGGGCCGCCAAGCTCCAGGCGCAGAAAGAAGAAGCCGAACGACGAGCCAAAGAAGAGCGCGTCAAGGCTCAGGAAAAGGCCAAAGCCGAGGCACAGGCGGGAGCAGACACAGACGGCGCCAGAGTACACAAACAGGCCGAGGAGCTCAAGAAGAAGCGACACGCAGAACAGGAGGAGCGCCGAAGGATCCTGAAGCGGATAGAAGATGACCGGGAAGAAAGACGAATGCGTGCAGAGGCAAAGGAGAAGCAGAGGATTGACAACCAAAAGATTGGCGACGTGGCTGCCTCGCTGGTCAATTCCAAGGAGAGCAAGCTGCCCTCAACGACCAGGGTGTCTGAAATGGCATCAATACAGGTGCGACTCTTTGACGGCTCAACCATACGGTCCCGATTCAAGACGGCTTCTCCCCTGAGGGAAGTCAGGCGATGGGTCGACGAGAATAAAGGAGAGAACAAGAGCCCGTATACGTTTAAGCAAGTCTTGACGCCGGCCCCCAACAAGAACATTGATTCAACAGAAGAGAACAGGGCACTAGGCGAACTTGGTCTGGTTCCGTCTTCAACACTGGTCTTGATTCCCGTCCAAAATTATTCGACCGCCTACCCCGGCGAGAAGCCGCAAAATTCCTCCTTCTTCTCCAAGTTTCTACGGACGATTCTCGGCTTCTTCGTATGGATCTTGAGCTTGGTTGGCCTGGCTGGTGGTGAACAGCGCGGGGGAGAGGCTCCCAGTAATAGAGAGAGGGGAAGTGAGCGGGAACGAGCATCGGAAGCGACGGCGCGAGCGGTTTCTGAGGAGAGGCGGCGCCGTGTCCGAGGTTTACAGAATTTGGCAGACCGGCAACGCGATCACCAGCTGTATAATGGAAACTCGGTATGCATCGCTTTGTTTCTTCACCAAAGATCCTGGTCACCAAGCTAACAATAAACTGCCTATAGTTAAATTTTGAGCCGCGGCCTGACGAAGACGAATCATGAAGCATGTAGGAGAAACGAGTGTACGATAAAAGCTACGCGTGTAAGAGCTGCATGGCATATTTCCTCCAAATGGGAATCGCTTTCATTTGGTACAATGGCATCTTTGTTATTGATTTGTTTCTTCTTAATGGGATTGTTCTTATTGGGATTGTATTATACAACTATAAGCTTCAAGAGCCGGGCGTTTCTATAGGGGTTTCCCTCTGTCTTCCTTTCTTATTTATTTTTCTCTTAATAAAGCAAATCCTCTGAATGCGCCTCTCCTCGCATCTATGAAAATGCTTTCCTATACTGCCGTGATAGTCTTAGGCATCTGACGCCGACGTCATCGTAGCTGATAGTCTGCTTTATGTTTGTACGTGATGCCCCATTCCCGGTATGGGCACATACGCGTTTTCGTATATACAAGCGTGCTCATCTCGATATATAGTCTTACATGATTCTTCTCATTCGCTTCTTCGCATGAAGTCTGTCAGGCCATGCCCGCTATGCCGCATTGTCGTCGTCCCTCTCTTTCCTCTAGTACTGACTGGCAGCAGCCTGGCAGGCCTTGAGCTGCTCCAGGTACCAGCTGCAGATCTGCATGTTGCCGCCGTTCTCGTCGAGGCACTTTGTGAAGTTTTGGGCGGCACCGGCGCAGTTGTTGTACTGCTGCTGCTGCTGCTGGGGATCGGCCTGGGCCTGAACGGGAGCAGCAGGTTCGGAAGAGCCGCCGCTGAAGAGGCCGCCGATGGCGTGGCCGACGGATGAGCCAATGGCGACACCGCTGTGAGTCAGAATGTTAGCTTACAAGTGATGCGATGTTGTAAGTTTGCGATTCGAAAATGGCAAACTGTCCAGGACTGGCCGAGACAACAGACAACCAGCAAATACTAATCAAAGGGATCAACATACGCAGCAGTGCTGGCCATCTGGCCAAAAAGTCCGGGGCCCTGGGAAGCCTGAGGAGCCATAGCAGTAGGAGCGTGTTGCTGAGGAGGAGCAGCCATGGTGGTCGCAGGGCGGCGCTGCTGAGGCGCGGGAGCAGAGACGGTGGGGCGCGAAGGAGCGCGAGCGGAAGAGCGTTGACGAGGCATGGCGATGGGAAGTTTTGTGGTGTTGAGGAACAGAAGAAGACAGGTATGTGGTGAGTCGTGGAGTTTTGACGATACGAAGCTTGGAAAAGAGAGAGAAGACGTATAAATAAATGCTGGGGGAAGGATTTATCGGGCCAATGGGAGGGGCCGTGATTGCGCCCGTGGCAGGCGTTGGTGGTTAGTGCCCCGCTACACGGATTTCCTTGGGGTGGCGGAACGGAGTGCCGAGAATTTCCAGCGGCGAGAACGTTCTAAAGCCGATATAGAGATGGACAATTGACACCTAAAGCCGAGGTACTGCTGTAAGTAAGCTGGTACTTCATTGACACTTGTTTTCTTCGTTTCAGTTGATTCTGTGAGATAATATTTCCCATTAGATATAACAAGAAAAATAACGATAATAGTGTCTATGTATCTAGGTAGTCTTCAGCCCAGACTCTTGCAGACCAATCTCTAATAGCGCCTCAAAGCCCCTATTGTCCCTTTGCCCAGAATATTTCCTCCATTAAGCAGTCGTTGATAGAACCTCTTGAAAGGATGCTTCCAAGCGATGTCTGTAAATAACGTTCCCCAATAAATCATGTTCCTTGCCGTAACGCCTCCGATATGTGTAGCTGTTCGCCATCAAAAAAGAAACCCGCAATCGCTAGCAATAAGAAACCTATTCTCCGAGAATCAAAACTTTCGCCTCTAGTTCCGGTTTTTGCCTTTGCCCTTCGTTTTGGGCTTCTTGTTCTGGCTTGGCGATGACTCAGACCCAGCAGCTTGTGCAGTCTCGTCTGCACCTCGCTTCTTGCTCTCTGCTGCTGATTTGAGAAGTGCCTTGGCGCGCTCCTCGGCGATCTTCTCTGCCAGCTTGGCGCTCAAAGTTTTGTTATCAGCCTGTGAGTAAAGAGTATATGGGTCAGTTCTAGGTGCAAATATCCGAGAGACACGGGTGAGAACATACCAAGTCAGCCTTCAGGATGCGCGCAGCAGCCTCTTGGTTAACGGTCAAGGTCCGTTTGGCATCGGGTTCTTCCGCTGCCTTGATCTTTGCAAAATACTGCTGGATTCGCTTGAGTTCACCATAAACTGCATGGTTCTGCGCGTCCGCCCCTTGAACCTTCATAGAAGCTGTGAGATTTATGTTAGCCCTTTGCCAACCGCCAGACAACACGTGATGGTTAAATCGTACAGAAAAGTAGAGATTCGATGGCGTATGCTGTCAAAGAGTACAGCTTTGCTCTGTCCAGTAAAGGTAGCTGAGATGCCATTTCGCTCAGATTGCCCAGCAACGGCTCAAGCGCATCTTCCAACTTATCCAACTGGGAGTCCAGCTTCTCCACGAGCGGCGCAATGGTTGGAATGTCCGACATTGTCGCAGATGTAACAGCAAGAAACAAATGTAATGAAAAATTCAAATGGAATGACAATTAAAGGCGAAGCAATGCTTTGATGCAGCTTTTATGCTGAATGAAATCTCAGTGTCTTTTTTTTTCCGATCAACTGAAGGCGCCGGTCGCGAAAGATCTTTATCGATAATGCAGGGGCTATCGGAGTATCATGCAAGTATCGAGTTGCCATTCATTTATCGGGTCGCGATCCCGCGGTGGAACCTCTCCGGCGAGAAAAAAGAACATTGCATTTGGCGGGCTCACGGGGTACAGGATCACCGCCAAAGCACGATACTGGACTTTACTTGACAATCTTTTTTCGCTTCTGAGCTTCCAAAACGAAACTCCGAATCCGTACCAAGCAGCCATATATCCGCCTACATCGTGACTTCCCAAGGCCTGCTGCAGCCCGCCACTCAATTGATTATCATTATACAAAAAGCGACATATCGAAGGGAGCCCGAAGCTTCAGCGCGAAATAGTCAGCATTCAACAGCCCGGACTGGGTCGAACTCGATACCAACTAGTCATTCTCTCGCCGACTTCTCTCGGCGGCCTTCAAGGTGGCCTCCTCAGTTCGACCGCGACTATCCGCGCGGATAAGTCAACGACAATCACCATGGGCTGGCGATAGCATCTGCAGAAGCCCGGCCGCCGCAAAACGCTATGGCACCGTAGCATCAGCATCCTCAACCTCCGACGGGAGCAAAGGCCATGCCAAATCACGCGATCCCTCCTCACCAGAAGCCACTTCAAGATACTCTATACCGCGGCCGTGGTCAGAAGCTCTGCGCCCTGAGACTGCCGCCGCCAAGAAGTCCTCGTCCTCGACACCGAAATTCTACGTGCCTTCGGTTCTGCTGCCTCCCGACGCTGCCAAATCACCATCGGTCCACAAAATACATATCCTAGGAGATGATGAGCGATCGAGATTCATTGCCCATGCCCTGTCCGGCGTCTACGACTCGGTAGAGATGCTTGGGTGGAAGCGAAACTCATCTTCGTCACCTACATTCTCATCAAAGTACCGCAACATTTACAAGCCTCGTAACGGCGACCAGCGCAAAATGAAACTGGAGCATCTATCAGTGACACCAAGGGTCATAACCAGAGACAACAATTCACATATTGACCAGCTGCTCGTAGCCGGACCGGGGCACACGGCAGTCGAGGCATTGCGGTCGGTCAAGCACCGCATCAACAAAGATACAACTGTGTGCCTAATGACGGATGGCCTGGGCGTCCTCGAGGAAGTGAGGGCACGTATTTTCCAAGGGACCGACGAGTCATCAAGGCCGAGCTTCCTCCTTGGCCACATGAGCCACCGATTGGCGTTCAACAGGCGTCATGACTCGGTCAAAGAGCTGCGGCACGGCAAGACGCAGCTGACATGGGTCGATTCCACAGGAGTGACTCAAGAGGTGGAAAAGACGGAAACACGTATGAATTTTGTCGAAGCACTGCGAGCAGTGGAAGACCTCAACTCGTCCCTTACGCCATTTGACAAGTGGCTCCATTTCAAACTCCCGTCAGTTATCCTAGATTCCGTGGTGGAGCCTGTCTGTGTTCTATTGGAGATGCCATATGCAGGGCTACTGCAGAATCCGGCAGCCCAGCGGATGATGCACCGGTTGCTCACAGAGATTGTCTCCGTCGTGGACAATATGCCGGAAGTCGAGGGATCGGCCGCCATCCGAGATTTCATTCGTGGCAACCGCCTCAGACAGCACATCTATGGCCGCATCATGGCGAGACGTGGCGCTTCGAGCAGCGAGCTAGCAAGGCAGATCCGGAACGGCCTGCCGACCGATGTTGATTATCTGAATGGCTTCTTCATCCGGCGTGGCCATCAGCTGGGCCTGGACCTGCCCACCAATGTGTTGATGAGAGACATGGTCAAGGCGAAGCACTCGCTAGCCGTTGAGAGGCTCAACTCGTATATCCCGGTCGAGGAGACTTCGATACCCAGCCACTTGTCATTTCGCTATCGGACCTTGCCCCAATCAAGCAGTAGCAAGGTTGTATAAAAAATCGATTTCTTGTTCTTTATTTGCTACAGGTGCTCAGGGAGGGAAGCGAGATCGGGAAGCCGGAAAGCCGGAAAGCCGGGAAACCATTTTTGGATTGTTATTTTTTGTAGACATTTCGCATTCAGCATTGGCGTGGGAGGGGCCTTTTTTTCTTTTCTTGTACGATACTACCTCCGAGGTACAAGGTGACGTGTGGATATCAGTAGCTAGAGGTATATACCACCTACCATGAATGAGAACGTCCCAAGGTCGACTGTGTTGCGGGTCTGCACTGTGTCCTGCATGTATCAGGATTATAGTAGTTGTAAATATACCTACAGTATTGAGTATTGGTGGGCATCGTAAGCGGCATACACCACCTCCAAGTGTTTATATACTGCACCACTTACCCAAGATTACCTGCATGGTAGGTGTATTGCCTACTAACTTCCTACTCTTTACCGCATTTACATCTAGATCCAATTCGTTGCATCTGCCCAACGGATTTGCAGCTCTTTTGGGGTCCGGATAATCAAAAACTTGCTGAGCCAATCGCACTTGAGCCTGTCTGGGAGCCCAACGCAAGCTATTCCCGTACGGCGTGTGATTATGATCCTAGAAGCGGGCGCGAGCTCCAGCTTTAAGACCAGAAGCGGCTGTAAAAAGAAGGGAAAAAAAAAAAAAAAAAAAAAAAAAGACAGTAAACATTGCCCCGCGTTTTTTCCCAAAGCTTTCATGACCTCATGCCTCTCTACAACCTCCAAGGGTTGCATGGGCTGCGGACCAGGGTCTCGCTGCAAAGATGGAACACACGACCTCGCAAAGTCCGCCACGCCCCCTCCCTTTCTCTTGCCAATTGAGAAGCCACCGCGGCTTGCGCGTTCTATTCCCAAAAGAAAGAAAAACAAACCTGTTGCTGTACGCCCACCGGCGGGCGCCAGAAGCTATTGGGCACATGCAGTCTTTTTGCTCCTTGCATACAGCTTGCATGGATAAGTTGCAACAGCTCTCAAGCGGGGTCGCTGTCGTGATAGGTTGGAGCTGGCCCCTTATACCGTCAGGCGTTTGGTTCCGGTCCTGTCCCCTTTTTCGCCCGCTGTGGTCGGTTTAATACAGCTCGGTTCTCGTTTCCGTATTTTATCTTGTTTCATTTCTTCTTTTTTTTTTTTTCTTCTTCTCCATCTTCAGCTTCTTATCAATACTTTAACTTGAAAACAGTTTCGTCGCTCGGTCATTTACACGAGCTGCTACTTCCCTTGTCAGATTGATTACTTCTTTGGTAAGTAAGCTCTCACTTACACGGCCATGGTCATCACTCCCCCCGGATTTGGTAAAATGCCCAATGCTAACAATCAATCTTGCACTTCAGCACTCAGTAAACGCCCTTTTTAAAATACAAAAAGAGCGTCAGGGGACAATTGCAATTAATTACACCGCAATGGCATACTCAACACGGCATCGCGCATTCCACCTTTTCCCATGCCTTCCTGCTGAGCTGCGCCTGCAGATATGGCAGGAAACGCTGCCAGATCTCGATGGCGTCACTTTGCATGGCTACAAGAAGGGATGCTGGGATCTCAGAGACCCTCTACCAGAAGAACTCGACGAAGAGGGGTCCGACGCCCTTACCAGAGCCGACAAGATTCTAGACTTTCGCCACGAAATGCTAGACGACGTTCACATTGACATGCCCATCATCTTTGTCAATCGTGAAGCACGCAGCACCGCTCTCTCCTGGGCCCGCGCGCAGGGCGTCAAGATGGACTTCAACACCGACAAGGCCTGCCATGTCTTCGTGCTGCCTTTCAACCCATGGCAGGACGCACTCTTCATCAACTCGCACAAGCTCGAGGAGTTTTGTGTTGAGCCGGCCGACCGCCTGGCGGGACTCCAGCTCCGCGGGCAATCCGCCTACAGCAATCCCGAGGTCACTCAGGTCGCCTTGCCTCATACGGCGCTGACGTCCGAAATGTCAGTCTTTTACGATCTGATCCATTGGTTCCCCCGTCTCGAGGTGGTCTACATCATCGTCGACATTGAGATTGGCGCGGACATGCCCAAGCATTCCTCGGCTGAGGAGCGAAGGAGGGCAAAGGAGCGGATGAAGCACCAGCGGTGGAAGACAAGCCAGACTCAGGGCCATTCGTATGTGTGGGACAGCAAGGATCGCAAGTTTGTCCGTAACATTGGCACGCCCATTGGCTTCAGGTCCATGTACAGGGAGATTGAGGACTATCTGACGGTAGGAATAGCCAAGGTATTTGCCAAGAGGGACGTTGAAAGATTTGAGATTCGCCCTGTTTTGATGATTTTGTGATGATCATCGACGTTTTCCTTTTTTTTTTTTTCCTTTGTTTACCTTTTTTCTTTGTCTGTATCTGGGAGCGGGGTTCTGGAGTACTACTACTATTACTGCAAGGTTCGATTCGGCAAGGCAAAGCAAGCCAGGATTTGGCGAGGATTTCGGGTGCCAGGATTTCGGGTTCTTCTAATTTGGGGCGGGTGGCTTTTGAGTGCTTACGCAAACCGTAACTACTAGTATTGACTTTTGTATTGTATCCATCTACACCCTCTTTTTCAAATCTCACTGACTTTTGGGGTCGATTTCATTTATTTCTGCTTGCTCCTAGGCCTATGCTTAGTCCTGATCCTTACACGCAAACACGGAGGAGCGGACGAATATTGAACCTGTTGCCAGCAGGGGTTGATAACCAAATCAGGAGAGCAACCGGTCTAGTTTTTCAAGCCACTGGCGATGAAAATAAGCTCAGTTAAAGAACGAATGAAATGAAGTCTTTTTCAAGGAAATCTAGGGCGATAAATTACCCCCTTTAACTAGAGTTTCGGCGGGTAGAAGAAATACTTTCAACATTTAACTGATTTTATAGAGTCTCAACAACAAACACGTTGCCAATATCATTGCTGCAAGGTATGGTTGCATATACTACGGCACTCTTCCATCAACTGCTCTCTAAACCATTCGAATCGAATATTCTCCTATTATTTTGTAACTTTGGTCACTGAGTGGTCCAGTTTGCTGACTATCGCAGGTATCTCGACGTGGTCCAGGGTATGAGATCAACGGCCATTGCTTCGATTCTCCAGTGGCGCTGAGATGGCGCTGAGATGGCGCTGTAGCGGCGTCTACGCCGGCGCGCTTACAGGCACTTACAGACCCAACAGGGCAACTCTCGTTGCATCCAGCACACAGTGGAGGTTCCCCATCACCTTATCGCTGTCTACCAATCTGCTATGTAATCCTCAACTGTCAATCTCCCGCAGTTAACCTGCTCTCGCCACCGTCTTTCCCCGCCATTGCAAGCTGCTGCTGTATGGCGTCACGCCGCTGCCTCTGAATTAGGCGGGTCGGCTTTAATAGTGCCATGCCCATACGCCGTAACATTGAATCAACAGCTGCTGCCGTAATCAGCCCTCTCCATATCTGCGTACACGTAGCTAAACTCCGAGTGCATCTCAATCTGACAAATATCGCCTTTTGCTCCGTGACACTTTCTCCGCCGTAGACGTCAACCTTTTTTTTTTGCCAAGTCTCGATTGATGCTCCTCCGCCGCAGTCGTGCCTGGCTGTGCTCGCATTCGCATCTGAGACTCGCTTCCGTAGCTCCCGGACGAGCTTGTCGGCCGCTGTTGGCCGTTCACCGGCTGGTTAAGCGCACATAGCCCGATATACCGGGTCTTGATCTGGTCACATCACGTCACATCGTCTTTTATTTTCGAGCAGCAGTTACATCCGCCATGTCGTGGGAACCGAGTGACGACGACTTTGACGGTGGAGAACCGGCTGACTGGGATACTCGAGATCGAACAACGGCCCAAGGCGAAGACGAGGGCCGCCAAGACCATGAAGGCGACGGCGAGCAGGACGACGATGATGAAGACGATCCCGACTATCGCGATGAGCCTGATGAAGACGACGAGTTTCATGGTAATAACTTCCAACATGCTGCTCTGCGTGATCTGTAAAATAGTTGGTTGTTTATAGATTACTAATTCATTTTCAGACTTTGATGAACAAGATGAAAACGACGGTGACGGTAAGCAAGACAGACACACATTGCGGCGGGGGTAGGCAAAAAGATATATCGATTTTCATTTCTAACACAGACGACGAGCACCACGCGTTTCTAGATGACCACTTGGAGTACGGTTTCGGAGACTTCCGATTTCAGATTGTTATTGAAGATGGAGAAGCCGAACAAGATGAGGCTGCTCTGAGATTAATCTCATTATTAAGAGGTAACACACTCCTCCACCAGCATCGATTCTTTGATTCTCTGATTCTCTATAATGTTTCTGTACATGTCTACTAACATGACCGTCCAATCACTCAAGCTGGCCAAAGGTCGGGCCTCTTGACGAGGCAGCAGCTCATGACCCTCTTTCGTGGCACCGGCCTAGGGCGTAATTCCGGCGAGCCTAAAGATCCCAATCGATTTCCCAAGGTACCCAGCGAAGAGGGCAGGAAGCTCATGCAATCCGGTGTTTTTGGCTCCAACGATTACGACATGCGGCCTAAGAAGCAAATCGCCCGGCGTATTCTAGAACGAGAGATTGGCATGGGAGATCGTATGCAGAGGAAGCGGGACAATGGTGTTTTGGCTCAGGTAAGCATGCACTATCGGAATCTTTTTAATCTACCAGGTCTTTTTTTCTTCTGAAGAAGATTGATGTTATGTATCAATATTCATCTTAATGGACTATGCTGATGCTTAACATAACGACAGAGCTTCATTCCTGGAAGCAGGGCAGAAAAAATCATCCACTATGACCATCCCATCTATTCTGGCCAATTCTCAGACGATGGAAACTTCTTCTTCTCCTGCTGTCAAGACTTTAACGTACGCATGTACGACACTTCCAATCCCTATAATTGGAAGCTCTACAAGACAGCCAACTTTCCCTTTGGCCAGTGGACCCTGACGGATGCCTCCCTAAGCCCAGACAACCGCTGGTTGGCGTATACTTCTATTCAAAGCATTGTCTCAATAGCACCTACCGATCCCAAGGACAAGGGTGAGCCCTACACTCTCGAGCTTGACGACGGAGATGGACATTCGAGGCTTTCTTTCTGGCGCAGTCGTGGCTCCTTTGGTATCTGGTCCGTCAGATTTTCGGGCGATGGGAGAGAACTTGTTGCTGGCACCAGTGCCCACTCCCTGGTCGTCTATGATATCGAATCAAGAAGAGTTCTTCACCACATTGCCGGCCACCAGGACGATGTCAATGCTGTCTGCTTTGCCGACAAGGGATCTCCGCACATCATTTACTCTGGCTCCGACGACACAACGATCAAGGTTTGGGATAGACGAAGCATGGGAGATAATCGAGAGGCTGGTGCCTTTGTAGGACACATCGAAGGCCTGACATACATTGATAGCAAGGGAGATGGCCGGTACATTCTTAGTAACGGCAAAGACCAGAGTATGAAGCTGTGGGACATTCGCATGGCCATGTCTACAGACCGGTTCCGAGAAGTCACAAAGGACAACGAGAACCGCGTCGATCGATTCGATTACAGACAGGACGAGTACGACGACGATGACTGGGACGTACATCCTCACGACAACTCCCTCGTCACTTTCCGGGGCCACAAGGTCCTCCGCACGCTTATCCGATGTCACTTCTCGCCAGCCTCGTCCACCAACTCACGTTATGTTTACTCTGGAAGCGCAGATGGCAAAGTACACATCTGGAACATGGATGCCACCAAAGCAGGCGAGATTGACGTACAGAGCGCGACGAATGCGACACGGAGACTTGATCGCCGCACACGAGTCTATTTTGACGAGCCTGGTGGCTGGGGCACATGCGTGCGCGATGCTAGCTGGCATCCTAACGCACCGATTGTTGTTGGTGAGTATATGCACATGTACATGAACTTGCACATGCACACTCTTTTTGAAACCCTTCTCGCGCAAAATCTTTGATTGATACTGTGTACTAATAAACCTTTTGCAGCATCTGCTTGGAACGGATACAGCATGGCAAGGGGCACTTGCACTGTCCATGCCTTTAACGGAACAAACGACGATGAGGGAGACCCTGAGCTGGGGGACAGCGTCAACGAGTCGCTGAGATCAGATCCCGAGACATTCTTCCAGTCCAACTATCTTGTTGATTAAGGCAAGTGGCAGTGTATGGACAAGAACGGGAAGCTCGCAGCTCAGGTTCGCCTTCATATTCGTTTGTTCGGTTAAACGCATGGATCGTGCAATGGTTCTTGGCATCTATGTTGTTTCAACTAAAAGTATGACGTTAAGATCTCACCCGGGGCTTTTGCCGTTACGACTAAATTACGATGCTATGGGGTTGCAAATATCGCTTGTGAATACGTCGATGCTTGATGTGTAGGTCTATGTGTATCAAGAATGTTGTCATATATAGGTTTTAGTGCTAGATGGATTTGGTAGTTGGTCTTTGTGCACTGCTAGGTACATATCTCAAACGGCGAGCCATTCTTTTGCTTCATTCACTTTTAGCTGGTCATACCTCCCTTGTAGGGTTTCTTCTCTGCATTTTTGCATCTAGTACTTGGTACTAGTATTCAGCGTTTATTGTCCAAGTGCCAGATACTGCTCTCTACCGATGACTTCAATCGCAGGCCATTACGCAGAATGACGATATCCCCCCTCATCTCCAAGGAAACAAAAGAGGCTTGCCATACACTTTTCATCACGAAAAAAAAAAAAAAAAAAAAAAATGTGTCCACATACGAGCAAAAGCGGCTGCTGATCATAGTGCTGGCTGGCCTAGCATTCCCCAAATCCTACCTGCAGTTACATCCCATATATGCAGCGAGAAGGCCCTAAAGATCGTTAGCAAAGGTCAGATTGATCGGCAACGAGAATTAATATGGGGAGCTGCATCCCTGGTCCATCTCGTGACTGGCGAGGCTGGCATCGAGCTCTCGAATTGGCGGGCTGTCATTGGCCAATGCTCTGGAAAATCAATTTTCCCCCATCAACTGTTTCGCACCGCCGAAAGCTCTCTTTGGAAAGCGTGTGGCGCATGGCCCGTGCACTTCTCGCTCAAGCCTCAGCCTCGCCCCCTTCTCTTTCATTCTCCCACCCTGTACATGCAACTTTTTTGGTGCTGGCCTTGGGCAGATTCTCTCTCCAAACCCGAAGTCCATCATCTCGCAAATCCACTCCCGAGGCTCCATCTTTTTTGCTCCTCCTTCTCTGCAAATCCAACAGACTCTCCACATCAAACCAACCCAGTACATCCCTTTTGAATCTGGCCGCGGTTCCACTCGCAGCCTTGTAGCCGAGACGGTCACTGCAGCTCGTTCCCATCTTCTCCAAAGCCTCAGCGACGCGCGCAGCCCGTTTCGCGCCATCAATTATTCGGTAATTATCTTCCATTTTTTGTTTTCCATATTCTTCGTCTTCTACCACACAGTTCATCACCGTGACCTGTCATTTATTGATCTCTTTTCCCTCTACTGCTGAATCTGGATTTCCTTTTCTGCTTCTTACGCCACCATTGCCTTTGGCTTTGCCCCCCTGTTCACTCTCCCGACCTCGGGCAAAAGCTCGCAAGCTGCCGACTGGCCGCAGGGCCATCCAGGCATTGACTCGGTCCCACCAAAAGAAATCGCGAACAGTTCCCTGATCGCCTCTGCTGACGGCCAAGGAGCAAACGAGCTTCCTGCTGCCGAATCGAGATCCCGAGCCGCAACCCACCTGAGCTCGCGCCCGCCCAAGCCAAGCCAGACTTGGAGATAGTTCACATCCCCAGACCTTTTTTTCTCCCTTGCATCTTCCATCTGCCTTATCTCACCGTCGTCCTATCTGTCGACTTTGCTGCTGCAACCGCAGTATCTTTTGCCCTGGGCCGAATCCTTTGTGTGTCCACGGTACGTGATTGCTGTTGGGCCGCCGCCACCCACCGTAACCCGCTATCAGGAGCTTTTCGCCGGCCGAGACATTCTGCACCACCACCTCCAAGGAAGCTCCGGCTTGGGGAGATTTCGATCCATTTGAGCTCTATTGGAGAGAGATAACGAGATTGCCGGGCTTGGAGAGAATATTCGACCTGCCTAGCTTTCTCGCTCTCCCTAGTCTCAGGGATTGAACGTATCAGCAGGCTGAAGCATTTCCAGTCTTCTTACCTGCCAGCCCGTTGTTCGTCTTCTTCTGCACACGCTTGTTCAATCTTTCCATACATCCATCACCCTATCTCCGTGCGGACGTGTCTTCGTTGCTACTTTGCCCAGCCCAGCTTCTGCTTCTCCCACTGTCTTTACTTTCTCCTGGGTAAGAGTCGGCAGGACAAGTGCTTTCGGAGCACTGAACGATTTCAGGCTGCAAACCTCAAGTTTTTCATGCCCCGATTCTACCTGCAAACGAGCCGTTACTGTGTTTTGCTTGAACATTCGTTAATAACCAATTCTCGTCCAAACAGTGCTTTGATTGTCCGAATACAGCTCCGAGAACTTTCATGTAACAATCCCCGCTAGGACCTTGCCATAATATACGAACATCCGACATGGCGGACCCCGATTTCGATATCGATTTCTACGGCGATACCGATGGCGATGCCAACGAACAATCCCAGCAAGAAGAGCGGCGCCAAAGTGGCGATAATATGCGAGACGACTATGACTACCATGGCCAGGACGAGAGACAGCGAGACAATGAACACGAAGACGATCGCCGCTACGATGGCAACCGAAGCGACCACGCTGAAGACTCTTCACATCATCACGGCGTCAAGAGAAAGTCAGAGGAGCAAGAGGCCGACGACAGACCCATCGATAACGGTGCTACGGCGGCTATAATGATCTCAGAGCTCAGCTGGTGGACCACAGATGATGATATCCGAGGCTGGCTTCGAAGAGCTGGCTGTGAAAAGGAGATCAAAGAGCTCACATTTAGCGAGCACAAGGTTAACGGAAAGAGCAAAGGGTGAGTATACAATCCGCCACTCTGCAATTTGTCAATTTTTGTCTTGAATCTTCATTTCAGGCCCCTCTTAATTGATCAACTCTGACCCAATTTCCTTTCTTTCAGACAAGCCTATATTGAGTTCCAAACTCGCCAAGGATCCACCTCTGCGAAGCGGTACATCGACTCTGTTTCAGCAGACATAGTACAGCCCGGCCAGAAACAGTTAACCGTCTCTTACTGGAATCCCGGCGTCAATCCCTTCAGAACGCTACCCAAAGATGCACCAACCCGCGTCAAAGAGCAGCCTCGGGCCGCCCCCTCTGGATCCTACAATGATCGCGGTAACTACGGAGGTTTCCGTGGCCGAGGTGGCATGGGCGGACATCGAGGCGGCATGAACCCTGGTTTCAACCGCAACTACGGCGGAAACATGGGCTACAACAATAACAACATGGGAGGCGGTGGTTTCAACGGCCCAATGGGCGGCGGCGGCGGCGGCGGAGGTGGTTCTAACTATCTTTTCAGTGGCCGAGGTGGTCCTACAGGCATGATGAGAGGCGGCCATTCTGTAATGCGTGGGAGAGGCGGCGGCGGCGGCGGCGGTATGATGGGTATGAATCCAATGGGAGGTATGGGTATGGGAATGCCCGGCAACATGGGTATGGGCATGATGCAAGGTATGAAAGCTATCACTATACGCCACTCCAATCCCCAGATCATCATCTATCAAAGGGCATCGGTTACAGGCTAGGAACTGCCATCGATGCCTTTACCCATTACACAATCATCAGCACCTCCCAACATAGTTGTTGCCTGTCAAGAGCCAGAACGGCAGTCGCTTGTACCAGTAGTGCAGCGAACAGAACCCACAAACGAGGCAGAAGAAAGCCTTCAAGATGCCGAGGCAGTAGTGCCTCATGAAGATGGAAAGGACAGCGACAGCGATTCCAGCTGCACTTTGAGCTTCTGGGGAAGCGATCGCTGCAACGCTCGGGACACCCCGTGTACCAGCGAGTGTACTAGCGACACAAGCTCCAGCGGTGACTCTGACGACGACGACGACGACAGCAGCGACACCGATGATAGCAGTGACAATGACAGTAGCAGCGACGATGACAGTAGCAGTGAGGGCGATAGCAGCACTGAGGATGTTAGCAGCAGCGATGACGATAGCAGCACCGATGACGTTGGCAGTAGCGAGGACGTTAGCAGCAGCGAGAACGTTAGCAGCAGCGAGAACGTTAGCAGCAATGACGAGATGGATGCTATGGATCTTGACGAGGACATGGAGCTCGGAGAAGCAGACATGGATCTCTCAGATGGCACAAGCATGCCAGATGTTATGGAAATAGAGCCGCGAGAAGAGAACCCTCTCGTCCAGGCGGCGGGCTCAGGCCAAGCGGCGAATGCGAGTGCAACTACGTCCTCAGCGGCGCAGCTACAGCAAAGCTACCACTATCCTTCTCAAGCTGCTAGCCAGCCACAGATCCTATCAGGCCGGCGCTGTCCTGTTCATGGGACACAGACCCCTCGCTGCTTGATTTGTGATATCGAGTTCTGGCGCGTCCAATGCCTCATCAGTGGCTATGACATTGGCCGCATTCCACCTCCGCCACTCCCCATCGATCCAACACCACTCCACCAACCCAGCGCATCTTCTATTGCACAATCTCAATTTCCCACTAGAAACGCTGCTAATTCACAAATAGGTTTCCAGGGCATGCCTCCTAACTTCCCAGGTGGATTCGGCTTTGGACAGCAGCAAGGAGGTGGCGGCGGCGGCGGCGGTGGAGGCAACAGTGGTGACTGGGGCAACCCTCATGGAGCAAAGCGACCACGTCCCGAGTAAACCGACATCTCCTCAACTATAGGATGAAGAATCTGAGCTAGGACTTTAAGTGCGATAATGCAAGGAATCGATATTAACTACTATTATCAAGGGGAAAGGGAAGGGCTTGTTATTCGATTTGCTTGAAAGGAACCTCTGGAAAAATATTCGAAATTTATTGCATTAAGAAGGGCTATTGAATTTTTTTTTTACAAGCAGTGTATAATAGAACAAACGCTGGGTTATTTGTTGTTCAGACGCCTGGAGTCAGAGCTTCTTTGCTTTTTATTATGCGGGAAATTTTGTAACATTTGTCTTTACATGGCTTCTGGGAAGGGAAGTGGGACTCCTTTCATTATTTATTGGTCTACCAGGGGGAAACAGCAACAGGCAAAATGGGCTTGATATTTGTACAAGTTTTGAAGGAACAAGACAATTTAACGAATAAAGTAAACGAGAGAGTTAACCGTGACTCCGTATATGCGTATAGGTGATCGTCAAGGTAGTAAATCAATAAAAACAATAGAGTCGAAGAGGTGTAAATACGTCAACATGAAAAGGCTAGAGGAGGGCAAGGAGTAACAACAGATTAGCCAGGTGGCTATTACTAGCCTTGTAGCCGTGATATTGCTGTTGCGACCAGTTGCCTGATCTGGAGCCATCTGTCTGTGAGGCATCCTCTCATTTCCTCCTCACCAGCGGAGCTACTGCTCAGCTGCTCCAGGGAGTTGGTGATGTCGTTATCATATTTAACGAGTGCTTTCAAGAGCGCAGCGTCTATGAGGTGACGATCCGCATCTTCATCTCTTACGCCGTCCAAGACAGCTTGCCATTGTCGAAGGGGCAGGCAGAGCATTCTCAGCGCAACGTGCGTACGATAGCATGCCGTCTGAGAGTCCAGCATATATTTCTCCCAAAAGCCCGCGTCTTCGAGATGTTCCCGCTGAGTGGCGTTTAGTAAGGGGCAGATGTAAGGATCAAGGCAAGTTTCGTCCCAAGAATTGATAGATGACGGTAGTGTGAAGCCATACTCCACAAGTAGCATGTCGTTGGCATGAGGCCCGTAGCGGATGAACACTTCCTCGCCAGGCTCGTGCGTACGAGTAGTAGTAAACGTGAAGAATTTATCGTTGAAGGCTGCCATACAATAGCCCTCGGGTGTGTGGTTGAAAAGATCTGCCACGGGCTGGAGTGCCATGTGATCCTCCTTTGGTAGCTTCTCTGTCTTTCGATTTGTGTGATAGAATGTTCGCGTGTTTACCAAGAGCCAGTTGTAGAGATACTCATCCTTCTGAAGCTGTGGATACGCTGCCGCCACAATAGCCCAGTCTTTGCTAAACTTTTCTTGCTGCGCTGCGAGCAAAGACTTGGATCCCGGAGGTAGTAACGCACGTAGCTTGGCTGGCCAGCAGATGGGCATACTGATGGCAATATCTCGCCGAGAAGGGAGGACAGGGCGCCATTTTTCCAAATCAGGGTTGGAATCAAGGCACAGTGAAGCAGCAAGAATGGCGTGAACAGTGGCACCGCGGAGAGTCTTGGAGATATCTTTGGGAGTGTTGCTGAGAGTACGCAAAGCAGATATAGGAACTTGAAGAATGACTTGGTTGGCCTAGTCATGGTGTCAGCATATAATATCGAACTTGACCCAAGCTTAGCGGCTCGAGGACTATGAAAAGAGAAGATTGAATTACAATACCTCTAGATGGCGGGATGCGACAATACCAATACCTCTTCCATGCAGAGCTTTTGGATGAATCCCATTTAATTTAACACCTATGGAGGTTGTCCATTCTAACAGCTGTTCGATGGCTGCTTCCATTGCTGCGACTTGTGCTATAATTGAGTTGATCAGATTGGAAAAAGTCGTCCATGGACGGTAAAATTATGCGATATGGCGATACTATGGGGCGAGATGGTGAGTCATTAGCTCTTAAGCTATGGCGAGGTAGCGCTGTTGCAGCGCCTACAGTGCCAAAGCACAGGCAGCTGGTCTACTGCGAAACGCCAGGTCAGTACACTATTGATTTCTTCCAGGCAATATTATCAAGCCGCTTATCCAGTTTTTGCCGTTATGCTGCATCATGGCCGTGGTATTCGGTGACGCGCGGTGGATACGATCTCCATTGTTGGCAAGTTTGTGTATGTGGCTATTGTTGGATGTCGATAACGGCCCTGTTTTCGAATCGACGGTGCCTTGCACGCTTGAACGAAAATGTCATGGGGTGGTAATGCCACCGCTATTGTAGGCCTTGGATGCAGTGGAATTGGCTATGAGTTGTTAGTAACTCTACCGAAGTATCGACAGTAATTCTTTCGTCTGCGTCAATAGCCCGAGCATCAGCATTGGCTGAAAGCTAAAAGAGCATAGTCGCAGTTCTGTGCTGAGATTCCTGTCAAGTGATATGATCAAGGCCGAGGTGGGTTGAACAATGGGTGGTTGGCTCAGGAGTAGAGAATCGATAAGATGTTTCTCAAAATGAATGGCACTCTATGCTCTTTGGGGTACAATATCTCAACTATATGAGAAAGCTGATGAGTAGGCCATTCCTAGAATCGAGTTAGAACTTCTCGGGATTGCTTCAAAGAAAGCACTGAAAGCAATGTTAGATGTCTATCAAGCGGCTATCCTCGAGAGAAATATAGTACCAGTCTGGGAACCTGTGACAACGGACCAACCAGTTGGTCTTTTGTCATGCTGTACGTTAGTGGATTATAGAAAACGCCCAGGGTCAATTACCTTAAGAAATACCTACGTGTAGATACTCAAGATAATTCCACAAAACCCGCACGAGACATATTCTCGTGATGAGGACACACTTCTATTTGGCAAAACAGGCGGAGATCTGGGAAATTGATGTCTCAGTTTGCCATAAGAGAGCTAGATATTGTATCTGCAACATTCGAGATATCTGGCTGGATGCTCGAGAATATGTTCGTCACGGTTCTTCTAAACTGCGCTGTGGCATCTTCACGTCTCGAATACCAGCGGCTGCGTGTTCATGGCAAGCAACATCGTGTCTGACGATACATATCTTCGCTGATCTATTCGAGACTCAAGATTTTGATTATTAGAACTCAGTAGAGAAATGCGTTAAACAGAAGATTAGACCGAGGAACACTTGGTTGAACGAACCAGAGGTGCTGTTGGCCCAGTATTTCTCCATCCAGTGGCTAGAGACAGCACTGTGAAGCGCACTATTGAAGCTCTTAGCTCTAAGAGTAGCTTAGATAGCAAAAGCGTTATGGATTATTGCTCTGCAATCGTCGGCTTCTCAATAAGGAAAAAGGAGCGTATTTGAGCCACTGGTAAAAGAATATGATCGAAAGAAAAAGGAAGAAGTGTCTTCTGTCCACGCGGGGAGGAAGCAGCACCTTCCCTGAATGATTTTACGAATGGGCAATCACACATCTTATCGATTCACTTATCTATGATGATACAAACCACGTGCAGCATTGTCAATGAGAAATAACGTGACAACAAACCACTTACGTTTCTGATAATGATACATACTCTCTGCTCTTCTACACCATCAAGACAACGATGATGCATTCATACTATCCATCTTCTCCAAAGTGGATCGTATTCCTATTCCACGGGCAAGTGACGCGCAATTGGAGTACAGACTCATAAGTTGGAAGAATGTTTCTTCGACCAATTCCTGTATTCAGACACAAAAGAAACAGCGAGATCATCCCAACAGCTTTCAACAACAGCGCCAGCACGCAAAGAGCGCACGAGACACAATCGTGGTATCTTTACGTGTCCCCGAGAACGCTTTCATCTGAGTTTATTTGTATGTATCCCTGTTCTATACATTGATATTCTATGTACTGATCGCTGAGAGCTCATAATAGGAAGAACGCAAAACTCCTTACACTCCTCACGATGACGACGGCGGCGGCGACGATAAACCAATATGACTATAGTCATCATGCATATCAGCCCTGGCGTTAGTAAAACCGCTTGGAGATTTTGCTGCTGGGTTCTCTAATAAACGGCTTTGGAGAAAAGATCTTTTTCGAGTCAAGCAGGCATGTATACCCATCTACCATGGTGATGAAACGGTAGCTAATGCAGTCTTCGCCAGTATGACGGCAGCCGTTGGGAAACTGACAGTTGGTTTGCACAAGCTGGTAGCCAGTCCTACTGTATTGATCAAATCCTGCCTTATTCAAGCTTCTAGAAAGCCAACCAAAGGCTCTGCCTCGCGCCTTCATCAAGCTCAATGACATACTTTTCGCCGCACACCCTTCTTGTTCACAATCCGGGCCGAGCCGTGACCCTTAGATCCGCAGGCCCACTAATCCGGCGCCGCTGATACAGGTACAGTTCGACGCCTGCTTTGATAAAACAAGTTGGCTCTGCTATTGCTCTAGTCTTCGGCACGAATGACTGTCCAGCACCGGCCTAACGACGCTGACCATCTTTACTGGTGCCACGCTGCAACTGAGATGTAGCTGTACCCAATCTAAGCTTGACATCTCACAGGCTTTTGCGCCCTGAAAGCGGGTCGTTTGGAAGCTTACACCTCTCTTCAGAGCCATCAGCCCGCCGTTTAGCGGCCGAAGCATCTCGACGGCGCAAGGCGGGGTCCACCCCTCCAACGGAAGAATGTATCGCTAGCTGGGCCATTAGAAGATTTTCTCCTTCTGAGATAGCACTAGCAGCTGGCGGAACAGGGAAAGGGAGCACCCCTGAACGGATGCCCAACGGCGATGAGCTCCATTTTGCGCACCCGCCACCTCGAGCCTTTTTCTTTCTTCCTCTTCTCTTCATTGTGAAGCTCTCAGCAGCCACAGGTATTCGATTCTTCTTTGCGAGAGCTCCCTACACGACAAGAGGGAGACGGGCGTCAAAATGGAGGCATACGGCCCAGGCAGTGGCCGCCCGGGAAACAATGTATGCGTTGTTGGTACTGGGGTAACCGGGCTGTTGGCGGTGAAAAACCTGGTCGAACAAGGCTTAAGCGTCAGAGCTCTGGAGCAAAGCGAAAATCTCGGCGGCAATTGGTACCATTCGATGGCTACGGAGCAGGTGTCGGCGTTGCCAGAGATGAAGGTGAACATGTCGAAAGAAACAGTGAGTGGCAGCGACCTAAGAACCAACATTGGTCATGTGGCACGTGAGACTTACCAGGAGATATAAACGACAGAACTGCTTTACAGATTTTCCAATGCCGGATGGTGAGTTTTGAACAAGATGAGCTCTATTAGCTACTGAGGTTGGCAAGCGTTCTTGAAGAAGTGTTGCTAACAGGTGTGTCGAATGTGTACAGACTATCCGTCATTTCCTTCCGCAAAACAGATCGGTGACTACTTGGAGGCCTACGCAGACAAATTCGAACTGATCAAACATATCGAACTGTCAACGACCGTGACAAGTATTCGACGAGACGAAGAGGACGGCGTCTGGATCGTATCCACGAGACACACAAGAACCGGCGAGGAAGATGAGCGAGAGTATGACAGAGTAGTGATGGCGACGGGAGGGCTGAATGTCAGAAACATGCCCGAAATCAAGGGCATTGAAAAATTCGCTGGCGATGCCATACACTCTCGCGATTTCAAAGATCCCACAAAATATGCCGGAAAGAATGTCCTGGTCGTGGGCCTAGGCTCTACGGGAGCCGATACATTGAGTTTTTTGAAGCAGGCCGGTGCAAATAAGTTATATCTCAGCAGTAGAAGCCGATGTTCGCTGGTGATTAATCCCAAACACGCCTTCTCGCCCACTATCGTCCAAGAACTCGCTGACAAGTACACCTTTAGATCCCTAGAACTATCAGAGGACGACCGTGGGACCACTATATGACCCGCCGTGCAGATTCAATGATTCGACGCTCAATGGCATGGTCCCCTCAAGCTTCGAACTATGTTGCCGGCAAAGCAATTGGCCTCATCCAAAGTTATGCGTTTCCGACTCTGAGGGGGCATCCTTGCTTCAGCGGCGCAGTCAGCGGTCCACTGTACCGCAGTCCGTTTGTCTGCGATGAACTGCCAAGTCTTCTAGACAGTGGTGATGTGAAAGTTTATGGTGGCATTATGGGAGTCGCCGGCCCCCGTACTGTGGTGTTCAAGGACGGCAGCGAGATTACAGATGTAGACGCAATCATTTTTTGCTGCGGCTATTATCACGATCTCTCTCTGATCAAAGGAGAAGGGAACCCTGCCGATGTTGAATACTCTACAGATTCATTTGAGCAGTTGAAGCAGGCGAAACACCACAACATCCATAGCGAATATCAAAGACTCTATCACGGAATTCTATCAGAACGATACCCGGAATCATTAGCCGTACTGGGCGGCCTCACAACAGTGCGACCTACTTTTGTGCTCTACGACCTTGCCACCATGGCGCTCGCTAGCCTTTGGTCTGGGAGCTATCCACTTCCCTCGCCGCGAGCAATGAAAAGAGAGATTGACTCTCATTACAACTCCGTGGTACGAGCGCTTGAAAATGGCCCGATGTCATTCCTTGGCCTCCGTATAGATGTGCGAGGGACCTACAAATGGCTGAATGCGACTGCCGGAACTGGAGTTATAGAACGGCTCGAAGGATGGGGCTGGGAGGCGTGGAAGTTTTGGTGGAAGAACAAGACACTGTTCAAGTACATCATGAATGGACCCAACGTTCCGGCCGTATACAGACTCTTCGATATGGGGAGAGGAAGAAGGTCATGGGATGGAGCCCGAGCAGCCATTGAAAAGGTCAATGAGAAGCCCATATTGATGGCTGCTGAACAGACCAAGCTATCGGCCAAGGACGAGACGGAAAACAAAAAGGAAGACGAAGCGAAGGTCGAAATGAAGGACGAAACAAAGGACGAGGCTCGATATGAAACTGGGAGCGAGACTGAAAGCGAGACTGAGCACGATACCGAAGAAGATGTCGAAAACGCCATTGGCGAGGCCACCGAGGAGGTTTACGCAGCAGATATGATGAAAGTGGAAGCAATGGACTATCTTGAAGCTGAAGACGAATCAAGCCTGTGATTCGTACTTCCGTATAAGACGGATGAGTGAGGAACAACAGAGAGCAACGGCCGCCACAACGGCAAAGGCCAAAGTTCAGATGCAGGCAACAAAGGGTACAAGGCAGAAAGTACAGAGCAGAGGTCAGAGGGCAGAGAGACCGAGGGAGCCCAAAAAGAAAATTGTCGGGGCATGGCGACAGGACACTAGAACGAACATCCCACAAAGCATCCCGCACAAGGCAAACGATGCATGATAATGATATAATGATAATGAGACATGAATGCAAACATGCATACAAATATTGAGTGCACGGTCGTTGGTGGCGTCTCATGCGGACTGCCTACAGCAATCTATCATGGTCCACGAGAAGGCTTTCACCCGCTGTCAGGAGTCGCAACTACGGCGGGAATTTGCTATCATCGGTCTTTACAACTCTCATCGCCGATTTTCTCGTACACAAGCTTTTCTTTTTCCAAGCCACAGGTCTAGCCCTTTCTCCCTCTCTCTCTTATCAATGGTTCAGGTTGCATTACGCCACCAATTTTGACTCTTCTTTTCTTTTTCTTCACCGGTCTTGATCCTTCGGTGAATGGTGAGCCATATAAGAGGAGAAGTATAGCACACCACCCACTGAGATAGTCTAACTTCATGGGGAGGCTGGGAGAGCTCCGCGGCGTACGCAGCCTGATTTTTTGTCATGTACTTGTACAGATACCATCATCCGAGCCTTACACCGGGCACATTTGAATGTTCGAAAAGCTGAAGAGGGTGTGAACAGGAGAAATTGGCTTGGCGTAGTGCCAGGGCCTCGAAAAAGTGACTAGACATCCTTGCAGTACAGGGGACGTACGGCTGATACCAAGGGGGGCGTGTGGCCGATGTACTCTTACTTGCGAGCAGTACAGTACATTGGAGAGTAATGGTCATGGCTGCTGGAGCAAGACAACCGCAGGGGCAATCACGTTGGAGAACCCTCGTTCTACTTAGCAAAAGGTCTATGTCAGAAAGTTTCAGCTTACTTACTACAAACAGACAGCTGGCATACGAACAGTGCATATAGTTTGGGCATCGAGCGAACAAAACAAAGCTATCGCATAAAACTCAGCGGAACAAAATTTCTCCCTCCTGTACAGGAGTTAACCTGGGAATAGCACTCCAATGAGGCAGCGAGCTCCCGAGGAAGGAAGCTTCGTAGTAACAGACGACCGAGTAATACAGCACTTGGCCGTAATAACGTAGTCAGGCAGGATGAGACATCGAGTCCAGGCGCTTCTCTCTGGATACCGGGTTACCGGTGCTGATCGCCGTCTCTCCCGTTGTCAGGCCGAGAAAGAAAATAATACATGGTTGCATAATTCAGAGACAATGAATGCAGGGGGGGGGGGCCTTTCACCCCACGAGAGCTGGTAGCTCTTGTTACTAGTAAAGAGAGTCACGATATTATCCCGCTGTAGCAAACAAACGGCTGATGGCAAACGCTGATGGGATGTGCTTGGATTGTTGTCGTTTAATTATATATATCTGGGCAAATGTTCCAGAGTCTCTCTTCTCGATATATTGTGTAGACTTCTTCCTTTGCGAATTTTGTAAAGGTCTTTCTTTACAGATTTGCAAGACTTCTTCATAGCTCTTGCGAGTTCTCCCACACACCCTCGCCTCACTCTTCTGCTTACAGCTATGCCTATTTGATCAAGAGTAGAGAAGCTCCCTGTTGTTAGTCTTCATATCACTATCTACTTTTGAGCATTTGGCTACCGAGAATGGACTGTCTAGACGAGCCACTTCTGGTCCTATCAGGGCCCACGTCCTCTGAAGATGTCACGCCGCTAAATGAAATGGCCTCGTGCGGATTCAGCACTGCTACTGATATTTCTCCACACCCGGTGGCAAAGGCACCTTGGAGGATCGTGGCGGCCTCTGACAAGGACAAATCCCCAGAGGCACCGGCAAACTTGTCCACACCTTCGTCTGCCTCCGAACCCAAGGTAAATTGTTGTTGCTTTCGACTTATAAATGCAGGGAACTAACTCATGAAGCAGGAAGCAAAGAGAGTATCATTTGTTCTCCCCGTCAAACCGACAGAGGAGCTTGCGGAGCCTGAATGTTGGCCTTTCGGTCGAAAATCCGGAGATGCAGAGCACCGTTCTCTCACTGAGGAGGAGCTCTGTCGCCTGCTGCCTTCCTCGTTTCGAAATGGCATAGCCTGGGTTGGGATTCCAGAAAAGCGTGTCGAGCACTTTTTGACGAACGATCTCAGCGTAAATCGCTTAATGGAAGTGTTCGATTGCTTTTTCATGCTTGGTAAGAATGCACCACCACGCGCTCTCAGCTACCAAAAGGCTCTTGGTCTCGAAATTACCGTCATTGAAAAAATGGATATGCATTTGCTCCGCTCAAAGGGACAGATTCTTATCAAGCCCCTCCCAAAGTATCTCTTTGAACCCAAGTTTTGGGAGGAATACCTTGAATGCCCGGAAGAATGCCCGTATAACGACATGTTCACGGCTTTTCGAAGAGGAGGGCAGTTGCATAACAGCCACAGACTCACCGAACTCAAACCTTGCAATCACAGCATCATTTGGATGCGCGCCTTGGGATTCGCTTTCTCCTACGTTGCCCTAGTGTGCACCAAGAGCGATTTTGAGATTGCAAAGGCGAAAAAATTGATCCCAGACGACGTCAATTTTGAAGGCTGGAAGTACTTTGTGTCTCGGATTCTCAGCGACAGCGCCGGCGGCAAGATCCTGAGGCAAATCGACAAGCGATTCACGTATGGCGAACTGGATCTGGCACGCCTCAACCAGGTTTTCATGATTCGCAGCCCTTTTAAGTGGCTCTTCCAAGGGAATGAACACCGAGAGTTGGTCCAGAGTCACTTCTTTCTGCCTCCCTTGTCCATCTATGTGGCTGTCGTTCTGGGATACAGGTTCGCCAGGATTGCCTACACAAAGATGAAGGAAAACCAGCCGTTGGCAGTAGTGGTGTAAGTAGCAGCTTTTCTCCCTTCTTTGCAATCTTCTCAAGGCTAATGTTTGTACAGTTTCATTACTTGCTTCTGGCTTGTCCTTTGCTTGCTCTCTTTGGTCAGGAGCGAGTCACCAATGCTTTGAGTTTAAGGGGCTGAAGAAGCGGCTAGAGACGAGCGGTCTCGAGTTCAGCCTGCGCGGCTAGAGGTGGAAAAAGTGTGTTTCTGGAATTCGGCTGGTTTTGGTAGAGATAGATGTTTATTGCATCGAGTGAGCAGATCGTAACATTGATTGATTTTAATGGATATTACCTATTTGGTAGATAGTTTTTGCACAAGCAGTTAGCTTTTACACAACACAGAAAGAAAGAAAAAGATTCATTCCCTTTTAATGGCAAGAAGAAATTTAATTGCGTGGTATCTTCTTAATTATTATCTAGTATATGAGTTAGCAGTCTTCGGGCAAGATCTGGGAGAAGAGTGGCTGGTCTGTGACGATGCTGAGGCGCGGCGTTACCCGGCGATGCAGATTTCCACCGAGCTGTCAACTTTCCGTCATCGTCATTATCGTAAGCGTAGAGTGTTGCAGCCTTCCTCAGGGTTGATCAAGTTTGTTATTTGTTCGCGGTAGGCCGTGCTGAATATACTCGTCGGACGTGCGCTCTTACACAGAGCATGGAGATTTTGGATAATGGCGGCGCAAGAGATTGACAGACGAATTAGCGAGTGGATCTAGGCTAAGATATTAGTTGTACTTACAGTATAGATTGAATGGCCATACATGGGTAAGGTATGTCAAATATTGGATCCATCAATCGAAAAAAGGCCAGATCGAGCTGCAGCTGCGTATTATTCGCAACATAGACGTGTGAGGGCTGATGGCTAAGTAACGTCACGCTACTCGAGGTTTGCCGGCTCGAAAAGGAAAAAATGACAACATGGGTAGGTTATGGTAGCTTTTTTTGTCAAATAAGGTGATTCATCATACTATATCATCTATTAGAGGAACATCCATGGATGGTGTTTCTTTCTGCCATTGGCGGTGTATTGGGATTAGAATCCGTAGTAGGCGCCACGGTGTATTATTGCTGCGTACTCCAGATTCAATGACTGCTTGTCTTGAATGCTGCCTCGCTATGCTCAGCTTCGCTATACTCAGCCTTGACTTGCATTACCTTCATCCTCTGTGTCGTGCATCTCTTTGTTTATTCTCTTTCGAAGCATTGAATCCAAACTCCCACCATATCCATGGAAGTTACAGATTAACTGATTCTACCAACATGCAGCCTGCAGTAGGATATGATGCCAACAGTTTTAACCGACTATCTCTCCAGCATGAATTAATACATGTTCTATATAACTTGATTGAATTTCTCCAGCTGTATTCGATAGTTTCCCAAGACTCATACTCGATACTAACGCTATTGGCTACTAGAGGGACCGCAACTCTATGGATCATACCGCGATCATCACACAATGTGCTTGGAGAAGACCGATGAACGAAACAATCCAAGATAATTTACACGTCGAAACAACCCAGAACCTCAAACAGACTGGATTGTTGAGATGTATCAGTTAGCGAAAGGCTTGGTAAATGGGATACCACCGCGGTTGATATCGACAACCATGACCCTTCTGCGAGAAAAGCGCACACAGCTACTAGCAAACGAGATTCTCTCCTCTACATTTGAGCCACTTATATTACTTTTACCTTCTGGTGAAGCCACGTTTACACAGAAGCTGCATGTTTCGTTGATGTGCGACAAACAACTTGTTTCCGTGGCTTTACAATGGCGGCTAATGCATTGTCCGCCAATGTCAACCGCCAATGCCTATAAGAATACCGAGACCTAGGAGCAGACCGTAAAGCCTCATGAAAGGAATGAAGTTGGATTAGAACTTTCTGCTTTTAGATAAAGAAATCTGGGGGGAACTAAGTAGATTTCCTGATGCAGATGCTCATATTACCAGAAAACCTCTAGCGGAGGATCGCGCATGGAATCGCGGCACGCGCATTCCGTGCGAGGGATTCCCATTTCGAAGAGAGAAATGAAAAGATGGCGGCTACTGGAGTGGAAACGTGCAGACTTGCCCCCCTTCCTGGCGTAACGCCAAGCTACGTCAAAGTTTGGTGGGATGCGGCGATTTGTTTCAGATGGCAACAAAGCCGTTACAGGTGATATCTAGAGCAGCGGATGTCGCGCGAGAGTCGAAAGCTTTGCACCATGCGCTTAGCACGCTGGTTAAGCGCACAGGACAAGCAAGGTAGATAGTGGTCTAGCATTAGAACTGAGCGAAAACATGTTGCTGTTGCTGCTCGTGCGCAAATGGTGTCAAGGTCTGGAAAACTTGCCGTCTCTCCCAAAGCGTTTACCTGTGGATGCCATCTTGTGACGACTCAGTAGACGCCTAGCACTTTTGCTAGTGACTGGAGATAATGTGGAAGCTTCCTCATTCCCAGGGCAACGTCGAACTTGGTGGTGGCAGCAGGTTGCCGCCTTCGAGAAGCACTGTCATCCCTAACAAGAAGAAAAGGAGGATAGAAGCAGCGGCAAGAGGCAGCGCTGCTGCTCTCCATCGCCATGGCGGTGTCGCTGCCTCGTGCACTCGCCCGCATGTCAGCAGCTACAGCACTTCGTATTGTCGGGAAGCTGCTGTTGCTAAACCCTACGGTGGGAGCTAGGACTGAATGCTACAGTAGCAAGCAACTCCATCTCCATCCGCCTATTCTTAGGCCCAGGACGTTGAATGAGTCGAGTTCAAGAGCCAGTTTTGGCACAGAGCGCCTTGACCGGTTTCGACACTAGGCAGACGCCGGGCTTTGTTCCAGATTGGACACCCGTTTGCAGAGGCCAGCCACCTCTAGTGTGGTATGTAGCAGGATCAATTGAATTTCAATCAGCAATATCGAGCTCGTGGCAGTCCTACTAGAGCTCTTCTGCTGCCACTGACATCCATGCGCAAGCAGAACAAAGCCTCACAGCCTGGCAGTCTCCATTTACACAAAAGAGCTGCAATACAGGCCCTTGCCTCTGCCCTTGCCAATGTGCATCTCGGGTCAGGCGACTTGACCTGGACTTTTGCCGTGAGCGAGAAGTGAGCAGGGTACGTACCGTGCATGGGGTGGTGCCTTTTTCGGCCCTCGCCTCCTCCCTCGCCTTTCTCTCCTCCCCCCACATCCAGCCACAGCACGCATGAACCTCATCTTTTGTCACCAAAACCGAGCCAGCAACAAGCAGTAAGCAGCCAGAGTCTGCCAGACGGAACTTTGCATCTTCCAGCTCAGTGCTGAATTCCCCAAAATCAACCAAAACCAAGTCTGGGCTCGACCAGCCCCAATTAGACGGTGAGCCCGCCTCCTCTCTCTCTCTTCTCTCTTTTCTGTCTCTCTATCAGCAATCAAATGAAATCACATCAAATCTCCTTTGACCACCCAAACAAGGCGCGGGCGGCTCCTTGCGCCTCGCCTCACAGCTACACGGCACAAGGAAGCCTTGATTCTGTTTCCCCTTCCCCTCTTCATTGCCGTCTTTTGCTTTCATCATCATCACCATCGTCTTCCTTATATCCATCCGAATCTGCATCTGCATCTGCATCTACAGCCTCTGATTCGTCTCCCGCCATCCACACTCTCTGGTCCGGTATCACAACGCCTTACGAGCCTTCCCTTGCATCTCGTGTAGGTGCCGCCATCTGATTTGTGCTGCTTAAAAGCCCCCCAAAATCCCTTGCAGACGAAACGCGTTCATCCATAGAGACGGGGCCTATCAAGTCGTCGCCTCCCCCTCGATTCTGTCTCCACCAGCTCCAGCGGCGCTAGCAGATACATCATCCAACAGGGTACGTGTAACGCAAGTGGCAGGTATCTTTCTATCTTTGCCTCCTAAGCCTCTCCTAGCAAGCTCCTACAGTAGCAAGCCCCGAGCCACGGACTAGCACAGGATCGAGTTAGCCGGCGGGTGTCTCTTTTGCCTGCTGCGAAGCTGCTTGATATCCATCGCCCTTTTGATTGCCCGGCCTCTTGCAGCTTCACCTCCTGCGGCTGAACCCCGTTTCCTCTGACGTTGATGCAGCCTTGAAACCCTCTCCAGACCGAGGCGCCGCCATCACCATCTCCCATCTCCGATTTCCGCTTCTCATCTGCAGCCATTCGTCCATCTCCCTTTTGTCGTCGTGATTCTCTCTCCTGTCTGTTTCTCCTCGCTATCTTCCAAGCGCAAAGCCCCTCGTTCGCTCCGTCCTCCACCGACTTGTCGCCTCTCGATTGCAACCAACCCCTCCGCCGCATCAGATATCATACCATTACCGCCGTCGCTAACCATTCAGGATTCATCACAGAACCGTTATCGAACATACTGCTTAATCTTTAGACGCAATGGCGCAAGCTGGAGTTCAGTCGTTGAAGGTAACCGCGCTTTCTCCTTTTCCCCTCCGCCGTTGGATTTTTTCTTCTTTTACTGACGTCTCCTATCTCCTTTAGTGTGTCGTGACTGGTGACGGTGCCGTTGGCAAGGTTTGTACCATCCTCAGATTTCCATTTCTTCAGCTGGATCTGTATCGGCTAACTTTCGACTTTTCAGACCTGTCTGCTCATCTCGTACACGACCAATGCCTTCCCCGGAGAGTATATCCCGACAGTGTCAGTCTCTCATTCCGCGTCGGAAAAGAAGGGGAGGAATCACTATGATTGGAATCAGCTGTTGACTTTTGTTTATTAGGTTTGACAACTACTCTGCTAGCGTCATTGTTGATGGCAAACCCATCAGTCTGGGTCTTTGGGATACGGCAGGCCAGGAAGATTATGACAGACTCCGGCCCTTGTCCTATCCCCAGACTGATGTCTTCCTCATCTGCTTCTCCGTCGTGAGCCCGCCATCGTACGACAACGTTGCCGCAAAGGTACGAGTCGCGCTCTCTCTTTTGAATCATCGCCGTTTAGATAAGAAACACGAAGCATCTGACCTTTTGAATAGTGGCTTCCTGAGATCACTCATCACTCTTCCGGAACTCCCATCATCCTGGTTGGCACCAAGATCGATCTTCGAGACGACCCTGGCACCCGCGCTGCCCTGACCAAGCAGCACATGGAGCCTGTCCGATACGAGAACGTGCTCAACTACGTCAAGGATGTCAACAAGGCGAACAAGATTATTTACAAATACATTGAGTGCTCTGCCCTGACGCAGCGAAATCTCAAGAGTGTCTTTGACGAGGCTATTCGGTAAGCATTGCCAGTCCTGCCTTAGCTTTTCACCATTCCTTCCCCCCCCCCCCCTCTATTGTTACTTTTAGCATCGGCCTGTCTCTTCTTATCTTCTACCGGCTGCTGACTTTTGATCTCTTCTCTCCTCCAGTGCGGTCCTGAACCCAACCCCTCAGGCCTCCAAGGCCAAGAAGTCCAAGTGTTCTATCCTTTAAATGAATCTACGATGTCAGTTCGTTTGCCATCTTTAGCATCTCGTGCAGCGAAGACGTCTTAGCATTTGTTTCCAACGAACGATTTACAATCTCGAGCCGCCGCCGCCTCACGAATCTTTTTCTTTTCCATTTTGAGTCACCTAGAATGGTGTGCATTACAGAAGCTTCCTCACTGGGCCATTTTTCGATGAATTTAGACCGAAAGTGCATTTAATGGAGGATGGAGGAGCAGATTACGAGGATGGAGAAGAGGACCGGGGCTCTAAAAAGGAGATTTCTTTTTCTTTGTTTTTGTGTTTTTTAATGAACATGGCTGTCCTGTGTCTTGAGATTCCCCCCATTTTCTCGGTACTGTTGATAGAGTTTGCAGCAAGCCAGAAAATGACATTTGTTAACAGGACGGCGACGATTCTGATGCCATCTTGATGGTTCTAGAAGCTGGAGGATGAAAAGCAGCAAGAGAGAAAAAAAGAGCAAAGAACAAAAAAACAGTACAAACCCCATGGCGTCTGGTAAATTCTTAACGATTGTTTCTGTCTGCATTGCTTCTGTCATTCCCTCCATAGACTTGAAAACGCAATCTTAAAAGCCTTTCTTTTCGCCCCTTTAAACTGTCTTGAATGTTCTTTACCATGTTGGCTTGCTCTAGCATGGGGTAGACGATATGTGCATAATATATTGTGCCGATACGTGTAATGCTGGTATATGAAGATGGCTTTGGCGAATTATACAAGTGTTTCAAAGAGTATGAGGAGCATTATGGATGTGAAGAACCAAGCTCCGTCCCATTCTATTGAGGGGTATCTCTCTTCTTGCTATTTTTGTTTTCTATCTCCTGTCCACGCTGCATACCATATCCCTATATCCAGCTGTTTTGTGGTTATGCATAACAATTCCCATCCCCCACCCCCCTCTCCAATGTGTTCAAAATCCAGCATATATCAATGACAGATTCTCCACAGATATGTTGTGTTTAGATTGCTTGCCGTCTGCCCGATTTCTTCTGCATGTGCGGGTAAAGGACAAACAGCCAAGTAAAGATATTATTGACAGAAAGACAAGTTTATATGATCAAATCCCAATATAAAAAAGGAACAAAGAAAAAGAAGAAGTAAACGCGCAAGAAAATCGCCTGGAGAATAAATGGCCGGGCTGAGGGTAATGTCCATAAATGATTTCAGCAAGAACGAATTCTTATTAACTTCGGAAACCAGGGAGACGGGCAAGACGGCTAGGATGGATGTCCATTCGGGCGTTTCCTCCATTGCCCTGGTTCTCTTCCTTGGCAACCTTTTCCTTCTCGATGCGCTTCGCTCGGTTCTCATCGAGTTTCTTGTTCTTCTCCATGATCTTGCCCTGACGGCCTTGGCTCTTTCCACCACCTCCGGCGCTGTAGGTGTGACTGTTAGCATTTATCCCTTTTCATACGCTTCGCAATTCATCTTTTTTTTTTTTCCGGTCAAGACTTACGTCAACTCGACATTGATTCTTCTCGGTTCAGACACGCCATCCTCAAACATGGAGTGGTGGAACTTGTCCAGGCAGGTCCTCTGATGCGCGGGCGATGAAAACTCGACAAAGGCAATGCCTCGGCACATCTTAGGATCTTCCTTCTTGGTCAAGCAGCGCACGGCAACCGGCTTCAGGGAGGCAAAATGCGCGGTGATGGTTGCGGCGGTGGCAGTGTAAGGCAGGTTGCCGACGAAGACAATGTTACGGCCCGGCTTGGTTGCTGTCGAGGCGTCGAGGTCGATGGCATCTTCGCCTTGTGGTACGTCTTTGGAAGCCGAGGTTTCGGGCTGAGGCTGGGCTTCTTTTTCAGCCTTCTTTTTCTCTTTCTTCTCTTTCTTCTCCTTCTTCTCCTTCTTCTCCTTCTTTGCATCGCCATTTGTCTTGGCTTCGGGCTGGGTCACAGTAGGCTCAGCAACCTGCGCACCACCCTCGCCGCTTTCATCGGTGTCCACGTCTTCAGGAAGATCCTGAATGTTCTTGCGCTCGTCCTTCTTCTCTTTTCGAGTCTTGTTGTTGTACTTTGACTTGTCCTTTTTGGGCTTCTTCGCCTCTCGCTCTTCCTTTGCCTCCTTCTTCTTCTCCTTCTTCTCCTTCTTTTCTCTCTTCTCCTTAACGTCCTCTTTATGCTTCTTCAAGCTGCTCGATGATGCGGCATCGTCGTCAGTGCGCTTGCGCTTCTTGTCGATAGACACGTCGACGGGATTGGAGTCCTCGGCTGAGGAGGCGGCGGTGGCTCGCTTGGACTTCATTGTGATGGAATTTTTCTTTTTCTTTTTCTTTTTCAAGTCAAAAGACTGAATGAAACTGCAGAAATAATTCGCTATTTGTGATTATGCGGAATGGACAAGAAAAAGCAGCCAGAAATCTGCGTAGTTTTGTTAGATTGCGACGCTCAAACTGCCACTGATAAGATTGGGAAAAAAAAAATCTCCAATGGCTCTTATCGCGCCTACTCAGGCCGCTCCCATTTTTTTCAGAGGTGGGGCAAGACACTTCGCGTTTGCATCGGCGCTAGTGCTAGCATCTTGTATTTTCCGCTTTGGTGCCGCCCGCCACAAACGTTATTGCAAGTTTAAAAGCAGTATTGGCTCCGTTGGCATTTGGCTGTTCGGTATAAGTGAGGATGAGACAATGGTGGTGAAGTTTGGATCGTATTAGTTTCTAGTCAAAGCGCCTTGGCATGAACTGAATGAAATACGTGATCAGAAAAAGAGTAAGCACTGGTTTGCTCTTTTTTTAGTTGCGTACTCTTAAGCGAGCAGCGCATTAGGTAATGGGCATGAGCCGCATAATGCTTTCTCACGTCCCTAGAATCATCTGCACCTTATGGAGGCTCATATTACCCAACATGCGCTGTAATTGGCCCTTGGCTTCGCTTCTCTGTTACACCGCATCGATCGACGCATCCCGCTTGCCCTGTTTGTCTCTCAGAAGCAGGAACAGCTTTACGCCATGCACGTAAGCCTACAATGGGCGGTTTAAGAGATCTTGCCCAAGAAGAGGGACGAAAATATCTTGGGGGAGAAAAATATCTTGTGGTGCCCCAACTACTGGATATTTTCTAGTTCAGTTACTCTCAAATGTACGGATATGGCTGTTTTGATTTTCTTGGGCTATTCATCCTGCTACTCGAGCCCAATTCCACAGCGAAGTGTGCAAATCAATGCAGGCATCTGCTAGAGGCATAGAATCGGAATGCTCTGGATCAACAGATAAGGTTTATCGATCTCCAGAAGTAGCCACATCGTAGTATCTACTACTACTACTAGTTATACGTGATAAAGGAAAAACGTAGGTACTACTGCAGCTGCTCTTGAGGCAAGATATACCCTACAAGTTGGCAACTGCCATCGGACGCTTCAATGTATACTCCCCTGCTCGGCAAACCGGTTGAACCATCTCCTGCATCGGAAGGAGCATCTCGAAAGAGACGGTCACGCAGATACAGCCCCTCACTGGCTCTATTGGCCGAATTGCCGAGCCTGGTCACGTCATCATCAGGCTGCCCATCACATCTTCCTCCACAGAAAGTGATGAGAACAAGACACGCTCGCTTCTTTCCGTGCCGGCATGCGGGGAAACTGTTATCTTTCCATTCTTGGAGCAACAAGCAGGAAGCAGCGCCGCAATCGCAGAGCCATAGCCGAGATCTGGACGGAACTTGCCATGTCAGTAGTGTTGAGAGGCTGCCTGTGGCTTCCTTAGCATCATCACCACAAGTAGGTAAGGCGCGTCCAGCTCTTACCCCGCAAATTACAGGGAGGGGCGCCAAAAAAGCCAATCCACTGCCCTGAATTGGGGGCGGCCTAGGCCCTAGATTGAATTTAGAACCAAGATCCTCTCTGCTCACGCCATGTGATGGGCCAGCTTTCGTGTGGAGAAGATGGGGAAAACGGGGAGATGGTTAATCGCATTGTCTCTTCCTCCCTCTCCCAGCCCACGGTTAATCTTGGGTGATTCTTATTCGTCATGCCATCGGGTCAATTCTCTGGCCATCGCTGGCATAACCTTCTGCGCGCCCAGTCTCTCTTTGGTTACGAGTCAGTTGCTGGGCTAGCTAGTCATTCCATCGGTAGTTTTTTTTGATATCACCTCTGGAGGCTGTCCTAACTAGCCTTATAGCTGCGAACCCCAAACTTGGAGAGATGATCGGCATCGTTTACGTACTGCCTAGTGGCACTGCAATTCCCGGTTGATAACCTATTCCCGGCTCTGGTCGGCTCCAAAATGCAAAAGCAAGAGAAAGAAGATGGTCGCTCCACCGAACAAAGATCGAGCAAGAAGCTTGACGCCAGCAGATTGCAAAATGTTGGGCAAATACCGAGACCAGGTGCCAGGCGAACCAGGATTGTCGCTCCACGCAAGGTCAAAAGTAATCATTCGGTTCATACCTACTTCTGCATCCGTACTAACCTGCCCATCTTGTGGAGAAGACTGTGAATAGAATGCATCATCGTGGGTCTTTCTCCAGAGTAGCGAGACCCTCCCCCAGCTTCCCCCAGCTTGCTAAGTATATGCCAGCCACAAGTATCGCCATTCATGACCATGGCAGAATGCAGCAAGGAGAGCCACGGCAACAACGCAGCACAAGGGTCAGCTCGAAAAGCATGGGCCCTTGACCGGAATCTTCTTTTTGGGGCCTTGTACAGGTGCTACTCTGGCCATTTATCTTCTAACTGTCCCCCCCTCATCTGAGACAAGGTCTCATTATCTTCCTTCGGATGTAACCTTCTTACCTACCACCAATTTTCGTCTTCTATTCTTCTTCTCCAACCTTTTTTTCTGCAAGAAAACGCAACATCTGCGTTCTTGACTACTAGGAGCCTTTGCATCCTTCCTTTCCCCTTATTTCCTTGGTTTAGTCTTCAGGGTTACACCTGGACGCGCGACGCGCAATGGAGGTCAACAACCCTACCTCTGAAAAAGTCGAGGTTGAGCAGCTTCAAGATGTGGCAAAGAATGATCTCGAGACCTCGGGGGTAGAGACGGGATCTGACCGTGCTGTTGGGTCTTTCGTTGATGTTGACGAGAAGAAAGTCTTGCGCAAGGTACCCATCTTCTAATCCCCGGCAGCAGACATCAAGCTAACTCAAAACTTTGTAGATGGACATGAGACTCATCCCCATGCTCGCGGCGTTGTATCTCCTTTCGTTCCTCGATCGTAAGTATCCATTCTCCAGTGCAGTTCACATTCTCTTCTACAATTGTAGTTCAATATGTCCCATCTAACTCGTTGTACCCAGGGGGAAATATTGGCAATGCCAAGATCGAAGGCCTTCAAGAAGACCTCAACATGACGCCGGGCCAATACAACTGGTGTCTCACTGTCTTCTTTTTCACCTACGCAGCCTTTGAGGTTCCTAGCAATCTGCTGCTAAAAAAGTTGCGCCCCAGCCGGTGGCTGCCATTAATAATGGTTTGCTGGGGGATTGTAATGACGCTCATGGGCCTTGTCCAGAGTTTCCAAGGCCTGGTAGTGGCTCGGTTATTTCTAGGAGTAACAGAAGCTGGTTTGTTTCCAGGAGTTGCTGTATGTCCTCTTGTCTTTAACCGTCTTCCCATTGCTTACAGTATAACCATGCCATTTTCTTCTTTCTGAGCTGACACACGCCCTCGTGTAGTACTATCTTACCTTGTGGTATTGCCGCCATGAGATCCAGTTTCGTCAAGCACTCTTCTTCTCTGCCGCATCTGTAGCCGGCGCCTTTAGCGGCCTTCTCGCCTTCGGTATCAGCAAAATGGACGGCGTTGGCGGCCTTGCTGGATGGCGTTGGATCTTCATCCTTGAAGGAATCGCAACCGTGCTTGTTGCCGCCTCGGCCTTTTTCTTGCTGTTCGATTTTCCCGAGACAGCCTCGTTTCTCACCGAAGAAGAACGTGCCTTTGTCATCCATCGGCTCAAGTACCAGGGCCAGGTCCAACTATTGGCTGATGGCACGGCGAATCAGGCCCAAGTTGCACAGGCTGAAGAGTTTCAATGGAAGTACGTTTGGCAGGCTTTTACAGATTGGCAAATCTGGGTCAACATTTTCGTCTACTGGAGCGTAAGTCTATCTCTGCTCGTATTTTTCCTCCGTGTCACCCCCTTGTGCGTATACCGTTGAATTTTTACTACGCTTTGCGCAATGCCAAGCTCTTCATTGAGTATATATGCTTGGTGCTAATACCTTCAATTGAACAATCTAGATCGTCTGTCCTCTCTACGGCATCTCTCTCTTCCTTCCCAGCATTATCAAATCTCTCCACTATACCTCAAGCACTGCCCAATTAATGACTGTGCCCATCTACGTCGTCGCCGCCATCCTCGCCGTCATCACCGCATGGTTCTCCGATAGAGTCGGCAAGCGCAGCCCCTTCATCATTGGCTTCTTGTTCATGATGATACTCGGCTACGGCATGTAAGTCTACGTCTCTCTAGCTTTCGCCCCCCATAACTATTGCCAAGAAAACATCAAGCTAATATCATCGAACTAGGTGTATCGGTTCATCCAATCCCAAAGTCGTCTACGGAGGCATCTTCCTTGTCGCCTGTGCTATTTACCCTTCATTCCCCGGTAACATCACCTGGTTGTGCAACAACTTGTCCGGATCCTACAAGCGCAGCGCCGGCATGGCCATTCAAATTGGAGTTGGAAACCTTGGAGGGGTAAGTCGGCACGCGAGAGATATTCTGTATACGCATTGCTAATTCTTCTTTCAACCAAGCCATGGCATCCAACTTCTACCGTCAAGTCGATAACCCTCGGTACATACTGGGGCATGGCTTGGAGCTGGGATTCATCTCCATAGGCATCGTCGCAAGCGTCATCTTGATCGTTAGCTACCACACCATCAACAAGAAGCGCGAACAGAAGCTTGCCAATGGAGAGGCGGCTCACTATACACCGCAAGAGCTATCAGAGATGGGAGACAGGGCTGTCACGTTCCGTTACATGTTTTAGGCTTCAACCATGATGAATCATATGCGAACAGTAGCTAGCTTAGACGCAAACAAGGGGATTGCAATAATCTAAATCAGCCTTGTATTTTCTATCATGACCCATTCGACGAGTCTTCCATGCATGAGGACTAGAATTATAAATGATGAACTAACAAACAAGATAATGACCACACTATTTCATCATGCCTGTAATAAAATAACAAATTAAGATGGTGGCTCCTGCAATGTACACCCACAGTCTTGTAAGCCGCCCAGTACCATGGCTAAATTCAACTCATCAGGGCCTAGCTGGTGAGAGCGACGAGCAAAGTCATCACACAAAGGTACGGTGTCAGCTTTGAATCACTGCTGACGAGTGCGACTCTAGGGGGCGATGGCTCCATTTCTGTACTATTGGGTTGCATAGAGGAGTGGTCTGGCTTGGGCCTCGAAGTGGTAAGCCCTGTATGTGTCACAGAGGTGCTTGATCCGACGTGGTGATGTCCTGCATTGGCCGTAGACTTCGCTGTCGAGTTGCTGCCAGCACTCGATTGAGTGGCGGAAGCATGACCGCTCTCTTTGCTCACCAAGCCCTCCGTGAGGATCCTAGACAGTGTGACAGCGGGCGGAGCATTTTCCCAGAGAGTTGTGAGTATCGTTTCCGCGCTCTGACCACCAGGGCGAATGATTTTGATCATGGCAGAACCCAGTGGCTCATTTTGTTGATTATCACCAATGGGCAACGCGTCTTTCACCATATTAAAAGGTATTGTCCTTGGAGGATGTACTGTGGTCCGCTTGCCATCAATTTTGCATGAGGTGGTCGGTGATCCATTCTCTTTCGCTGGACCAGTCGTACATGAAGTGTGGTTGCTTGTGGCAGTTGGCCAGAGGGTTATCTCAGAAGGCTCAGTCGTCTTGCCAGTGGGTTTGCCAGTGGGTTTCCCATCTGCATCTTGTACAGCTAGATCGTTTGCCTGGCTAACCGGTACTGGCACTGGTACCGGTGCTATCTGACTCTCTTGCCCGTATGATGATGGGTCGTCTACCTTTGTTCCCTGATTTTCCTGTGGAGGTGGCTCTGTATTTGATTCGGGCAGGCTGGCTTCAGAGCCGGAAGTTTCGCCGGCTGGAGACTGCCCACTTCCTCCCGATGATGCATACTTTGGAGGAGCACTACCCGAATCATCATTTAAATCATCACCCGATGCCTCGCCAGTTTGGTATGACGGAGGTGAAGGTGAGGGCAGAGGCAAGGGCTTATGGTGAATGGTGGATAGAGGCTCTGGCTCCATCAAACTGGTGGGTGTTGGGGAAGTTGAGCAAGACGGAGACGATGCCTGAGCAGCATGTGTAGGTCCCGTAGGCTGAGGTACTTGGGATCCTAGGATTGGATCGACTGACACATCAGCAACGTATGTGGTTGAGCAAGGGCTTGATGCGGGAGCTGGCGTTGGGGTTGCAGGCACGGGTGCAGGTGCAGGTATGCCATCAACATCGGAGGTAGCCGAGACATCAGGTTTGTCATCATCGTTTGGTTGACCGGAAGCCTCCTGAGTAGGGCTGGGAGATGGAAGAGGTTGGCTGTGATCTTCAGTGTCTTCGGGATCAGAGCCTCCAGCATCACCGGAAGCGGTGGAGCATGGGGTTTCAGACGACGGAGAGCTTGGGTCATCTCCATTTGGAGGTGTTGGTGAAGGCGCAGGATTTCCATGCTCCCCAAGTTCTGTTGATTGTGGAGGAGCGTGCTCATCGCCAGTGTGCTCATCGCCAGGAGCCTGAGCATCACCAGGAGCGTGGTCATCACCAGCAGCCTGGATGTTTGATGGAATCGAGCCAGGCGGACATGAAGATGTAGCACTTGGGTCAGCAGACGGAGAGTTCGGGTCGCCTCCGTTCAGAGGTGTTGCCGAAGGCGTAGAGGTTGCTGCAGGATCGCCATGCTCTCCAAATTCTGTTGATTGTGGAGGAGCGTGCTCATCACCAGTGTGTTCATCGCCAGGAGCTTGAACGTCTGATGGTGTTGAGTCAGGAGGACATGATGATGTAGCATTTGGATCAGCAGGCTCCGGCGTGGTCGGTGTCTGCTCAGCGGGAGAAGATGAAATAGTGGGTTTCTCATTGCCGTTGGCGCTGCCATTGCTACCGTCGCCTTCTCCTTCACCTTCTCCATTCTCAGGATCAGGGGTTGGTGGCGATGGCGATGGCGGAGTAGGAGACGGAGTATCAGGGGGAGATGAAGCAGGAGATGAAGAGGAAGAGAGAGATGGAGACGAGGTAGGCGGGGGAAGTGATACGGTGACGAGACCATCAGACCCAGAGTTGCATTTCAGGTCCAGGGAGATGTCAAAGGAGAGAGTCAAATGCTCAGTGTTTTTCAGAGAGGTGTCATCACTTGGCGTGCTGTATGCAGCAGGCAGTGACGGGGTAGGATGATATGGAGGCTTCTCCAGGTCAATGTGCTGGACTTCAACGGGAAACAATGGTCCAATGCCCAAGCCCAGGTTGGAACATGCCAGGACAACGTGGGATACGGCCGGACCGTAGGTATCTTGGGGGCATGAGCTGATGAGGCATTGGAAGAGAGACTGCAACAGATAGACGTTAGTGAATGCCGAGACAGATGTGCAGAGAGCTGGGATTTGGGATTGGGCAAACCGACATTGGTCCGGAGCTTGTCTGCACAAATGGTCTTAAGGTTGAGAGATCCGTTTGCGTTTCTGATGCTTGAAGCACAGTCGACGGCGCACTCTGTCCATAACTTCAGGTCAGTAACAAGGAGATGCCAGGAATCCCAAAGTACTGCAAGCATGAATCGTCACTTACGAGGTGCTGCATCCTCGGCCGCTGCGATGCCAATAGAGAGGCAAGCGATCGAGACAACGGCAACCGAAGAGGCTCGCATGTTGACAGATGAACAAACTGAGACGAAAGGCAGCGCGGAAGAGAGGAAAAAATGGTTTGTCGCAATTAACGATAGTCACCAAAAAGGGGGATCCAAAAAAGGGCTTGAGAATGCGTTCCAAAAAAGAGCGTTGTGGCGAGGCTTTGGTAGCAAACGATGGAAGATGAAGAGGAGAAAAGAAGAGAGAGGGGGGAGAGGAAAGAAAAGGAAAACAAGACTGGCAAATCGCTTGCCGAGAGACGAGCGGCGAAGGAAAGAAAGAGCGTCGCTTGTTAGTGTTTTGATGACGCAACAAGAGGAACTGGAGGAAGGAGCAGAGATGGGGGAACTTTTGGTATTAGCTGCTGATTACGGTCACGACCAAGATGAATGAGCGACGGGAATAATTAGCATCTCAGCGAAGAATCCAATTGGCGAATGCAAATCCATTTGTCTAGATGTCTAAGTAACTCCATTACACCTGGGTTGAAAAAAAAGGCAGCTATTAGGTAGGTAGAAATTAGGGCGTGATGCAAATGAAAGCGAGCTGAGCTAAAGGCAAGGATATCAGCGCGTCCCATTAGTAGAAGAGCAAGTCAAGCGGCTTCTTCTCGTCGCCATATCGGTCCTTGAACTCCTTCCTCGCAAGAAATCGTGCAAGAGGCATCACGGTGTCCTTCATGTCCATGACGCCCCTCTTCTTCTGGTCAATGTGCGAGGCATCGACGACCAGGCGCTGTAGTTTATCCAGCGATAATGAGCCTGCCCAACCCATTGATGTCAGCACATTTTGTTGAACAAGTTAAAGTGATTGTCATTGGCGTTGCATGCGCCATGGGCAGACGGGTAGAAAACTCACCATTGTCGATAAGCTCCATGAGACGCGCAGGTGTGCCGACGCCGACGCCAATCTTTTTGTTCTTGAGCAGAGTGACTTGTTCCTCGACTTTCATGTGTTTTGCAAACTGAGCGAAGGGAAAAAAAGGAGAATCAGTATATAAAAAGCATTAAAATAGATATTCAGAGAGATCCCAAATATACTCACCAGCTTCGCAACTAAACTGTCCTTGCCTGAAAATTTTCGTAGAGCTCTATAACATTCATGTTAGAAGAGATGATTCCATTGATGCAAAAGAGAGAGAAAAAGAAAGGCATAATCGGTTGACAAGATTATTGCCTCCTTACCTGGTAAGATCCGCGGCTCTCAGGCCGGCACCAGCAACAACGATGGTGTGAGGCATGCCATTCTTCTTCTGCGCCCTACTCAAGCTCTCAGGGTGCTCTGAAAATTCCTCCAGGAAAGCTGGCAAGTTGTCTAATGATCTGGTTTTCTGCCATGAGGTGGTGTCCTTGATAGAAGCGGCTACAGCCCATCTCAGTTAGCAGTCGAAAGAATAACATGTGAATGAAACGCCATTTCCCCTTCTTCTTTCAAGGTGAATATTTGTATGACGGGTGTGAATTACCTGACAAGGCCAAATCCGATAGCTCAACAGGGCTCAAATCAGTGCCGAATCTCGCCAATTTCTGCACGTGGTAGTCGGCCAGCAACTGGCTGTCCATCTTGGCGAAGAGAGTGTTGAGGCCAAGCTCAGCGTCAAGATTTTCATCTTCTACGGCGTGCTTGGATTTTCTCTTCTTGGTCTTTTTGGCTGGAGCCGGATCTTCCGCGGCTCTCTTCTTTGAAATCGACATTTTTGCTTTCTCCTCTGACATTTTGTAATAACAGCGGAGCGGATAGAGGTCTGCTTGTGATGTTTTTTTCTGGGCTTATAGTGGAACTTGGCCAAGGTGAGAATTTTTGCAGGACGGTTTGTACAGTATTTTAGATGTGGCTTGCACGGTAGATTCGCCGGCGAGGTTGCAGGAGACGTACTGTGCGCATACTGTATGTCACCGAGCGCCATCTGATGCATCCGACGCGCATTGCATTCATTTGGTATGCCGTTTTTGATAGGCAAAGTATTTCCTCCCCTTGAATAAACGAAGTCTTCTTGCATGCGCGTAAAGTAATTGACTGCATCACAAACAAGGCAATAATAATACATCTGCTTGTTTTAATCGCAATCGTTCAGTTTGGCAGGCAAAACATCTCAACAGTCAATTCAAGTCCATCGAGATAGTGTATAAAGATTTCATTCAGTCTTTTGGATATATGAACTAGATAAAAAGATGACCTATTGGCATTCTCTCACTAGGTATGGGCGAGAAATGATATTCCCCAGCTTCAAAGACAACGTATGTAAGTATAACCACAACCCCAACCCGAACGCCATACTCTACCGGTTGGATAAATGAAAGAAAAAAAAGTCATTTGAGAAATGAGAAATGGCAGAATGAAAAATCAATGATCAATGACACTTTATGTGTCCCTCGGATATAGGTAACCACATCCCTCTCCATTAGAAGATGCTGTTGACGATGTTGCTACCAATCGAAGCACCTGCACCAAAGATGGCAGCGTTACCCAGCTTCTTTCCAAACTTCTTTCCGTACTCTCCAACTTTGCCGCTGCCGTCGCCGCCTTGCTGCTGAGAAGGCTGGCCGCCCTCAGCTATAGCCATGGGTGGGACGTTGGCGTTGTATGGGTTCTGCTGCGCGGGCGGTCCTGAGGGAGCCGGGTAGCCGTAGACGGGCTGCTGAGGATAGGCTACGGGAGCGGGAGCTGGGGCCTTCTGCTCCTGTTCCACGAAGACATAGTTCTGGGGGAAGATGCCCTCCAGGCCAGTACGGTGGTTGCGGCCCATCCACCAGTCCTGGTTCATGTACTCGTACACGTCGATCTTGTCGTCCTTCTCCAGGCTCAGGTCGCGAGCGTCGCTGGCATCGTAGCGGTAAAGGGCCCTAGCATGGGCCAAGACGGGCCTGCCTGGAGCTGGCGAGCGCGTAGGGACACCAGGCGCGGGAGTGTCGTCGTATGATGGAGGCGCTGGGGAGGGACCCTTGACGTTGAGGTTCTGGAAGGCTTGGACGGGAGGCGTCACAACAGCCGCGGCCGGGGCGGGTGTCTGGCTGGCAGAATGGCCTGCACTTCCAGGAGCAGCGCCTCGAAGGGGGGTTTCGGCAGGGAGAACTGAGTGGATGGTGTCGAAGGCGGCTTCGTTGATGACACCTTTCTCGAGAAGGCTTTCGAGCTCCTGTGTCCTTGGGTTAGCGGATCAGCTCCGTTGGATAAGGAGAAGAGAAGGAGAAAGGCAGTATTTCGTCGCTGCGGGCGTGCTAACATTCTTGATGTTTCGAAGAGACCGATTGGTCTCCATGATGGTTTGGCGATCCATTGTACTGGTTTGTGGGAGAGATCGTCGCTAACAAAGATGTCCGATTCGCAGATTTCAACAGCCACTATCGTAGGTAGGCTTAGAAAGAAAAGAAAAAGACCCCTGCAGCCCTTTGTTTAAAGATCAAAGCTCTCAAAGAAAAAGAAAGCTTGAGTGTGAGTCTGGGAGAAAAGAAGAAATAAAGTGGCCTGAGGAGGACATGCAGATGCGAGATCTAGAACTCGCAGGGGAGTCGGAATGGCGTTCCTGGTAAAGGCCGCGAGTCTTGGGGGAGGTTAGTGGGCTATGCTGGCTCTTGGCCCCGCTACTTGGCGCGGATTCCAGAAGGCGAGCAAATGTCCGCATATGGATTTCGGAGTCTGGTGGCTGGCCGAAATGACGGGCTTATAGCATGTTGATTTACGAGCAGAGATGGAATCACTGGATTAAGCAGAATCTGTGTATTCAAAAGATGCAGATGATAATATTGATATTTATTTATTACTAGCTTTCCGAGGAAGACTGCTTCAGCGTATTCCATACTCCGAGTCGAGCTCCATGGAGGCCACCACATATCGCTCCGGTACCTGCAGCGTTCCAGTACTCGAGCTCCAGTAAAACCCGTGCTACGGATTGCGCGTCTAGCCGCTCGAGCCGCTGTGGCTGGCTCCTGGAAGTCTCCCAGAAGCCATTATAGGCTGCTCTTGGCGAGATCGCCCCCTAAACATCGCCACTGTCCGGAGGCAGCCCAGTGCCACGGGTTTCTCAGCCCAGTATCGATACGCTCTGGTACGTTGTTCAGGATCTCGATGAACGAGGTGCTATAGAGAAAGTGATATTGGTGATTACATACGCTGTTCCGCCAAGAGCAGTAGGAAATATCAACACTGTTATGCAAGACTTTTTTTACTCTTTGTTGTTTTGAATTGGTATCATTATTATTTTTTGCTAGTCTTTTGTTATATCTAGTTGGCCCTTGAAAGCCAATTCATCATTGTATCATTTATTTGTACCCCATTTTTTGACGCCACCCCCTCATGTCTAAACAACAAACTTGCTCTCCTTGACAGCATACTTGTCAACGTACTCATCCACAGTCATGGCCTCCAGCCTCTTGCTGTCCAAGCTCAGCTCGACAAGCTCGTTGACGGTGGCCTCGGGGAAGTGAGGGCCCAGGTGGCGCTTGTACTTGGCCAGGATGACGGGCTTGGCCTCCTCACGGCGGAGACGGTGGCCCAGAGGAGCCTCAACGGCAACCTCATCGAGGACGGTGCCGTCGTTGAGCTCGACAGTCAGGGCGTTGGAGATGGTTCGCTGGGCAGGGTCATGGTAGTCCTGAGTGTATTTGGGATCCTCGACACACTTGATCTTCTGGCGCAGAGACTCAACCAGCTCAGAAGTAGCAGCCTCAGAGCCGTCAACGTAGTCGGTGGCCTCGAGGCGGCCGAAGACGAGCATGACGGAGCACATGTACTGGATGCAGTGGTCACGGTCGGCGAAGTTGTCCATGGGCTTGAACTGCTTGTCAATGATGCGGATGCAGGCCTCGTGGGTTCGGCAGGTGATGTTCTTGATGTCAGCGGCGGTCTTGCCCATGGCCTTGAGCTGATGGTGGATCTTCTCAGAAGCCTCGACGGCGGTCTGGGAGTGGAACTCGGCTGAGATGCGTGTTAGTCGTCTGAAATACAACCATGATTCTCTTCATGGATATTCACGGAGGGGAGAGCTTCAACTTACCAGGGTAGGAGACCTTGAACAGAACATTCTCCATCACGTAGCTGCCGTAGGGGCGCTGGAACTCAAACTTCTTGCCCTTGAACAGGACATCGTAGAAACCCCAGGTGGGAGCAGACAGGACGGTGGGAATGCCGCTCTCGCCCTTCATGACCTTGAGGGCCAGGTTGACAGCGCGCTGGCAGGCATCACCAGCAGCCCAAGATTTGCGGGACATGGTGTTGGGGCTGTGGCGGTAGGTTCGCAGACTCTGGCCATCGACCCAGGCCTGGGTGACGGCGTCGGCGATCTGCTTCTCGCTGAGGCCGAGCATCTTGGAGACGACGGCGGTGGAGGCAACCTTGACCAGGACGACGTGGTCGAGGCCGACCTTGTTGTACGAGTTGAGCAGAGCCAGGCAGCCCTGGATCTCGTGGGCCTTGATCATGCCCTCGAGCACGTCGCGGATGGTGAAGATCTTGCCGCCAGCCAGGTTGCCGCCGGCCTTGTTGGTGCGGTTGATCCAGTCAGCGACGGCCAGGATAGCGCCCAGGTTGTCCGAGGGGTGGCCCCATTCAGCGGCCAGCCAGCAGTCGTTGAAGTCGAGCCATCGGATCATGGCACCAATGTTGAAGGCTCCGTTGATGGGGTCCAGCACAAAGGGAGTGCCGGGAACCTTGGTGCCGTTGGGCACGACGGTGCCGGGAACGGTAGGACCGAGCAGCTTGGCGCACTCCTTGAAGCGAAGGCCCTCAAGACCGCAGCCCAGAGTGTCGAGGAGAATCCATCGAGCGGTGTCAAACTACGCGGTAACGGACAGTTAGTGATTGACTCCTACTCAAAGGCTGGCGAATTGAATTGAATTCATCCCGTTCAGTGGTGATGGTGGGGTTGTTTGATTTTTGTGTTTCGGCAAATGAGGGGCATCAGCAGCCACGGGCACAAGAAACTCACAGCTAATTCGGAGTCAATTGCCTTGTTGGCGACATAGTCGGCAATGTCCTTGATCTCAGGATCGTACTCGCGCGAAGAAGAAGACATGGCGGGCGCTCCAGACAGTTTGAACGACGAGGTTGAGAAGTTGGTGCGCGCGGCAGGAGTGGCAGCTTTGGCAGCAGCAAAGCCGGACGAGGCAAGGCGACTGGCGCCGATGGAGGCCGAGCAGAGACCGCGGGACGACTGGACTCGCAGCTTGGATGCTGATCTGATGCTCCGTGAGATGGCGGACATTGTATAATTGCAAACACACACAGAGTAGCTATGGAGACAACTCTTCTGCAGCGGTGGAAAGAAGAGAAGAAGGAAGACAAAAAAGAAGACGGGGGACAGCCGAATAAAAAGAAAGCACGAAAAAAAGCTTCAATGCCGCTATCCCCCAGAATCCGCTCCCGAATCTTGGAGAGCCGAGCCAAATCTCTCCTCCCCCCTTGCTAAGCTCCGCCAATCTCTTCCTCGTTCAGCCGCGGCATGCCGCCCGCGCCATCTTCGGCTAAACCCAGTCCCCAGCAAAAGCTGCCAGAGTTGCTCGAGAAAATGATAGCGAGTTGCGAGTGTAAGAAATCAAGGCCCCGGCGCCGGAGCCATCGGCCGCTCTTCACCTCGGCCATGGCAGCCAGCAGCCTCCGTCAGACGGAGCGCGTGTAGCTCGGATGCGGCTATCACGACCTGCGGAGATCGGCCCTTGCATCCGTTTATCTCGGCCTGTGACAGGCGTTTGTAATACATTCAGTTCTTTGTATGCATGTGGCGATATATGAATTACTCGGTGCGCTGCAGGGGAGACGTTGTACAGAACATGATGCAGAGTCTTACCACCACTATGTTACTACAAGAGGAGAATTTGAAGATGCAGCAGGCACTAAATATGGGTGCACTAAGCATATTCGATCTGGAATCTAGTCAATGGATTTTCAAAATCCCATAATTTTCTTCTCCCTTCCTTTAGTTGTACGTATTTCATATTGATCAGCACGAAATGTAGGTGATTGGCGTCCTATCTTGCTGAGTATTCTCATCATCTCCTGTTAGATGACGTGAAAGCTATGTCTAAGAGTACTAGGCCAGCTATACATCATCAAGCAACGCCAGATTCTCTGTCTATCCAATTCCCCATAGCCAACAAATTTATTCTCCAACCCAATCATAGTATCTTTGATTCACAGGAATCGCCGCGCAGCCCATTCTACCCTATATTTACCACATCGCAGCAGCCGCTCCAGTGCAAGTACAAAGAGTGCGGTTCGTATGATAGCGATCGGTCCATCGAATGCTGCATTGCTTCATATAAACCAGTGGAACTCAGGCATTCTACGTAAAAGAGATAATCTTTATAACGAACGCAATCTTGTATTCACCAAGCCAGATCAAGCGACGCTGACTACCTACACGTAGATCTATGTATAAACTATGCCGGCCTCCGAGCGGACCACAGCCAAAACATATCGACTAGAAAACAGAAACCAAAGAACAATAGCTCAAATTATTTCCACCCCAGATTTAATCTCCATATCGCTCGCAATGCAGAGGAGATGCAGTCCCACTGTTTATTGCCCTATGCCCTCTACAACCCCCATCATACGTCTACCCAGTAAAGAAGCAAGTAGTATCTGCATCTCGTATCGCCAAAGACGTGCAGTAGAACTAACCATAACTGGTCAGCGTTATATGAACGGCATCATCAATATACCAGAAGGAGAGAGTGGCCTTACCATATGTTTAATTGTCCTCCTCAAAGTCAGTTTTCTCAGACGAAAAAGAACGCTCGCTCCTCGGAGAGTCCGGGAGCACAACATATCTACCACGAATGGCAATAGTGAACTTGGGGCAGATGGGGCATTTTCCGTCCTTGATGTGCTTCTTGAGAACGGCTCCGGGCTTTCTGACGGCTGGATGCGGACAGACATCTCTCGAATCCTCTTTGAGCAGGCATTTCTCAAAGATGATACATTTCACCATGTGCGACGGGTTAGGCACGCAATCTTCGTGGACTGCTTCGGCAAGTGTATAGTAACACATACTGGCGTTGGAGATGATCGGGGTTGGTGACAATGGAATATCAAGGTTGGTCTTGTTAAAGCGGTGGGATACTCGAGAAAGAAGAACGAGATGTGCAAAAAGAGAAATGAGAATTGTCGATGGTATTTGGACGTCTCCTGCTTTTAAATATGCAGATGAATAACAGATACTAGTAGCTCGGCTGCTATTTAAAAAGTGCGCAGGCAAAATGCTTGAGGTTGTATGCTATGTGCTACCTCAGGAAAAAGCAAAGACGCCAATTTCGGTACGTATTACCCCAGACCAGTGCTCCCTTTGGCTGACAGTCGTACCGTAATACTAGCAGTCATTGCACGAGTACGGATTCGTGATGGACTCCATCTCCCTGCATTCAGAGAGAGGGGAAACCCCCGGTAATAGTGGCTTGATCTGATTAGCAGTCGAATATTGTCTCATGAAAAATTATTCAGTACTACTACTAGCAGCATAAAGCAGCATGCAACATACTAGGAAATGACGAATCGGTTATTGTGATCTCAGCTTGGAATGGGCCTGTCCGTTACTTCCCTTTGATCTTCGGCATCCTAGCCTTAGCTGAAAGGCAGCAATCTGATCAGAATAGCGCAGAGTTTTCGCCTTATGAGGATCAATTCAACAGATGAACCTTCCACGACGGCATTGTGCCCCCTCCTACTGCTTCGCCTCTGAGCACAGACGAAGATCGTCGGGGTGTGTGTACAGTACGCATATCAGGATTCCAACGACCCGTAATCAGGCAGGAAACCGGGGAACAGGCATTCGCACCAATGGTCTTCTAGCACGCTCCGCGGGCTGTATCAGACGGGGCGTATGCTTAAGTAGTCGCCGACCAGGCTTTACTCCAGCCAGAGAGGTCTGTATTAAGGCCTGTTGTTGTCTTGAAAAGGTCGGTATTAGCTATTATACGAGTGGTAAAGAGCGTCTACCTGTAGGATACATTGGGTCAAAGTGAGTTTGGCAGGCTGGTCGAAGCGAAAATAGTCCACACTTGTTGCAGCCTTGAGATGTGAGATATCACCAGTTAGCACTAATACAATGGGGCGAAACGCTCTCAACCAGTCACCGCTGTGAGAGGCTGCCAAGGACAAGCCTCAGTGACTTGACTATTTGGAAACTGTCTGGTAGTTTTTGAGAAGATTTCGTGGACGCATAGATCACTTACTCTCTCTGGATGCTGCCCAATTATTGCGTCAATTATCAACTATTGCGTCCATTGTGATTCTGTCTTGTCAAATCTGCTGGTATATGCTGTGAAACAGCGCCACATACGAAATGAACTCGGCAATAAGGTGCTAGTAGATAAAGCAGGTCTCAGTTGAACTGAGTAAACCGAGAGGCGCGTGATGGCCAAGATGGTCAGTGCAGAGAGTGATGGCTCCGAATCAAAGAGCTTGAATACAGAAGCCTTGATAGCGGCAAATATGACCGGGAAACTTGTAGTTACTAGTCCTGTAGGGAGGAGAGGGTACAATATTCGCATTTGCGCCTCTCAGTTTGCTCTGGTGAAACTAGCGCAAGTGGTCAACCTGAAAGGCTGTGTGACGTAGAATCAAAACAACCCCTTTGACGAAGACAGGCGGCAGGCTTCTCCACACTAAGAGAGAGAGAGAGAGAGAGAGCATCTTTCTCTTTGTCCCGGTTTTCTTGCCAGGCCCTTCTCGTCACATCCCTCCATCTTTCTCCCGCAACAGCACCGAAGTGGCTTGAGAGATATTGGACTCCGAACAAATCGTAGCAATCTCACAAAGGAAGAAGCAATATAAGCTCTGATCACTCTTTTCAATACTAGTAGTAGCTTCTCCTAAATCTTTGCTGTGGTCTCAAAGGACAGCGTGCTCTTGTTACGTGTATGCTCGTACACTCAAGGAGCATGCTGTCCGTAGAAACTGGAACTATTTCGACTAGTATGCGGCGTGGCTTTTTGGCCTATCGCGGAAAGAGAGTTTGAATCCTCGAAGAAAGCTAGACAAACGAGAGCCAGCGGCTATGGCTGCGGTCAGGGTACGTAGATAAGGGCTGGCTCTTGTCCTTGGGCTACTTCAACTGCTAGCCATGAAATGGTCCTTGCAGCTCTGCACCAAACGGACCAGAGAGGAGTTGCCAGGACATGCATTTGGGACAAGTCTCATCGCCTGACGCTCGACCACAGGCGTACCACTAAGTGCTTGGCCGGCCCCACGACGGATCGCTCTGGAAGAAAAAAGAAATGCGCGGTCCAGGCCATCTGCGGCTGAAAAAAGCTGCCAGCGGAGAGACTTGCGGCATCTGCACATATGATGGATTGCGAAGAAGAGAAAAATCTCGGGTTGTGTCTGTTATCACGGTTCTTGGTAAATGGCATATACGCTTGTAGAAGAGCTCGGAGCAAACTGGAGCAAACTATTTGATAAGTTTGTAGTGGACTGTTGGTTCATTTCACCTAAACAAGACCTGCCTCGGTGAGTAATAACAGCGCACTTTGCCTTCAAGCTCACATATCTAGGTATGCTGTTCGGCTCGGTTCGATCTCCGCGTAGGTACCTAGCCTATGATATGACGAGAATAATGGGCAGCGAGCAGGAGAGTAACCAGAACAGCCAGATCAATTTCGGTGAGAAGGAGGGGCGAATGGTTGAAACATGGTGGAGTCTGGAAAGCTAGGCTGCCTTGCCAGCTACCCATCCAATGCACGGGAGATGAGCTATTGCTGCAAGCAGCAACACGAGCAGCAGCAGCTGGCATAGCTTCACACCCTTATCAGCCTCATGTGCCGGGGGAGGGTGCGAGGATGAAATCCCGAACGAGTTTCGGAGGTCGGCTGTCCGCATACTCGATCGGTCGGCTCGGATAGGACGAGAAAACAAAGCTTTTGTCTTTAGTCGACGTATTGGTCTAAAGGCTTGAAATGGAAGTAGTGTTAGCAATGCTGGATAGAGGAGAAGCGGAAGTCATAGGAAGAAAGCCGGTCTATGATGGGGCGGAAACAGGCTTGCAACTCCATATCCCTTGTCATTTCTTGTCCTCACTTGGCCGCTTGATCACCTCCCACAACTTCTCCCCTGCGAGGTCTTTGTCATGAAGAAAAGAGAGGTAAAGAAGAAAAGGCCACAAACGAGACACGCAGATCAAAGTTTGCCTTTTTCCCTTGGGAAAGGGTTTCCGAGTGGTCAAAGGGTGCCTAGAGAAAGAGATACGCCGTCTTCGTGTCTGACGTGGTGTTGAGAGCAAAACGAGTGAGTACTGTATGAGGAGAGAGGGTTGACGAAAAGGTATTAGACTGCATGTGAGAATAAGCAGAGCTGCAGCTTGTGGAAGGGTGCATCGGGGCGGCTCGAATTGGACTGCTAAAGCGATGCGGCCTGGCGTCAGGTACCGCTACAAGGCACTGCGGGGGCGCTGCGGGGGATGGGCGTGTGGTTTTTTGGCCCGGCTTGGCGCCGCTACCAGGTACCGGTACCTGTGCTGCGACCCGACTTGCAATCGCTACAGTACATGCATGTTGCTGTCTCGCCGGCTTCACTCTCTGTCCCTGTCCGGCTGCATCTGCCCGGCGGCTTTGCTCTGCGCCTGCGCTAAATCGGGGGTGTGTGCTTGACGTAGCAGCTCAATAGTGCTAAATTACGAAACGAATAAAGGCGTTGAAGTGTCGAGCAAGTACCAAATTGTGAAGCGGTGAAGTGGAGGGAGATGCTCTAGGCGTGGATAGGCGAGCTGTTGCAAGTACCCCGAGCCTGATTTACGGCACGCGTTGGACCCGGAAAGTACTTCTGGCCAATTCGTACTGGATGCAGCAAGCACACAGTGGAGATCGGAGTAGACTCTCCTGCCCCGTGGATGTATCTTCTTTTTCTCTCCTTTTTTTCCTATTGCCAATGGCACATACTAGTAGACCAGCAGTCTCGAGATATTACTCAGATATTTGGATTGCGTCAAGTAAAGCCCCGCTGCTATCTTGCGCTAATAGCGGCAAGTGGGCGCGCCAGAGATCTCTCGAGGTGGTGGATTTGCGGGCACTCCCGACCAGCAGCCAGCCTAGTACAAACCAAGATTATGGTTCTTACGACGGAACTCGGGTACCTTGCGCTTATGGCAAAAACCAGACGTTGGCCCTACAAGGCGCTACCTATACCAGCTTGCCGGGAGATCATTGTTAGGAGCAAGAGATCAATATGATATGATACAGCATCTAGTGGCAGGTGGCAGATGGCAGATGGCAGATGGCCGCGAAAAGCTACATGTAGCTGCTGACACAGTTCCGCTCTCCACCCATCGATATCTGACGATCATCTCTCGTTGAGCTCGACAGTGTTTCATTAGCTCGCACCTAAATATGGACTGCCCCATATCTACTATTCACGAAGCTCTTTCTTGGTTTCCTTTTTGCCGCTCCTATCACTACTAAAGCCTGCCTACGCTGACGTCTACGCCACCCAAACATTGAACTTACATGTACGCCATGAGCAACTAGTAGATTGTAGTGAAACAGAGTCCAAAGCTGCTGCCGGGCTAATCACTCTCAGGTGCGCGACGAGACATCCCCGCCCATTTCCCATTTCCCGGATTCCCCGCCTATGGGCATCTCTCGATCGAGATAGTCCTCACGGGGCTTTCAGGATCGGGACAAGGGGGAACTTTGGCAACTTCCTTCGAATGACAGATTGCTCGGCTGGGTGCTTACTCGCGCCATTCGCCTCATTCTCAGACCCCACGGCGCTTGGGCAGCCCATACCGCAGTGCTGTGCTCCTTTCTGCCTAGTCAAGAAGGCCAAAGCCCAGCTTTGATGCAAGGGGGAAGAGGTGGAAAACCAATGTCGCAAAATCAAGGGCACGCGGAGGGCATTTCACTCGGTGAAGGAAGCTTGGTGCAGTCAACCTGCCATCAGCTCCTCTACCAGGGGCCTCTACCCGGATACGACTAACAAACTCCGCGGATGGGCTAGTATTTGTCTCCGTTTACAATGATACCTAGAGTGAGGTAAGTGGACGTTATTCTGACTGTACGGTATATAGGCTTAGCGGATGTTCTTCTGGTTATTACGTACGCCGTTGTAAACGCGACGAGCTGATCGTTTTAGCTGCATGATAGCTTTCGCGTTTTTGGCGTCTCGTCTCAGCCAATGGCAGCTAATTTGGCAGTTGAGCGTGACTCTGGCAGGTAATAGCGTGAATAAGTGCACGAAGCAACGATACTATTGCCATTCTAAAGAAGAGACATGGGAATAGACGAGAAAGTGATAAAGGAAAGAAAGAAAGGAAAGGAAAGGAAGAAGAAGAGGAGAAAAATGGGTAGAGACAAAGTAGAAACAACTCGTGCGCACTACTCGTCTGCGTAAAAGTTGGGTATGAGTAAGTCTATCTCTACCTACCTTAGTACATACCTAGGTAGTACCTACGCATTGCACTGCATCTACCGCCTTGATGCATGCAGAAAGCATGTACCTGTCAGGTTCGGATACATTTTCGGGTACACAACAGCAAATATGCCTGGGCATGCTTGTAGCTCAACGAGATGATCATTATCACTCTCGCTTGACCTGGCTTGACCTGGCTTGATAGCAAACAATCAGAATCATATCAAGTATAGCTTCTTCAGAGCACTAAAGCCCTTGAGGCTCTGTAAATTAGCGCAGTATTTTCAAGAGACATCTCTTGTAATTTCTAATTTTGACTTATCTTATTCTTCAGTTCAAGTTCAATTTCAGAAGCCTTTATTGATTTTCGCTCAACTCGCTGTCTGCCTGCTTATCCCATCTTATCCAGGTTCAAAGCCAACAAAAAATAATTATTCACAAAGCAGCCATCTATTTCTGGTTTGATTCTGTTCCCATTGCATCTCTGGTAACTTGGCTGCTATTCACTTGGTTAGTCATGCTCATCGCTGTCTACTAGTGGTTTGTCTGGCTGCCGCACCTCTGCCTTCTTCACGACTACCACACTGCTCCGCAAGGCGTCTCTGCATTCAATTCAACAGCCGCCAGCACTAGCCATCTGCTGACTTATACCTATTTTTTTTTTTTTTCCAAGTAATGATACTATGCTGCTATGGCTTTGCTGTTCTTACAATTGATACTGACCTCAAATTTACTACAGACATCATTGACCAGACGAATTCGTCACCGAACCTTTTCTTTGGACCTCCCGAGTACTTCCTTCCAAGCTTGGAGATATTCGATCTTGACTGCATTTTTCTCCGCGAACCTAATCTCTTCATTATTTGAGCGCATTTCCCCCACTATGCCTGGCGGATCTATCTTGATTTATCTGATGAGGCGAGACCTCAGAACCGCCGACAACCCCATCTTGTACAAGTTATCCAGTACCGAGCATGGTTTCACCCACCTGCTGCCAGTTTATATCCTGCCGCCCGATCAGATTGAAGTTTCTGGTCTCGTCAAAGATGGCAAAATGAGCCCATACCCCCCCGCCAGGTATGATCTCTCGCAGCGTTGGAAGTGCGGCCATCTCCGCGCAAAATATATCGCAGAGTCCCTCTGGGACTTGAAGAGAAATCTGGAGAATCTGGGAAGCGGACTTGTCATCCGTGTTGGTAGTTTTGACGATATTCTAAACGGCATGATCCAGCACTACGCCGCCAATCAACATGGCCCCCAGGTTACGGCTGTGTGGATGACGGAGGACTATGCGCCCGACCAACGGAGGGAGGAGCAAGCTGTGTCTGCAATATGTGAGGCACGCGGTATCAGATTCGATCGCCTGTATGATGTAAAGTATTTCATGCACGAGTAAGTTTACCAAATTTGATTTACGATGGACTTTTCTAACTCGAGATGATGAATAGTCTCCAACTACCCGAGCCCAAGACTAGTATCGACTGCTTGCCTGATGCCTTTCATCTCTTCTGGCGAGCCCTGAATACCGAAGCTGAAAAACCTCTCGATCCTTTCCCTGTCCCTGCACGCTTTTCTCTGCCTTCTTTCCCGGATCACGCATCGCTTCCTCCCCAAGAATCCCCATTTGAGATTCCCGGTACACTCGAGGAACTCATTCAGAAGATGCAGAGTCCTGTGCACCTCCCGATGGTCCATCTGGATAGACCCGAGCTTCGTGATACTGCAATACCGCAAGCGTTACTCGGTGGGGAAACACGTGGCCAGCAGCGAGTTGGCTACATCATCAAGAAAGGGATTGTATCGTCTTATCATCTCTTGTCGGACGATGTCCATGTGGGCGATGCCTATCACGGCCTTCTCTCCTATCTAAGCCTTGGATGCATTACGGCGCGGCAAGTCCACCAAGAGCTTTTGAAGCTCGAATGCGGCACGGACCCTGGTTTGGCTCAAACTCTGGGTTTCGGTAGAGGCTGTAGCGCTGGAACAGAAAGCATCCGATACCATCTACTGGTGTTGAACTTTATTCGCCTTAGCATCGTCAAGCATGGCAGCGAGTTGTATAACCTCGAGGGTGCTGGGATGGGCAAAAACCCACTCAAGACGTGGAAGTCATCAGTCATCCGAGACCTTGATAGACCGGGTCAAGCTGTCGACAATGTCGTCAGCATGACCCAGTTCCTGATGGGACTCACGGGCTTTGGCCTCGTCGACGCCATTATGCGACAGCTTTACATTACAGGCCAAGTAACCGCTCGTGGTGAAGAGATTGCAATAGGTTTCTTCGCCTTGTATGCGGGCTTCGACTGGCGCTACGGCGCAGAGTACGTGTCGTCGCTGTCCACTGTCCACGATCCATTTTTTTACTTCTATAGCTCGCAAAACTATGCGGGTGTTGGCCCCAGCTGTGAGGCCAAAGATTCTAATATCTCTCTCGCCGAAATATCCCAGCAAGTCGACCCCGACGGCACCTTCATTCGGGTGTGGATGCCAGAGCTGCGAAACTTCCCGAGAACGAAGAACGTTTATCGAGTGAGCACCACCGCATCTTCGCTGTTGCAGCGGTATAGACTGGCATCCAGCATCATGGTAACTCATGAAGTGCCATCCGCTGCGGAAACTGGCCCTTTCACGGAGACCACCAATGCGAGGAGAGATCCGATAGAGAATATTGCGGCTTTAGCTCGAAGAGAGGATAGATCTATTCCAACGGAGTCTATCAGAGGGCCCGGCGGGCTCGAAGAACTTGGGCCCAGACTCGGGTTTGGAGATCGAATTCATCTTGAGGCGCCACTCGGGCTTGAAGAGCCAAACGAACTGCCTCAAGGACCACCTCCTAGCTCACGGGGCCCATCTTTACCTTCTCGTTCGGGCCGTGGCGCGGCTAAGGCCCAGGTGGCTTCGACGACGGGTACACCTGCGCCACCAGCAGAAGCAACTGTCCGTTGGAACAGCATGGCTCTTGAACAGATCAATCCGTTGGCCCTTCATCCAGTAACGGCGCCGCCTCCTCCAGTACGGCTTCCACAGATACTTCCAACTCAGTATTCATTTCGTCCAGTGCATATGTCGGTCTCCCAGCTAAGCAATCAAAGCTACTATACAACTTCGTTACCACCCCTACGTCCACAATCTCGACTTTCTCTTCTGCCAGCTCCTGTTGATGCATACTTTCCGCCATATCGGCAGCAGACCCTAAGTGGGCGTTCGAGTCCAGCTCGTCAATTGCCCTTTCTACCAGCAGCGCCATCGCCGCCGCCGCCGCCAACTCTATCTTCTGCAGTTCCCCACCTCTCCAATACACCTCAGGTTCCACTCCCACAAGAGGATACTCCGAGAGCTTCTATTGAAGATCATCTGCCCCCGGCGACTATGGTCCCACTTCGCCGAAGTCCTCGCAGGCTTCGACCAAGAATTGCTGTGATACCACATCCGGCACTTGCAGGGTTTCTACCCGTTGTTGCCGAGCCGGAAATTATACGGTATTATACAGGACAGTTGAGGCAAACCAGGTTTCGGGGGAGTTCGAATTATACGTTTATTGATCTCCCTTTCCTCGACAGCAACCGGATACATATTATACCTTGTCCTCGTGGAGTTGTGCCGCTCCGAGGCGATCCTGACCTTGGCATCTTCCGCGAACCACTTGCTTCTGTCCCGGAGGATGTTGATTTGGAAGCCCTCGATGAGCTCATAGACGAGGTAGATGACGATGAAGTTGCTGTTCACGGTCCTCGTATTTGGCATAGCCGTAGAGGCTCGCTAAATTTGCGCCCCTATCGTGGGCGGCGTCAACCTTCTCGGTTCAACTCTCGTTATCGTTGAATCTAGTTTGTAACTTAGTTTGTTTGACTGTAATAAGGTTGCTACAATTTATCCAATTTTAAAACTTTCGTTCTCTTCCGTTTCCAGCTCTTGTATCCCTCCCATCTCCTCTCAGACTTTTCAGCCTCTTCAGACTTCAATCTTGAGCTCTATCATGCACGCTTAGACCAGCTGATGTTTTACTACCCTCAAACGCGTTATCACAAAACTGTCTCAGACTATGCAATTCTCTCCTTCAGAATGGGTCCAAAGCCTTTATACAGCGAAATAGTTATTCGGGGACTATCCTCTCTGACTGCTAGCAGTTTTGAATCTGCCAGCTTTCCTAGCAATCCTAGATCCTCTAGATCTACTACTCCTGCAAGCATACCCGAGGCTCCTCTATCTACCCCAAAAAGGCCCAGCACTCCTCCAATCGACGTTGCAGCTACTTCTTCTCTATACTGGAAACTTTCAATTTCGCGTCCATTCTACGAACCCCGAATCGGTGAGCCACAACGAGAAGACGCTCTGAGCTGGGATACATATTCCGAAATATGCCACGATGGTCCTCTTCGGCTGACAGACGAGATGACGTACTACCGTGTGCTGCAACACTTCCACCAATGGCGCAACGCGGCAGATATATGTCCATGGACTCTTAGTCGTAACCCGTTTTCCCAAGAGGTCGTGAGGTACGGTCTCATGCACAGGTTCCTAAACAGCCTGGGCCCACCACCTCTAGATTGGGTTTGCCCGCCCTTGGTTGCAAACAGTCTTCGCCGTATCCGTCGCCGTCGCCGTCGCTGCCGCAAGAGACTTGAATGGTATAATTTCAAACCCGCTGATTCAGATTGAGAAATGGCCCAAGCGTGGGAGGTATTGTGGATAAAGACATGGTAGGAGGGGTGAAGCGGACAAGAGGTTTGAGGGAGGAACAGAGCCTGCGGTTGATAGATTTTGCGGCAGTTCTTGGCTGCTTTTAAAAAAGGGTGCTTTTGAAACTCGGTGGTTTGCCTCTATCAAGCTTGCTATAGATGAAGCCAGTTGGGATTTGTAGACGGTGGCATATGGAAAAGAAAGGAATAGAATGTCTGTTAATCATAAGCCGTATTCATCCTAAACAGATTCAGAATCTACATCTACTACGTCTACTACGTCTTTCCAATTAGGTTCAAGTGTCCAGTGGCATCCATGTTGGTTAAGCGATACCTGAAGTCTTTGAATTCGAATCGAGTTTTCCATCTAGCGAATCCATGAGTGGATAGATGGTTTGCATTGCTAAAGACCATCTAATTCCGTAATAGTATTTGCGTCGGCAACCATATACAGATCCTATCCCTTTGAATTTCTATTCTTCTTTCACCTCTCCAACATCCATAAAAAGCACAAAGCAGTTGGTTGAAAATCCCAAAAATTGGTCGCTACACCTGTGCAACCCATCGCTGTTCATGCATCTCTTGCGGATGCTCCCTCATGTCCACCTCCAAGTCATCGTTTATTCATCTGCAGCCAATTCCATTGAAGGGATATATTTGTCATCTTCCCAAAAGGACCTCCTCGTCTTATCGCATCGTATGCAATAAGCCTTTGGGTATTCGAGCTCTGGTGGTAGGTGGCTCCGCTGCATTCAGCTCCTTGCTCGTCTCGGGAATTGCTCTTCTGGCTCGACTGCCTCTATCGATTTGTGATGTTTCTCGCACGTCACTTGAGTTACTTACCATTTGCGAGCTGTGAAGTCGCCATTCTCGGCTTCACGTACTGCGGGTTTGGATTTGTCTACGGCGAGGCTGGTAATGTTGGATCTGACAGCGATGACGGGAGAGGTTCAAAGGTTCGAGTCGACTGCGAAAATGTAGGAGTAGAAAAAGACATGGTCGTTTGAGCAGCTGAGAGATTCGTTATGCCGTTGATGGAAGAAGATGCGACTTAGTAGTTAGTAGAGTTGATAAAGGTGTGCTACCTGGCAGTATCGACCAGCAAGCTATGGCCCTGGGCAGCCCCAGGAAACTTTGGCACCCACGTACCTTAGGTAATTACCCTCGCGAGAAAGTCAATAAAATCGATGGCTTCAAAGCGCGCCAGGCAATTTCCACAAAAGTCTTTGGTTAATGGACACCGAAACTGGGGAAAAGGCGTGCGATTTTTGGACAGCCTAAGGATGGCCTGCCTGGCAAGTGTGTCCAGGCATAACTCGGCTGGCCGTAGAACAGGGCAACTGGGGAACTTGATTTGCTGAAAATGTAGTCTCTCGGGTTTTGTCTTTGATATTCTTACGCAGAATTTTACAAACTCTGCTGAACTTACTGATAGAGACAGTGGAGATGTGAAAAGGTAACAGTGGGTGGACAAAAAGACGGGTCCATCCTGGGAGGGCGTCGCAATATTCGCATACTCAATACGGATGCCACTATATAGAATTCTGTGGTACGAAGCGAGAGAAACTACATATTACTTCCCAGGCAGTAGACAACTGCCCGATACTCTGTAAGTTTATACTTTTCTCTGTCAGCTGCGGCCGTGGTAGCGATGAAATTGTTCCAGGCACTACTATGAGCAATTCTGGCGATGGAGCAGAATGAAGATGCGCTTAGGATAGAGGAACCTGAACGGCGTAGCATGATGATGCAGAGTATTGCTTCTTCTGTAGATATCTCTGTTGTTTTTGACAAGGCTTCTTTCTATTGATTTTTTCAATGCTGTCTAGTGCCCATGACATCGCAAACGCGTAAAACATACACGCAGAAAGTACTGGATCACTCTCGTCCAGGCACTTATCGAACCGCCGCTCAATATTACTACTACCTGCCAAGTACACCATAATGGCCCAGAGAGCTCCCAAGGCTCTGGGACTTTTACCCAGCCACAGAATTTCCTATGCCCTCCGTCATCGTCTAATCGAGATGGCATCATGCCCCCATCCCGTATGCGACGGTATGCGCACTGACTGGATCCGCAGCCTGGTCGTCTCTGGCGGATGCTTACACCAGGCACATGTCCCTTATTAGCGGCGAGAGCTGAAACAAGCAAACAAATACTAAGCCAATAGATGGGCGCGGAAGCGGCTGAACCTAAGCTTATCACGGCGACGTTTTATCATTTTTATTTTTCCTTTTTTTCCTCGCAGAAAGGTATCTAATGTGATATGTTATCTGCACAAGCTGGGCGAGCTCTGGTACAAGTACTACTCTGGAGACCGGGAACTTTGGAGACACGCCCCCTCCTCTACGTGCCTCTTTCGGCTGCAGAGACATGTGCAAAGTATCGATACTTCCATCGGATGCGACTCAAAATTAACCAAGTCATGGATGTTGTCTGTCTCATGCCGGCCTTATCCATGTAAGTGCCCGTGTACAAGGCATGATTACCTTGCTTGTAGTGTTTTGCTGGCAGCTTTGCTGCGTGGCTACCTGCAAGAGCGAGCACCCGCAGCCGACAATTTGCCCAATAACGATCGATACCACCTGGGTAGTAAATTGATATATGCCGTGTTATTTTGTGTATAATAATACGTCTTGCGCGCCTTGTTAGAACATTGGGGAAGCGCTCCTGTATGCTACTGAGGCCAAGTACCTGGGATATCCCTGTATTAGCGAACCCCCTCCTCCAGCTCCTTCAGGTCGAATGCAAGGGAGCAGCTCTTGTACGCCGAAGCCGTGCTTGGTGAGCTTTCATTCGTGAGCTTTTCTTTTTCTTATACCACTAGACTCATGTACGGAGCAGCACATTGCCTGCTAGCACCTGTACTAGATGCATCCCCCCTCCACGGCAGCAAAGAGCGGTAGGGAGAGCTGGCACAGCGCCTGGGCAGCTTCAGCAGAGGGCAGGAGTGCTGCTGCATTACTTGTACGGTTGACCAAGTGGCAATGTAGGTCTCAGGTAGACGGAGAGGCTGACAAGTACTTGCAGCAGATGTCGCTGGGACCAGCTGGCACCTCTTCTGATCGTCAGCTGCTTTTCCAACGTCTTCCTGCTTCTTCTCCCCCTCACTTCTTCCCATGGATCAATGACTGGCTATTTAATGCATCATCATCCCCCGAAATCTGCTTCTGACAATTTCTTTCCTTAGAGAACTGTTTCTATATCTCGGCCTACATCTTTCTCGACCACCTTTCTCCCCTCTCTATTCTCTCTCTCTCTCTTCTTCTTCTTGTTCTTCTCTCTCTCTGCGTGATCCGATCTTCTCTCTCTATATCCTTCTTTCTTTGGGTGAGTTACTCTTTCATCTTTATATCATTCTCTTTGGCTAATTCTTCTCTGGTAGCATATATCGGCGGCGGCTCAGCATGTCTGGCAACATATCAGATGGGCCGGCCCTGCCCAACGCCAATGGCACTGCCCAAGCCCACGCAGATGGAAGTCAAGAAGCCCAGCGCGCGTTGCCTGGTGCGATGCAGTCCGAATTCAGGAGCCGACGGAACAATGACAATTACACCCCGACCCCCCAGAACCTAAAGAACTTTCTTGTAACCTGTCACACCCTGAATCAAGCCACTGTGGTTTTTCTCGACACTCCTCCCCAACAGCAAGATACATCCACTCCCGATCTTCAGGAGAAAGATGATGCTCGAAAAATCGTCAAATCGCCAGATTTCATGGGAAAGCAGAAAGAAGTCTGGCAGATTTTGTTAGAGAGCGAAGAATCTAGCTTTCATCAAACTGTTTTCCCGTCCGCGGATCAAGTCCACGATAAGTTCTTCGTCATTGAGAGAGTCGACGGCGAAACCAAGCTTTGCCCCTTTGATCGACTGGGTGTCTCGGCCACTGTTTTGGCTCTCGTGCGCCAGGTTCTGGGCGACCCAGCGCTTAGCCAGGCTGCTGGCATTAGAGGAAACATTCTCTATAGCTCTGCGGGAGGAAGCACTCAATTGGGGATTCCTGCTGAGCCACAGTTTCATGATAATGCCTTTGAAGACGGACAATATCGCGGGCTCAGCCTTTTCTTCAATATCAACAATAATCGCCCTCTTTGCCTTGTGACAATCGAGTATAGGCCAAAGCATTTTGCTCTGGATTCAAGCATGATTGCAGCTTTGGAGAGTGGAATTGTCTTGAACAGGGGTATCAATGGCGATGATTCTTCTCCGACGGGAATCATCACGAGCTTGATAACTCAGTTGCTCGACTTCATGGTCCAGTCAGGAGTGCGTTATGGCTATCTTTACTCGGTGGAAGGCATTGTTTTTCTGGAAATCCAAAATGACCCATCAGTCGTTCACTACTTTGTTAGCCTCCCCAAAGAGGAAGTGGACCACCACGTCGAATCGACAATGCCTTACTCGGCAGTTTCACAGATTTTTGCCTTTGTCATTCGGGCGATGCGGACATCGCTAAGCTCTATGCATTATTTGAATCAGCCTAATGAGCTTGCTCCTTGGAGCAACCAAGCCGATGAAAGTGCTATTCGGAATAAACAGGCCGATGAGCGTGCTGCATGGAACTACAAAGTCGACGAGCATGTTGCTTGGGGCGGGCCGGTCGTTGCTCAAGAGAACAACATCGAAGAGATAGCCATGCAACTGCAGCAATGGGGAAAAACAAAAGTCTCATCTGCCCAATGCGAAGAGGGCCAGGATATGGCCATGGATACCGACGCTGACAGCAGCGCAAATGAATTTGATGGCGAGCCATATGACAAGTGCGAAGTGGACATTGGCGAAGAGACCTCTGTGAGAATTGAAATCAAGATGGACTCTGATATTACCGCTGTTTCTACCCCGAGTGGTCAGATGCAATGCCTGACGCTACAACGCGAACAATCCGTTCAAAATGACGAGACGGCAAACAAAGAAACCCAAATGAAGAACCGCCAAGAGATTGCGCAGGCCAGTGATGACCATGATGATGAGATGCATGATGATGGCCTCTACATGAACGACTTTCAAAAGATCATAAGTCGCCCGGTCAAACTTCGTAAAGCAAAAGAGGTCGAGAACTCGTACTGCACACAGCAATGCCTCTTGGGGGTAGCACACAGTACGCCCCTGGACAAGGCATGTCCCAATGTCCATTTGCACGGAAACAAGCACATCAGCAAAAAGGAGTTTCTCGAGCGACTTAAAGACCAGCTTTCTCAGTCAGGAGAGTCAAACGATTATTGTACCCCTTTGGAACAATTCGGCGCTATCGGCAAGATGTTCAAGGTGGCTCTTGTCGGCCATGGCTATACTTTTGTAGCCAAAGCTACCTTGCGTGCGGACTGGGTCTTTCTGCACCGCGAAGGCGAAATGTACGAACTGCTCAAGGATCTTCAAGGCTCTGTCATACCAGTCTGTCTCGGCATTGTAAGAGTAGATCCCGAGTTCTACCATGAAGACAGACTTCTTAGCCAGTTTATGGTGCTTAGCTGGGCTGGGCTGCCATTCCAGGGAAACTTTGACGAAGGGGTTGAAAGTTTGCTCACCGACACCGTCATTGGAGCTTATAGACAACTACACATGGCAGGGATGCAGCATCGTGATCCCGATCTTTCGAACATGCTGTACAACCCTCTGACGAGCCAAGTCATGCTTGTCGATTTTCATGGGTCCCGCCTCCATCCTGATCGCGTCGCCGCTATTGAGGCTGCCGAAAAGGAGGCAAAGGAGGCAAGGAAAAATGATCCAGACTATGAATCTGAAGACGAAGGAATTCCATACGAGGCTGATGGCAGCCTCCGTACCACCCCCAAACCTCCCCCAACGGCTGAAGAACTTGAGGCCTTGCGCAGGAAGTTTGAAGAGGAGTGCAGGCAAGAACTTGAATACGCAGTCGAATCCATGAAGTGGTTCGTGTCGGGCCAGCATGACCGAAGAAACTAAACGATTGGCATTTGCATATGGCTTTTTCATGTAAACAGGATACCTACCTAGGGTACGAAAAAAAGCGTATTTGGGAGACGATGAATTTGGTAAAGTGACTTTGGGCGAAGGGCGAAGACAAAAGGAAAGGAGAATTAAAAAAAAAAAAAAAAAAAAAAGCTGAAAATTGAAGAAACTCTCGAGAAAAAAAAATTGAAAAGAAAAAGAAACAATGAAGAAAAAAAAAAAAATTGACTGAATTTGGGAAAAGATTGGGAAAGATTGGGAAAGATTGGGAAACTTAATGGGTCGCATGCACGTTACGGGGTGGAACTGGATAATTTGGCATATACATGCATAAAGGATATCTTGTTGTTTCTTTTCTATCATTCTTTTCTCATGAAGCTGTCTTTATTAGGTAGGCTTCTTTACCTTTGGATTGTTCTATGAGCCGATGGGCCTTGGGGTACTGCTAGCAGATAACGCATGAAAGCCATCATCGGCTCTTTTTATAAACTCTTTTTGGTGTTTTGACCAGCGCTGGCGGCCTCGTGACTGCCAGGAGATGCTAATATTCCATGTCGTGCTTCGTAAAATTTCGCAAATATCACTGCCTGCGCTCGTTGTATCTCCATTTTTTTCCTGCTTGTCCCTCTCATCCCACTCTTACGCAGTACCACTTGTCTCCGCACGTCCACTCTCTCGTTCAGCTGCGTGCCTCTCGTGGTTCTTAAAGACTGCCAGTATGCCCAGATCGTACCCAACCTTGAGACATCCGGCTGTGACGAACGCTACCCAGAACAAGCCGTGGTCGGCCAGTGTGCCTGTCAAAAAGGGACCCAAGCTGGTGCCAACCGTCTTGCACACATTGATGATGCCCATGATGGCCGTCCGTTCGCTTGGCTTGATGATAGCGGCCAGGAAAGCCGCCCGGGGAGCGACATCCATGCTGGCGGTGGAGGAACGAAGCCATAGGAAAAGCAGGGAGAGGCGCACGTCGGAAAAGGCGGGAATGAGACTAAGGAATATCGACGAAGGAAGGTGGGTGAAGACCATGGTCTTGGTTGGACACATTAGCGACTAGTCGGTGCAAGCAAGTAGGCATATTATAGCATAGAAGATCGGAATGCGTTCGTACCTTGATGTTGCCAAATCGCTTGGCTAAGGAAGAGGCGACCAGCATGGAACAAGCTGAAGTGAGGCTCGTCACGAAAAAGATGGATCCTAGGGTGCCCTCCTTGATGCCATAGCGCCAGCGGAAGAAGTACGTGATCCAAGACCTGCAAGTACGAAGATGTGTTAGTGCCTACCTAGTCATCGTAATACAGCCAGCGACGACAACGTCACACTGCCTTTTGAACGAGGGGGCGCTCACATGCTTATGATACCAGAAGCCAAACAATCTATGGCAAAGAAGAAACATAGACTCGTCATTATGGCATAACCTTCCTTGCTGATGTCGGGAAGAAGGCTCGAAAGCCGGCCGCGGCCGTTTTGTTGTTCGGTTGCTTGCAAGGATCCATTGGCATTGGCACTGCCCAAAAGGGGCGATGTTTCTGTCTCTGTGTCGCCAACCTGGTTGGATATAGCCGTCGTCTTAGCGGCAGACGCTTTCCCATCGGCCTCGACAGCGCTGCTCAGGAGCAGAGTCAGCGTCATCTTGAGGAGGCCAGTAGCAGCATAGCCGAGAAAAGCGAGTCGATAGGCGTCCACATGCTCCCACTGGAGGCTGGTGGAAACGTATTGAATAACCCATCCGCAAGTCATGAGCCCACAGGCTACTCCAGCCTGGCCAAGCAGGCTATACCATGCATAGACATCGCTTCTGGAAGCCGGCTCCGTCAGATGCGCAACCACGCTCTCTTCTATGGCTCGGAAGGGGCCAATCTCATTGCCACTACAGACCATGGATATGGTTAGCGACAAATATGCGATATATGGAGAATATAATGTCTCCAGTTACTTGTTTTGATCGGATACCAATCAGAAGAAATGATGCACATTCACATACCTCGGACTGATAACGCCAAAGATGGCTGCTGCAAGTAATATCCAATAGTTCTGGCAGAGGGCAAAGGCGATGCCGCTACCCACCATCATCAAAGCGCCCATGGACAAAACGGCTTTCCTGCCCAGTCCGTCTGCCACAATCGTGAGGATGAAGCTGATGCAGACATCGCCAACCAAGGTCAGGGTCATGAACAAGCCAATGTTGGTCTTGGAGATGCCCAGAGCCTGCAGGTACGGCACCAAGACGAGCGTAGATCCTCCATAGGCAAAAAGGCGCACAAAACGCTGCAGACAGAGCAGCTTGACGTCGACAGGGCTGTGGAAGAGAGACACGAGGCCCAATTCTGAGAGGATGCGGAATAGGATGCCAGGCCTGGCGAGCGGATCGAGAGACGAGCTCTCCATGGCGAATTTTCTCTCTCCGTGTCCTCTTCTTTTTTGCGTATCCTGTTTCTCGGCGTCCTCTGATCTTTATCCTCTTATCATTCTTCCTTCGTTTGCCAAATGTGCTTCCTATTTTGCTTTCCTTTTTCCGACAGAAAAGAATCTCTTTGAACGGGCCGATCTGTTCTACTTATAGCAATGCACGACGGCAGACCGAATCAACACCCCACTGAAGAAATGGTACCTCACCGACTCACCTAATCGCAGTGTCGATGGAAGTACCTCGGTGATAACGCCCCCTGCTCCGAGACCCATCCTCCTGCCAGTCCACAGCCACCAAGACATGCCCGGCTTAGTGATCACGAATGGGAGGGTTAGGATGAGGAAATTTTCTTGAAAGAGCAGCGGATGGTAATGCGTTTCGGAAATACAATCTTTCAAGTCTTGATGTTTCGTATTCGGCAGTTGGATCGAATGAGCTCTTTCCCGCGCGTATAATTGCGGTTTACGTAACCAAGGAAGATATCGATAAGATCTTTCACATCGAAACTCGAGAAAAGTTGAAAGCAGCGGCCGTCAGTAATACGAGTATCGAATTCTTTGAATGTGCGGTTAATTCTTCTTTTTTTTTCCCTTCAAAAGTGGCTGATGCCTTGACGGATGGTGCCACATAGGTGCCCGCCGCTAAACTCCCCAGCCACTTACTCTACTGCGGATGAATTCGCCGGGAGAACAAGTGGCTACCGAAAGAAGGCGGAGAGTTACGGTGCATGTGCGACCTTTCACTTGTTACCAACAGCAGCAGCAGCAGCAGCAGCGGCAGCAGCAGTTTGTTGCAACCATGAAACGAACCTGCCTTTTAGACTTGTATTAGAGTGCTGTCATTGGTCTCACATTGGCGGGGGCAAGTCGCCAAGCCGTTGGTCCTTGGTTCTTAGTTCGCATATATGACGTCTGTGTTATCTGTGCCGTGACGCCAATGTCCGGTTGCACGAACGCTGCCCTCGAACTTGATTTCAACCCGATTTTCCTCCAATATTTATTTATTTCACTCATCCTATCCGTTTCATTCTTCTAAAACCACCATCATACATCGTTCGGGCACTCTTCGTACCCTTCACTCTCATCACATTGACAAATTCTCTTCCATCATAAGAATCCATCCATCTGACGCGTCATCATGGACTTTGTGAACAAATTGACTGGGTCTGGGAATAACTCAGAAAATCGTGCTGGAGAGAACAGCTCGGAGCAGCAGAGCGGCGGCGGCGGCGGCGGCTTCATGGGCAAAATAAACAACATGGCCGGCGGAGGCGCTCAAGGCGAAAAGAATGAAGATTTTCTTGACAAAGGTCTCTTGAAACTAATGCAATGTCTGCTACTCTTTCCACACCAATACTAATACGCAATCTAGGTGTCGATTTTGTTCAAGAAAAATTCATGGGTCAAGGCGATCAGAGCAATGAATCAGCAGCTGAGCAACAAAAGGACGAGGTTATATCTGACATGATTCGTGACAAATACAAGGGTGTCACGGGGAGCGATTTTCCCATCAAAGATAAAGAAAAGAATTACGGAGCGTAAAAGGACAATGAGCATTCAGATTGTCTTTGTTGGTGCAAAGTATTCAAGTTGAAACACGATTCCATCAGAAGCAAAAGGGGGCTAAAAGACTGTGTTTTGTCGTCCACCATGATCAATAACCGAGTAGTCCGGCTTATGGGCCTCAAAAGAGAGTGAAATGGGAAGAATTTGTATCCATAGCATCCATCTCATATAACCTGGCAATTGCTTTTTTTCCCATCCAATTTGAACGGGATATCCAGAACGTAATGTAGCGATCTAATTCGTATCACCTCGACGCTAGAAGATGTCTTCTCTTTGAACGTCCTCATCAACACACCTTTTCACCCAGTCCCAGACAACATTGTACCACATCACTATATTCTCTGGTTTGGTTACAACACTTGCTTCGTCTGGAAACGTCAACAGGCGACTGGGAACACTCTGAGCTTGCAGACAGTTGAATGCAGTCAGCGCCTCTGTAATTGAACACTGTTTGTCCTTCTCGCCGTGGATAATGAGCGTCGGCGGCGCACTCTTCCAGCCGTAAAAGAAAGTCGACCTAGCCATGTCGTTCTCGTATATCGTCTTTGGCTCCGGGTAAAGGTAAGACATGTCGAGTTTATCGAAACTGTCAAAGACAGGCTCTTTCGGCGAAAAGGTGACAGGAGGGTCGATTGTTCCGCTTTGCCAGATTGCACAGCAAAACTAAATTTGTAAATCAGTTCCCGCCCGATCTGGTTATTTCAATAGCTTTTCCACTAACCTTTTTGGCAGCTTCATGCGCCAGTACCTTGTTCACAAGATATGCTGAACTGCTGCTTCCCACAATGGTTCCCTTTTCGTTGTCCAAGTATGGAATACTTTGTAGGTAATCAATAAGAGCGAGGAGGTCTTGGAAAGGCCTCTCTCCTCTCATGTTTTGAATTCCTATGGCTAGGTTAGCAAATGAACATTGGGCGAGCAACTTTGAAAGATAGACATCAGCCGACGTACGTCGTACGAAATCCAGCCCATATCCACCGCTGCCAGTACAATTTGGCAGCACAACAACGTAACCCTGCGTCGCCCAAGCAGCAAAATTGGTCTGTTATGTCAAAAAGTTAGTATACGCTCACGTATCAACATGCCTTTCCAGCTACACATACCAGCAGTGACCACTCGTTGCTCCAGGCCGTAGCTGGGCTTCCATGAGGCACCAGCACCCAAGGGTACTTTTGATTTTCCTCAAAGTCTTTCGGCAATATCAACCAACTGTGAATAAAGCATCCATTGGCCCCTTCATACCAAAAGTCTGTCACCATGCCGGAGGAAAGGTTGAATTTGGCCCCGTTCTTAGTTGCCGAGGACACGGTTCTTACGATGCTGGCATCCGAAACCCGAACAACCTGCCACAGGCTGCTATCGATGAAATTAGACGATGTCACCAGGAGGTTATCCCAGTCCCCATTTCTCAAAGGATAAAAAGCACTACAGCTGCTGCTAGCAAAGAAGACCTTGGGCTCAGCTCCGTCTTCAAGCATGAGATGGGAGAGCGCTTGGTGGCCCAAGTGATGGCTTCGTAGGATCACAGAGTCGGAACCGCCCACAAACTCAAAGGCGTTTGGCGGGTTCGGGTCATCGTCATCAACACAGGTAACGAGGCTGAAGACATCAAAGGCATCCAGAGACTCAACAGAACCCAAGTATAGCCGAGTATTGTAGGGGTCTTCATACGCCGTGTAGAGGAAACCAACAGCCGACTCATCTGGAGAAAACCTGACGTTTGTAATCGAAGCGGGCTCAAAGTTGGTGGGTATGAATATCTGCCTTGGCATCGCCTCCGCAGGCAGGGAGAAGGAATCAAGGCGGGCGAAGTAGATGGACGTGGCAGGATTTCCACCTGGCCCACGCTCTCTCAGATTTCTGGAAGAAAAGACAATGCCATCGCCATAAATGTCAAACTCGTTGCAGGGGTTGTCGGTATACACGCGGGACGGAGCCTCCAAATCTATATCGTCAATCAAGTTATATAGCTGGCCTTGGAGTGTCCAGCGGCCGTCGTGTAGCACAAGCTCGTTGTACCAAAGACTGCATCTGTTCGGTCTACGAGATGCGTTCCACTGCGCAGAGCGGTTAGAGTAAGAATAAACAAAGAAAGAAAGAGAACTGATATGGACGGGGCTGCAGGGGTAACTCAACTATAGGAATCTCCGTGTCATACAATCTTGCTGAAGACCCTTTCTGGGCGACTTCTTGATTATATAACCCAGTGTCGCCGACCAGGCCCGTAACTACAAAAGCAACGCTTCCACTACTCAGCTCTTTGAGCTTTAAATTCGACACAGGCGCATCGATTTCTGCCGCCACGTAGTGCTCTGCAGACACATCTCCGGCATATGCCACCACGACCTGTGTCCGACCTTGTTCGACAGATCGTAGGTAGATGACGTCGAGCTCTGTGGTCGGAATCCACAAGGCATCGTGGACTCCGGAGTCTTTGGAAATCTGCTTGGAATTTCCCGTCTGGAGGTTGAGAACACGCAGCTCTTGAGTAGTCTTGTCGCCGAGTATATGCGCCGAGACTGTATAGAGAGCATGCGTGCCATCTCTGCTGGGAACCGCCGGGCTGCGCCTCGGGTCGCTCAGCAGAGCTTCAGCAGTCAGCTTCTGAACTCGAACCATGGCGATCAGAGACAGGAGAAAATGCTCGAAAATTGCTAGGTGATGGACTGTCTTTGGTTTAACCCGCCTCTGCAAGTGCGAAAAAAAGAGCTGAGCTGGGCCAGCCAGGGAGTGCTCATTTCTCAAGACCACGCAGTAGCAGCAAGCCGGTGTTGCGTGCTTCGGCGAGGATTCTCTGGTTACGAGGGCACGAAACGAGGCGCTGGCCCAGGCAGCATTATTTTTCCCGGGTACATCCAATTCGCCGCGCAAGTGAGGGATGCAGCAAATAGAATCGAGATGACAGACCCCCGCTCTTGGACGCGTTGGCACACATGCGTGGCACGACAGAATGGACAGAGGCTTGTAGGGCATTCATGCATTTCCCCAAATGCGGACGCAGGATTGCATGCTTTCTGGCGGGGAGCGAAGCCTCGTTCACCTCCATTGGATATCGGCCATTATTCTTGTCTTCCTGTTGTTTTGTCGTCTTCTGGTGATCATCCGATGGCTTGTTGCGGTTAGCCATGGCCGAGCTGCTGCTCTTCCATCTTGGGTTGTTCGCAAGCACATCGGTTCTGGTGCCGTCAGCATCAAGGCAAGTCGGATGATTTGTAGGGCCGCGGATGGCTGGCAGTATTGTTGATCTGAAGCATCAGCAGCAAACTCGAAGCCTTGCGGTCTTGATGTCAGAGCATACTCCAGAAATTGGGCCATTGAAGCGCAGGTTGCTTTGTTTCGTAACAGTTGGTAAAGACGCCTCCATTGGTACAGTTGAAGGTGCACGGTACAGTACGAGGGTGTACAGGCGCTTCTACCCCACGCGTGGACAAGCACCTTTTGCAGAAAATGCTGCAAAGACTCGGGAAATTGTTATCAGATATGGTGGTACTTCCATACCTAAAAGAGGAACAATAAATCCACTTGCAGAACGTTGTATGTTTAACGCTGTGATCTTCAGCTTGGAAGCTTGGAAGCTTAATAGAAATCGGAGCCGATAACGACCATAGGTAGATAGGGAGCGTAGGTAGTTATAGTGAGAATCGTCAGCCGTTGCTGCCCGCTCGGACTTGGGGAATATGCTCAGCCTACACTTGATGAAACGAGATTGTAATTATTTTTTTCAATTACTGTATCAAATGCAATTTTTCCCCAAGACAATGTGGCATTTGGTTTATTATAGAGCCGCTAATAGGCATACCAATAAATATCAAAGTGTATCAATTTTGCCGGTAGCAAGCTCTACCACTCGCACACTGCTGCCACCATTTCAGCCACCATCCAAAACAGCCACGTCGCCCTCCCAACTAACACCAACGCAAGTGTCAAGTCGGCGGCCACTAATTTTCGAAATACAAAAGAACAAGATCAACAAAACCAGCAAAATCACCAGCTCATGCTCGCTGCTATGATAGACCGAGGCACGCAACTGCTACTACCGTAGGTACTCAGCCGGAAAGAAAAGCCCTGGTCTAGCCACGGCCTGCCACATGCAACATGCCCTAAATTTAAAGATGGCACGAACACCTCATTTTCATTGGGAATACTGTAGACAGACGGGGGGTGCTAACAAAGACGAAACGACGAAACAGGGGACCATCATGGCGTTACGCCCGCTCTGGCTTAGACCTCGGCGCCGTGGCGAGCTGAGAGTCGATCGCCGAGAAAGCACTTTTGCTTCAAGCCTCGCAACCAGTTGCCGCGATCGTGACAACCCGTCTACTTCTTTGAGTCTCCAAACTGCCACTACCGGTAAGGAGAGGTCATTGTATACAAACAAATATGCCACTCAAGGCTTGGTTCAGAGGTTGAAAGAGTCTGGCAATGCTACATCAATTTGATCAGAAAGATCTACCACTGGTTGGGAAAGCCAGCTAACCCGGTTCCTTCGCCGCAGTCGTCGGTGCAAAGTAAACCGATCTCCCCATCTATCCCCACGTCTATTTCCTCTTCCCCCCCTGAAGACAGCTCTATTAGGCGAGCGACGTCCTTAGCCAATGCCAATCCCAATCTTGTGATGCGAAAGCCTATTTCAGGTTTCGGAGATAAAAGCCCGCAACAACGGTAAAGCCACAGCCAATCATTTACTCCTGGCCCCCTTGTAGTCTATGCTACGGCCAGATACAGTACAGTACAGTAGATGATTAATATCTGATTGCCGCTTCTTTCCTCCTTCCCCTCCTCTTTCCACAAGCTTGTACTAGCAGCGGGCGATAGCAAGCGGGCGAAAACAGCGGACGAACATGAATCGCGTCAGCTGTCAGCTTAACCCTTTTACAGGTTTTGGAAACGGGCGAAAACAACACTACTGGCAGTCCATGTGGGTGGACGGTGGATTAAACGGAATGGGACGATGGGCGGGCCGTTCTAATAACGGATAGGTCCTTTTGAAAAAAATCCTAGTGGAGAAGCTCCAGGAGAAGAGAGAAGAAAAAAGCAGTTCATGCATGCAGGTACTGGGAAATCTACCTTAGCTACTAGTAGTGATAAATAATGCGTTTACTATTTGACATATTGCTCCGCTTGAGGCTCTACAAACGGCAGACAGGAGCTGAAGATGTAAAAAAAAAAATCTACGAACGGTCCGATTGTAAGACTGCTAGTAATCAGATGAGGAGTCATCTAATTCAGAGTTTCACTGTAAACTGAGCTGTTCGCTGAGAGAAGGGGTAAATGTGCCAATGTCTTTTTTATTAAGAGGATAAACTTATCAAAAGTCTCCTCGGCTGTGTCAAAAAAATCGCTATGATGATGCAGATATACGAATGTAGAGATCCCAACCCCCCCCAACGACTTGTAGTATTACATTTCTCATCAAAGTTGCGCGGATGCCGAGGCTCCGTGCAAAACTCATAACCCACCAAAAGCCCCAATGACCATAGGAAACTCTAAGAAATAAGGGAAGAAAAAGAAACAAACTTTTGTCTTTTAGATGGCTCTTCTCGTGCTAACGGCGTCCCTTTCCGTGCTGTTGACCGAAGGACTGCCGCTTGCTACTGGGTCGGGGAATCTGATGTCTCGCTCCTTGCCTTCTTCCACTTCCACCACCACAGTGGTAACCAGGTCCATTTGAATTCCAGGTCCTCGTAGGGACTCCTGGCTAGAACCTCGAGGTATTCTCCTCTTCTCTTGCCTTCGGATACTGGAAGAATGTTCAGTCAGGCGCTGCCATGACCACCATCCACCAGTAGTCTTGGGCTCCATCTTCCTCCTTCTTCTGCCTTCACCACCCTGAACCCAGACCATGTTGCCATAACGTCGAGCCTTGGGTGTTTGCAGAAAGGCAATCGTCCCAACGCCTGTATCGGCGGCATCCAATTCATATTTCGACGCAAAGATGATGGAATGGCGAGTTGTTCCGAACAAAAGGCAGTCGAAAAAGCCGTTGAGGGAGATGAGCGCTCCCGCAAAACAAAAGTATCCCAGCGGGATGTCGGCTCCAGCCATGGATGCCACACGCTCTGTGGCCAATGGCAGCGTACACGTAACGTAGATTACTGGATAGATTAGGAATGCTGGATTGTGATCCGACTGGTGCCCAAGATCTGTGCTGCCGTCTGGGTTGGCGGCACGGCGACGGCGGGCTTGTTTGCGAAGAGAAAACCAAATGGCAATGTAAAGCCCACTGGTCACGCCGAGAGAGATAAAGATCCACAGGTAGTGGGTGAGCAGACGAAGGCGTTCGTAATCGGAGTTGATCCAGCACTGAATGGATTATCAGCACGTTAGCAAACCACGTAGATACAAGAGGAAGAAGAAAGAAGTGTAGTGTAAAGCATAGCGTTGGCAACATACCCAAGCACCAGCGCGGACAAATAGTCCACCGTGATCACGTCCGTTGTTTGTAATTGCGATGGGCAGCGTCGAGATGAAATAGACAAACAACCACACAAGGACGATAGTCAAGTACAGCAACCTCTGTGACGGTCGATATCCCTTGACCACGGAACAGAATGTGTGTATGGCGATGAGGGTGATAAACAGGCTTGATGACAAGTCTCCGGTCGATACGAAGAAACCTTGAGCCCAGCATGTCTTCGAGCCAACCAAGATGGCATTCCGGTTGATCCACGTCGAGTTGAGGGCAAAGGCAATCGATTGATGCAAGTCGGCAATGAGTAGGTTATAAATGAGAATGAGAAACTGGTTCGGCGCGCCTTTGAGTGGCCGGATAGGTGGGCCTGGATCCTGGGGGATATTCGCTTCACCTTTTACAGAAGCATCGTGAGATTCCCTTGAAGGCGAAGTAAAAACGCCGTCAATGCCGAGGGTGAAATCTGCGGCATGTTGAGAAGCCGATGCCTCATGGCCTGGTTGCTGGGCGTCTGGTTGAGTCCGGTTTTCTTGTTCATCCTCGCCTCGGTGTGCGTATCGGAATCGGTCCTCATTTTCTTCCCGCACGAATAACTGCCAAGCAACAATCTTGTAGGTGAGATATATGAAAAGGGTAGCTGCGGAAACGAAAGATACGCAAGAGAGCACAGTGATGGCAGTAAGACCGCTGCGGAGTGACGAGGGTAGAGGGCTGAGCGATCGCCCACCCATAGACAGGTCCCCTTCCAGCATGGTTTGAGTAAATGAATGAATTATATTCGAGACCCTCTGATAGCAATTAGAAAAGGAGGAGTCTATAGTCTTGATGTGTTGGCGGAAATCGTCGTCGCATGTCGATCAGCCAGGAGGAATTGATAGCATAAATCGATCAAGAAGCAGCCGGCTTGCAAAATCTAGGAGCATAAAATCACTGTCTAGAAACAAAAGGGAAAGAGGAAGGGAGAGCAACGAATGGAAGAGAAACAGGATAGGGAATAAACAGCTTCAGATCTTCACGGGGGAGAAGGGGTATAACAGATCTCTCTCCCGTTCTGCCGGTAAGTAAATACCGGAGAATGAGTTGTAAAGTAACCAGGTGGGTACTGGGGGATTATTATATCGAAGGTAAGGATGGAGGAACGGATGATGGACAATAACTAGGAGATCTCCATAAATGCTAAATAAGCACCGGTAGGGGGGAGAAAAATTGATATACCTAGTGCCTGTAATATTGAACGGGCAAGAGCGTATAATCTGTTGGCGGACTTCCCACTCGCATTCCCGTCGAATGCCCATGTTATTCCCATCATCCAATATCGGGACAAGTCTCTAGAGGTGGAGATGGCATGCTCAGGCTAAGCCTTGCGAAGCATGGTCTTGCGTATAGACTTGAATCATGAAGCCTGCAGAGCTAATCTGGCGTCTTCGGCTTGAAACAGAAGCGTCCAGGGGCGCCGAGACCGTCGGCCGTCTGTCTGGCATCCACATCGCCAGCAGTAGTCTAAGCCGGGCCCAGGGTCCGACGTGTGCAACCACATGAAGCGTTTGCTTTGCTCGGATCAAGTCTTGACAGCCCCGTACTCGCACAATGATAAGGCTCGGCTGGATTGTAACATTGTTGGGCCAGCAGAAGGAGTCTGTCTCTCTTTTGTGAGAGTTCACATTCACGGCCCCATGGTCCAACAGACGGGCGGACACCCAAGCCAACCCAGCTTCCCGCCACACCTCATAGTTTCTGGTGGCGCTTCGAGGGCCCCAGCAGGACCTTTGCCTCACGCCGCGGCAGCCAGCGTCAAGCACATGATTTGCTGGATATTGGGGAATGCTGGTACAACTATTTGTTTCCCCTGTTGCTGTTTTGCACGTGTAACATTACTCTTGGGTAACGTACCTAGTATGGTACAGTATGCATGCGATTCCGCTAATACAAGGTGTATGAGCGCTCGTCGTGCCTTTTGCTGTTGGCAGACGTCCAGTGCTAAAATTCTTCGCCATGGATGGTCCCAGCGCAGCCAATCCAAGCCTGTTCTGGAATTCTGTGCAGCCCAAAGCAGAGTTAGACACCTTCTCGGCGTTGATTTGCCAAGGCCCCGCGGCGCTGTCATTGGCCTTGGAGCAGGGGTCGCAGCCAAGCCAAGCCATGCATGAGACTGGTTCTCAGCGCCAGGGAAGAGGCTGCTCTCGCTCACGTGGGAAGTAGGAGGAGGCGGCTATCGCTGTGACCCACGCCACGGAGACATGGCTGCGGAGTCGATGCCAGCGGCGCCCTTTGCTCCTCGGTGGACGGCTCGCTTTGCTGGTCGGGAACCTGTAACCCGCAATCCGTAACTTGGCTCACCGTGGGAACAGCAACTGGGTTGGCCTTTTCGTCTAACATGCGCCGTATGATCGCAGCGTCTAACACAATGTGCAGTTTCATGCCATGCCTAGTACCTAGTCGCCGCTGTAGTACAAAACTAACATTGACGTGTTGCTTGCAGTCCCGAGTTGGTTAGGAGTTGATGCTAGAACATGCAGTTGGCTAGTTGCAGGTTGCAGGATCGAAGCTCGGCCGCACCGCTGACCGTGGCCCTTATTTCGTTAACATGCATCGTCCCGGAATGAATGACGAGGTTTGAGCAAGGACTGACTGTGTCCGCCATTTCCTCCCCTTGACAATACCTGGTACTGCTAGTACTTCTCTGTAACAGCATTTGTATATCGAGCAGCATGCAGATACAGGCGGTTACCGGTGTATGCGTCTCGATAAGCGCATTGCGGCGCCCGTAGGTCATAGAAGTGGTGGTTAGCACAGTGAAACAGCCAGAAGCCTAACGCCTTCCGGGAAATCCGCACGACTGACGGCAAGACGAGAAGAGAATTCGAGCAGGGGGGGCCGGGTAAGCAGTTGTGCATTTGGAGGGCAGCTAATCATGGCTGCGTTCCGAGCCTGTAATTTTATGAAGGGATTCAGAAATTAGGTTGGGCGGAGGATGACTGAGACTGGATCACGAGATTGTGCGTGTTGCCTCAGGAAACAACCTTGTAATATCGAGTTGGCTACCCCAGATAAAATAACACGCAGTACCAAGTCCGCAGGTACCAGCAACTGCCATCACTTCAATATCGTCAACGACAATGCAGACAAGGTTCCATTCAAAGGACATCAGCCTCCAGCCAATCAAACGTCAACGTCTCGCGCTCGCGCTCGTCCCGCTCTCATGGCTTATGGGTGTGGCTTGAGATCAAAACCCTGAGGCGCTTGAAAGCAGCTATGGTAACAATACTACTACTACTGCTAGCATCGCTACAACAGTAGGTTACAGTGTCGATACCATCTGGTCAAGTCTCGTCAACTTCGTCCCATGATTCCAGCTACAGGGCCGCCATGCATATATCCAAGCTTCGTGCCTCGTATCGTCACCTCCTCGATTTAGCCTACCGGAGGGATTCAGGGAACCTAGCGCGGCGCCTTGTGCTGATGATGCAAAACCAGCAGTGCCTGAATGCTACGCAATTTACGCCCGTATTCAATAGCCCAGGATGCTTCCACCCTATCATGAATCGGGAGAGACAAGATCTCCCTAGTCTGTGCGCTCAACGGTCGTTTCGTTAGGGGGATCGACCAAGCTATGGTCTAGCTGGAATACTACGGCAGGCGTTTTCGCTTCGAGCTAACACAATTTTTCTTTTCTTTTTTTTTTTCCACGGAAAAGGCTGCAAGAGCGTATTAGAGTAAGATGCGATGCCCTACACGTCTAGCCTTGTCCTCACATTTCTTTCAACCAGACGAGAAACATCTTTCAAAGGGCCGATGTATAGAGGACCCTGCATTTGCGGCTGAATGCGGAGCACCAGGCTATCGATGAAGGATGAAGGGGCCATGAAGCTCACCGTGCATGGCAAACCCAGTCTACCTTATCTTGCTCGCAGATATAGACCTGCTACGTACGGATTAGCAGCCTCGTAGCCTCGGCTCCAGCTTGTGTCGAGTTGGTTAGCAGTGCGACACTCCGTCCATCCGATGGGTAGTTGCATCGGCTGTCACAGCCATCGGCGCGAAAACAATACAAAGGAGGAATGCATGCTGCTGCAGCCCCCCCTTATTTCTTTTTTTGCAGCCTGCATTGATCAGCCGCAATGCAACGGCACCGGGGGTCTTGTTTTGTCCCCGCAGTCCAGATCTAGGCTCGACTGGGTCAAGCTGACTGCTTTCGATGCAGCTGGCTGTGGAGTTTCGAATGGGCCAAAGGAGGACAGGGCTCAAAATTGAGAGCCGAAGACCCTGTCATTTGTGTCAGCGGTATCCATGGCGTGAAGAGAGAGTCAATATGGTTATACCTAGGTACTCCGCACTCAGCCTGATGACGATGATTGAGGGGACAAGCCCTGACGAAGCATCACCGAAGCTCCAACAGAAAAGTTGGACGGACGGAGCAATTCGATCAAAGAGGGCATAATAGCCAGCCAAGGGTTAATTAGTGTTCAAGCACCGGGCCGTTGGATGACGCCGATATGGCCCCATGAGCAAAGTGCACAACGTTGCGGGTCATTGTGATGGCCGTGCTCGCAAGCCTTCCCTGAACTCGAGAGTATTCTATGTATGTACCAACAACATCGTCAATAACAGATCGGAAGGTTTTCATCTGCCTGTGGAATCGTGCACCAACATGAGCGCAACATGAGCACAACATGAGCATTGACCCTTCATGCAGCCAGTCGCACAAATCACCAACTGTACGATGTTTATGCTGTTGGGGTTTGGTGGCATAGTTGCATGGACAAAGCTTCCAACTGAAGATTACGACACCGCACAGGCTTCCCCACGTCCAAAGTGTGCGACCTGAACGTGCCTCTTGTTGACGTATATAACAGTACCTGTAGTTGTTGTTACAACAACTAACACTTAGCCATGAAAACCATTATCCCGCATTTTCTTTCCTTTTTATTCCCCCTTGGCCTCAAGACGACCCCCACGATCACTTCAGAACGCAAATCCTGGGACTAGACTAAGCTCTGTAAACCTTGTGATATTCGGATGGCTAACATGAGGCGGGATAGTCTTGGCCGTTGGTAGAGTATTAGAATGTCCTGCTGGATCGAACAGTAAATCATCCCGCTAGAACTAGATATTTAGACTCGTCCTCAAGAGCAACAGACTTGACGTTGGTTCAACGAATTCCCGATCTGACTGCTAGTAATATCTTCCTTCAGCTGGAGGCGGGAAGAGCGGTCACGCGTAATCCATGCGAAATTAGGACAAGATAGATCAAGTCAACATTCAACTCCATCCATCTACTCCTTTTAGAGATGCCTATGCAGAATGATAGTACTACCAGTGCCACGGCACGGGAGGCAGAGTGTTCAATCTCGGATGCAGGGGTACAGAGACGACTATCCGATACGATTAGCGTCGACGTTGGAATCGAACGTATACCATCTTTGGACAAGGAAGCGAGAAGGCAAAGCTCTCCACCTGGCTAGAGCGATAATTATGCTGCCGTCATAGGAATGAAGACAGTTGGTTGTCCGTTGAGAGGCGCCGTACCATAGAGATAGGGGGAACCGGTTGAAGAAAAAGGAACGAGATTCAGTATGTGTATTCGTTTGTTGGAAACATGCTTGAGTGTTTTGAGTAATCCAGCACTCCCAATGGTCGCTCCTTTGCATATTCGTATGAACCTGAATTCTGGCTGTAAACCAGACTGGGTCGCTTTTTCAACTTAGCATGTTGAAGATATAGAATATCCTGCCCTTCATAAATTATAAAGCATGAAACTCCGTCCATCTACCTGGTAATCTATCCCAATAATCCAAATGCTTTCAACAATTCATTTCACTTTCGTGCAAATACCACCTTTCTAATTACCACTCTGTAGCCTCTTCATCCTCTCTTCCGCTGCACGCGCCCTCCTCTCTCTCTCCAGCCGCATCTTCATCTCAGGCGTCAACCCCCTAGCTTCCTCTTCTCTACGCTCCTGAGGTGTCTTTGCAATCATAGAAGCCACTACACTAGCATTCTTGTTTCTCGCCTTCGTATCAGAGACCTTTGGCCCCTCAACGCGAAGCCTCTCCTCCTCAGCTTTCCGCCTGTCTGATTCCTTCTTGTCTGCTTCTTGCTTCTCTCGCTCGTCGCGTTGATCGGCCTCGCTCTTTGTCATAGCCGGAGGCACCTTGGCACTGTCCCAATCCCACTTAGCCTCGCTCAGCTCGGATCGAGCCACTCTAAAGGCATCGCGCGTAGGCCGGTCTCCGGCAAGTTCAAAGGCTGTCTTTCCATCTGTGTTCTTGAGCAGCGGGTTCGCTCCAGCTCGTGTGAGAATGCCCAGGACTAATGGCGCAGAGTTCTGTGAGGCTGCGTAGTGTAAGACACGTGGGGTGTGGTAGTTTTGCTCGGGAGGATAGAATTCAAAGTCTGGGCTAAGCTCATTCTTTGTGAGATATGATAGGAGTGCCGGCAACTTGGAACGCCGTACAAAAGCTTGCAGCTGAGACGTGTGGAGAAGTGCTGTTTCTTCCTCCTCTGACAGAGCTGGTTTCACTGGCTTAGGCGAGGCCTTGCTTTGTGCCGCTTTATCTGAATCTTTCGGTTCAGCCTTTGCTGGCACGATTTCGCGTACTTTTAGTCGAGTCAGCTCGATAAAGGATCGCATAAGCTCGTTCTGAGTAGCCCTCCTGGTGCTAAACGGGAATCCTCGTATTCTAGCGTCGTTTGCCTGGAGAGCCTGCCCTTCGTAAGGGCCAAACAATGTTCTTCTGTTCGTCGTTCCCGTTGCTCGGATGAATAATAGCTCTGAAGTGTCCAAAAGCCCCTTCCAGTCGTGTAAAAGAGCGCGGATATCCTCAACTAAAGCAGTTTCGTTATATCGACGCAGAGATGAGCCCACAGAGTGCGCCTTTCCCTTGGCATTGTCATTGGCCGACTGAGAGCCACCCTGTTTCCGTCGTGTTGTATATCTGTGAAAGGTCTTGTGGGCGAGGACTGTGGCTTCTCTGTTCATCGTCGTGCTGCCAGCCTTTCCAGCTCGTGGGGCCAGCGAGACAACCATGGCTGCAAAATGTCCACCTCCAATCATGCAGAGGAAGAAGTGAGGCCCCTTGTACGCGACTGGCGGCAGCGTTCCATCTTTGGCAGGCCTTGGCATTGCTATGGGCTCGAGCTGCTTCTTCCTGATAACGTCGACCAAATCTGACTGCCTCTGCTCTTCATCGGAGAATATGGCTCGATATATGCCGAAATATGAGTTCTCCGGCAGCAAGGGCGAGCTGAACCATATCAGCGGCGGTTTGCCCTTGCCGGGCCGGCCTGCAATTTCGTCGTCATCGCCGTCTTCGGTATTATTATTATTATTTCGCTTCTCTGTTAGCCTTGCTTGTTTCTTGAGCAACGCCGTCAGCGTCGACTCTTGGCGACCTTCATCCTCGTCATCCTCCGTATCTTCCGAGTCGGAGCCAGAGAGCGACTCATCCAGAGTCTCTATCAGCTTCTCGAATTCGGCTTCTGTCACGACGCTCTGCCCTCGCAGCTTCTGCTTCAGGTTGTAGTGGTGCAAATCGGACTTGATGTGGCTGCGCTGGTCGAGCACCGTAACGAAGGATAGCTTGCACAGCGAACAAGTTTGCGAACCGGCGATTCCATCAGGCGATGCTTCTGAGGTCTGTTTATGAGGCGTCGTGGCTTCGGCATCGGCATCGGCAACGGCATCTGCGTCTGGCTTGAGAGTCAAGCCTCCGAGGCTTTCGGGCGGTAGATCATAAACTAAACACGAGCCATAGCGTTTAGCATGTATATAAGAGAGGCGCAGCAATGGGCATCGCGCGACGCATCACGAGCTGATTAACAGCTAAAGAAAAGCAGTGATGCAACTGGACTGACTGATGCTTACCATATAGCGGCCGTCGCAAGAGCTCGTCTGTCGGGTTTTGCGCCATTGTACGGTGCCCAGCCCTAGGGTTTAGCTTTGCCTGTAGGTATGTAGAGATGCTACTTGCGAATCTCAAAGCCAAAGATCAACGCGAGCGCAAAGAATGTGGTGACGTGCGGTTAAGTATCGAGCATCATGACGCAGAAAGTGTTGGAAGAGTTGCCCCTCCATGACAAACACGGCTGAGTCAACCGGCGACACACAACCCCACTGTTGAAAATGCGCCTCGCTCTTCTCCATATTATAAAGGCGGCAGCCTTTTTTGCGGTGCCTGGCTGGATCCAGGGTAGTAGTGCTGGCAGTTTAGCAAACGATTCTTGGGTATGTTTGTTAGTGATGCATACGAAATGCGCCTAGCCTATGCGAATCTTGGTTTTCCACCAAGTCTATTTCATTAACTATTGTTTTTGTTTCCTCCTTGAGCTTTGTCAAGCTAAGAATGATGAGAGGCACTAATGCTCTAGGCAAATCGCACGAAAAAGGAAATATCCGCCGGTTCGCGATGGTTGAAGTTGTTTTACCTAATACATACACAGATAAATGAGGCTGCAAATTCTATTAGCTAATAGTTGCTTGGGGTTCCGGAGCACGTTGCCGTATTGTCGGGAATGCTAAAAACCAATAGACTTATATCATGGATATATAATGTCCATTACTGCTTACATGGCCCCATTCAATCCACAACCTGGAGTACTGGTACTAGTATACAGGTATGCCGCTGCCAAACAAATACGATGATAGACCTTGTAAAGCTCTCACTCTAGAACGCACGTGCGTAACGATTCTTCGGCCTTACACCGAATCTTTGGTTCTTCTAATCTAGATATTCTGCCAATTTTTGAAACAGCACCCTCTTAGTCTGTAGATCGGCATCTGATACCCGGATTCTGCTCCACCTCGGCGGCACATGCACAAACAGATGCGCGGTATTGGCTCTTCTTTGAACGCGGGGAGCAACAAAACAAAAGTTCATGGTTCGTTTCGATCAGAAGAAGCTAGGACAGATTCCGAGAACGGCAATGAAAAGTGAATAACCCTGCTAGCAACACTGCCATTACCACGCTGTGTTGCCTCACCGTTGGACGAAAATGGGAGGTGGGAGATTGACGCGGTACTGCATTTGCTGCATGTATATATTTGTCTCGGAGCCGTCCGCGGCACAGAAGAATGCCACCTCGTGTGCCGCCATTAGGATCATCGCGTCAATAAGCTTGCTGCATGCACAATATGACCGCCGAGCCTGGCCAAGCAGAAAAGTCGCCCGTTGCGGTGCTAACGCAGGGAGGTAGCAACAGCCTCAAGGGTGGAGATGGAGATGGAGATGGAGATGCTGCTGCTGTTGTCCCCGTTGGTGTTGCCGATGAAAGGATCAAGAAGCGCCAGTCGCTGTCCGATGTCTTTACCATTGTAGGTTACCTCCACTGCGGTGTTGGCCCTTTGTCAATATTGTCAATTCCCAAGATGAACGAATATTGCGTCGCACTCTCAAAAGAAAGAAAGAAAAAAAAAAAAAGGGCCTAGTAGTGGTAATGCTGACATTGAACGTCATGACCAATAGATCGCAGCCGGTGCTGCTCTCATTTCAGATGGATGTAAGTATACACTTCACGGGGATGCTTCTCGTGCTAACGGAGAAGCCAGATCAAAACAACCTCATGACAATGAGCAACGTACTCTTTAAAAAAGAGTATCCTGCGCAGTATACATCTGTCGTCAGCACTCGCGTATCCAATTCTTTGCTCGTTGGGGCTATTCTGGGGCAAGTGACCATCGGCCTGACGTGCGACTATCTTGGGCGAAAGACGGCAATCATACTCACCACGATGTTGATCGTCGTTGGCGGTATCTTGGCAACTGCTGCTCACGGAACTACCATTGACGGCATGTTTTGGATGCTCTTGGTGGCACGAGGCATTGTTGGGTTTGGCGTTGGTAAGATATCCACCTTCATGTTATTTTTTTGTCAGATATTTGAAGTCGTGCAGTCTATATGCATGCAGGACACCATGACTAACGCGGAGTTGCAAACATCAAGGCGGCGAGTATCCGGCTGCAAGCACATCGGCCTCCGAAGCCGCCAACGAAAGAGTCCTGGACAAACGCGGCCCAATCTTCATCCTTGTCACGAACCTACCTCTCAGCTTCGGAGGTCCCCTGGCCGTATCCATCTTTCTGATTGTTCTCTCAGCCGCAGGAGAAAATCATCTGTCGACAGTATGGCGAGTGTGCTTCGGTATTGGTATCCTGCTTCCGCTGTCTGTCTTCTACTTCCGAATCAAGATGCTCACGTCCAAGCTATACCGCAAGAGTGCTATCCGGCGCCATGTACCCTACGGCCTTGCTCTCCGTTACTACTGGAAGACGCTGATTGGTACTTGTGGCGCCTGGTTCCTGTATGATTTTGTCACTTTCCCCAATGGAGTCTTCTCTGGCACCATCATCTCGTCCGTGGTGGACACGCATGGAGACACGCTACGAAGCACGGCAGAGTGGCAGCTCTTGCTGGGGGCCATTGCTCTGCCCGGTGTCTTTTTCGGGGCCATTTTGTGTGACCGAGTAGGAAGGAAGAACATCATGATGCTTGGCTTCTCTGGCTATCTCGTCTTTGGCCTCATCATCGGCTGTGCCTACGATAAAATCACTAAAATCATTCCTCTCTTTGTGGTTTTTTACGGCCTAATGCAGAGCTCGGGTAACTTCGGTCCTGGCGATATGCTCGGGCTTTTGTCATCGGAATCGTACGCAACAAGCGTAAGAGGAACGTTTTATGGCCTCAGTGCGGCTTTGGGCAAGACTGGTGCCGCCGTGGGAACACAGGCCTTTACTCCTATCCAAAACAACTTGGGCAAGCGGTGGACCTTTATCATCGCCGCCATCTGTGGCGTGGTGGGGGTCTTGGTCACCTACTTCTTTGTGCCTAATGTCACTGGCGAAGATCTTGCCGTTCAAGACGAAAAGTTCAAGGCTTATCTGCTTGAGCATGGGTGGGATGGCGAGATGGGCATGAATGACGAGAAACATGTAGCGGCTGTGGAGGAAGACGAGGAAGTGGCCTCTTCCTCACTCCACGTCGGCGAAAAAGGCGTCAGGGTATAGTAGAGTATAGCAGACTAGACGGAAAAGGAAGGATGTGAAAGAGGCGGGGGTCTCAGACTACCTGATTTTTGCTGGCTGTCAGTAAAAGTGAATACTGCATGCTCTGTCTCAGCTGTTGTCTGAGGGCCACAACTCATGCCGTAATTTTCGCAATTTGCTTGTTGTTTGCCAATATCCCGAGGTAGTACGGATGGAGCAACGACGCTAGAACGAGTATGAGACGGTCAGTCATCTCGTACAGCATAAAGTAGATAATATACTCATGAAACTGTCACTGCCTAGTTCTGATTGATTGCCCAGCGAGTAGCTGCCGGCATGGTCCCGCCAAGACGGATGCTACGAGTAATACATCCTCACTCTTGTATGATATCAGAACAAGAACAAGGAAAGATGGAGATTCTGGGATATAGATCCTTTCAACGGTACTGGTTATGGCGGCTGAATACAAGTAAGCATCTTACCACGGTCTTAATGCCGGGGAGGCATTGTTCGGCCCGAGAAAACGAGACCAAATATCTGCTGGGAATGTGTGACATAGAATCTGCTTACTTGTACGAAGCTCGATTTGGCTGCAAGCGTATTTGCAAGCGTGTTTGCAAGCGTATGCTTTGCTTCGCCGGTACGAAGCCGTTATATTTCATATATACATGTACTGACGGGAACATACTTACTTGTACTTGTGTGACCGATCTATACTCACATGCAGCAGTTGTGATCTTGCGAATATAATGAAGCTTCTAAAATATGCCTTTTGAACTGAGCTTCGGCGTCATATCAGATGTCGCTTCGCCCGTGCCGCCTGAGCGGAGCAAAAGTTGCTCGGTCCAAGATGTCAGGGTGGGGATGGCCACCACCATTGCTGTTGTACTCCGTTTAATCCAAGTACGTTGCAACTTCAGCTAGTCAAATGGGCCGTTGCATTGCATCAGTAGCGACACAGTTACTATCCACTGCTGGTAGTAATGCTAGTAATAGCATGTGGTATCACAAATAGCTGTGTAAATTGCATGACCTCATAGCATGCCCATAGCCAGCCCTTCTCGCTCTCTTAGATGTGACGCCTTTACCCAGGGCCGGGTTGAAGGCTCGCTGGTCTAAGATCTTCATGCATGAGCACAGACACAGATGGGCGCTTACATCTGTGCACTATTGGCGCAAAATTGATATAGCCAGCATCAAATGTCAGCATCTGCGTCCCAGAACTTGGTCCGATGCTTAGCTCGCGCCGATGTGATCGATCAAGACCCGCTTCGAGGTCCCCGCATCGAGGGTCTTGCCGCTCTTGGTGATGTTGGTCAGTCGGTGCTGGTTGCGTGATGGCATGCAGTAGTTCATATCTACGTCCGTATGTATGCATTTTGCGGATCGATCGCTGCTTGTATGTGCTAACGGATAACATTAGAAACGAGTAGGACGAGATAGCATTGCTAGAAGATGACCTGTAAAGCAGTTTCCTAATGATGATATAGACGGCTTACCCAGATGTTGCTGACAATGCGTGCTGCCTTTGGCGAGCTATGGCATCCAGGCAAGGATCAGCAAAGCGTGGGCTTTTTAGGGCAACTACTTCCTCTTTCTATTTGCCGAACGACAGGGGTATTTCGGTAGGCAAAGATGCTGAGCGGGAGAGGGCAGTTGACAGCGAGAACGGCAATCGACTACGAGGGAGATCAGTTGACAGCAACAGAGGGTAATCGACAGCGAGGTACGGATATTAAAAGCCAGACGAAGCACTCAATAGCGACAGAAGTTAGTTGACAACAAGAGAAAGCATTTGACAGGGAGAAACGGCAATCGATAGCGAGAGACGGCAAATGACTATTTGTCCGAGTCGCTATCGGAGTCTCATCATGTTGTGTTGTGGTGTTCGGTGTGGAGCGGCACACGATATGCGAGAAGACAAACTGGTCACAACGCATGCTAGGAGGCGCAATCCGCTTCGCCCTTGCCTCTCGCTGTGGCTATACCCAAAGGAGAGAATTGTTGAGGACACGCACATATATCGAAGAGCTGGGACGGTATCGCGTTGCGTACCCGGAGACGTCCTCCAAGGCCACGCTCAGATGTGAGTGGAGGCAAAATATAGACCGAGACATGGTTGAAAAGACCCAGACTGGTGCGTTGGAATTCGGGGCGGGACAAATGAGAAAAAAAGAAAGATTGGCACGATGGATTCTCTTCTATTCGGCTCTACCGCATGAGCAAGGGGTATGGCATGTCGTTGATAGGTAGGGAGAGAGAGAGAGACATACTAAGGAGGGCAGATGTTTTGGTGCTCCGTTACTGCCCGGGCGCGTATTTATGGCTGTGTGTGTGCCCTTTTATTGCTCTTTCAGCGGATTGAGTTGTTGTCGTTGTTGAAGTCTGGAAAAAATAAGATAAGAGAGGTCGTTGCTGTCTGGCAGTGCCTTCCCCCTAGAATATATAAGGCGGCCAGCTGTCTACCAGTATTAGTACATGTACCTTCCCCTAATACTCAGGACATTGAACTGCACTCTTCATCTAGCAACTTGAAATGGCAGAAAAGATCACATACAGCCAGTTTGCGTGTATAGGCAGTGGATTCTCTGGTATAGCTCTGGGGTGCACTATCAAGCGGTGGTATGGAATCACCGACATTCGCCTCTTTGAACAGAGTAGCGATCTGGGAGGCACATGGTTTGCCAACCAGTATCCAGGTATGTTCTCCTTGGCTATATTCCATAGATCCACCTCATCGATATGTGCTGACGCCAACTCTTTGTTCCCTATAACTAGGATGTGCGTGCGATGTTCCCAGCTTGCTCTACAGCTTCTCCTTTGCTCCAAACCCCAAGTGGACCAAAATCCTGCCATCCCACCAAGAAGTCTGGCAGTATCTCGATGATGTGGCGAGACAATATGGCCTCCGCGAGAAGATGAGCTTCAACTCCCGTGTCGAGAGATGCGAATGGATCGAGCAGTCTGGTCGCTGGCGTATCACGGTCCGAAACACCACATCCGACACTATCCATGTCCACGAGTGCCAATTTCTCTTCAGCGGTTCGGGCGTCTTGGTATATCCTCGCAAGCCAGATATCCCAAACATTGAAAGCTTTGAAGGCCCCGTGTTCCACGCTGCCAAATGGCGACACGATGTTGACCTGACCAACAAAAATGTCGCCCTCGTCGGCAATGGCTGCTCGGCCGCACAGATTGTCCCAGCCATCAAGGACCAGGCAAAGCATGTGACGCAGTTTGTGCGCACCAAACACTGGATCATTCCTCCCGTGCAAGTGCCCAACCTGAAGCTATTCCAGTGGTTGTTCATTCATGTACCCGGATTCCTCAAACTCTCTCGCTTCCTCTTCATGATGATCATGGAAACCGAGATGAGAGCCTTTTACATGACCGAGACGGCTGCTGCGATTCGTCGCTCCAAAACAGCCGAAGCCGTGCGGTACATCAAGGAAAAGGCTCCCAAAAAATACCACGATAAGCTGATTCCCGACTTTGAGATGGGCTGTAAGAGGCGCATCTACGATCCGAATTATCTGACCAGTTTGCACTCGGAGAATGTCACCCTTCGAGACGATGCAATTGAGGAAGTGACGCCAAAGGGAATTCGCTCCAAGGACGGCCATACCGATGCTGACGTTATTGTGTTCGCAACTGGCTATGAAACAAACAGCTTCTGCACAAACATCGACATTATCGGTCGTCAAGGTGTGACAGCAGAGGAGCATTGGAAAGCTCTAGGAGGCCCAGGGGCGTACAACACTACGTCTATCAGTGGCTTCCCAAATCTATTTTTGATAGTCGGTGAGGTCTACCTTTTCTTCTCTTTGCTCATTTAATTTTTTTCCCCTCTACGATTGGTCATCGAGCTAATCTGTCATCTTTCTTTATCTGTAGGACCAAACAGCGCTACCGGTCACACGTCGACAATCATGGCTGTGGAAAACTCCATAAACTTTGCTCTCCGGCTAATCAAGCCCGTCCTTCAAGGCAAAGCGATGGCTGTGGATGTCAACCCTGATGCGGAGAAACAGTACATTGATCAGATTCAGACAGACCTCCAACAAACCGTGTGGCTTTCCGGCGGATGTTCCAACTGGTATAACAGGGCTCAGGATGGATCAATATATAATGGCATGTCGTATCCCTACTCACAGCCCTACTTCTGGTACCAATGCTTGTTTCCAGTATATAAGGACTTTAAATACGATGTAAGTTTACACCCTTTGCTTTTTTTTTTTTTTTTCCTTTGTCCGCTCAATATAGCCTGCTTTGCCCAGCAGGGATCCACAGAGCCAAGAGATGATCTTCTAACAAGCTGTGGCAGCCTCCGAAGAGCAAGAGGCCATCCCGCGGAAAGGGTTGGGGGGAAGTGATCCGATATTCGGTCTTGGTTGCTGCCTCCCTATCGGGGTTGAGTTTGGTGGTGTCTGGGACGAAGAGTGGCTGGGACTTGACAAGATCTGTGGAATTTCTGAAAGCCCAGGCGAGCGTGCTACAAAATGGTCTCGTGGAGTACATCAGACTATGACTTTAGAAACAACAAGGAAAAAGGAAGAAGAAGCACACTTGGTATACGTACCTAGGTGCTGCTTGCCTGGGAAACTACTTACCTACTCGAGATTGAACCAAGTACTGCACAATATCATCAAATTAAACAAAGACCTCTCTACGCTGCTTGTGCAACCACTCTGTATTGGCCGTCGCATCGCCACACGGGCTCACATTACTGTCAGCTTGTAATACCATCATCAAGGTAGGTGTCACAAATACCATCTCGGACAAGGCTCGCGGCGGCTATCTGTACGTACCCGCTTAATCCTTCGCGCCTCACATAATATCGGCTCGAGAATTACGAGAATTACGTACTCCATGGCCTTGTGCTGCTGAAAGCATTAGACGCGCCGCCAAATATTACTGTTTACTCGAATATCCGCTCGGCATCTTGTGCGCGCTTGCACTTTGCCGTGAAACAATACTCGCCGGTGCCTGGCGAGTATTGAGTCGGCCGACGATTAGGGGAGAATCGTGAGTGGCCTCGTGGATGCGGTGACTCGACCATCATTGGACACCGCCTTGGGTTCTTATCAGCTGTTTGCCTTTCATTTCTTTTTTTTTCCCTGGGTGAAACCTGGATATGACTAAACATACAGGTATTGAGAAGAGAACAGGATATTGAACTGCGATGATCCCTACCAGTCGGCTGCCTTAGCCACACTAAGCATGCATGTCTTGCTGTTATTGAGCAGCCTTGGCCGGCTGAGCTCATGTTTGCTATTGTTTGCTTTGCGATTCGCGCCAATATTCAGCTTCAGCTCTCGGCCCAGAGCACCACAACAGCAGATCCCCTGACCGATAGTGGTAATTAGCTTTCAAGCCTCTTTTTTTTGCTCTCGTCCCCTCTGGTTTGATTACATCAATCAGCCATGTGCGTGACAAGAGCCAGGGGGACGGAGCCGCGAGATCCAATCACCACAACACCCAGCTCCAGTCTGCGTAACAATGGCTGGGGACGATGGAGCTCACGAGGACGGCTACATGATGCGGTGGCCGTCTTGAGCCACCGAAAACCTCTGAGCGTTTCTGAGACACTGCCTTGCCTTCTCCTTCCCTCCTCCGCGATTAGCTGGCTGGGCCTGTCAATGCTCCACTGTCTGTGTGTTGAGGCGTTGCTAGATCTTGCAGAGAGGGGAAGGTGAGGTGAGGCTGGGCGATCGAAGAGGGAGATGGGATACTCATTCTCGCCGGTGCTTTCTCTCTCTTTGCTCGTCTTTCTTTGCCCTTTACCCCAGGTGCTTTTCAGGTATAAATAGCAGAGATCTACTTGCCATGTTCGTCGCTCTCAACTTTGACTTCTATCCATCTCGACTTTGCAACCTTTATTCTCGTCCTACTACCTAGTCGTATTTTCCCATCACTTCATTCTTCAGATTCTTCACAACTGTCAAAAGCTGCATTACAGGCCACCCTTCTCTCTCTCTCTCTATCTATCTCTCTGTGTCCCTCCCTCTCTAACCCAGATCGTCTTGTTGTGTGAGTCCAATCCAATGGCTTTGTGCGTCACAATAAACGCAGAGGTACTGGCACTAACGCAAACACTAGCCGAACAGACACCGCAAGATAGATTCTCTCAGTAGTGTCTGCCTCGCAGTAGTGGCTGATACACCTTCTGGAGGCATGGTATCACATAGGAAGAGGCCAAAAGCTGGTGGCCGTCAGAATCCCAACGCCGCTCGTAAAACTCCGCAAAAGCCCGAGGTGCAGCGGCAGTCCAAGCCTCCCCGTCTCGTCTGTGTAAGTTGTCGCAGTATAGGAGCGCGGTGCAACGGCGACAGGCCATGCTCACATTGCGAGGGATGGTTGAAGTCGGACTGTGTCTATGAAGACCCGGACTCTTGTTACCCAATCATATACAAGTAAGTTTTGATCTGTCCCCATCTATCAATGAGAAGAGGGAGAAGAGTAACAGAGAAGCTGACACATTCCGTTTTACAAACCTCAGAGTGAAGAAGAAAGACGTGCCTCAACAGGCTAATCAACCAAAGGCACATGACAACAACGACACCCACAAAGCCACCGATCGAGCTTTCGGCTCAAATACAACACAAGGAGTTAGAGAGATCGATGAACCAGGTTTCAGGACACAGCTGGATGAATTGAGTGTAGCATACTTTCTCCGTTCAAAGGTAGCAAATTTTGGAGAGTCATCTTTGGGCTCTGCCAGCCAGAATGCTCCTCCTCTGCCCCCAGATGGGGATGCCTGGGCATCTACCAGCACTATTATCCAACCACCACCTGGGGCGAGTGTCTCAGTATCCTTGAATCCTCCTTTTTCGATAACTGGAGATACTTTGGAGCTGACAGCTCCTTCAGTTACCAATGCGCAACCGCCAGCTGCTGTTCCCATGAGAAATGATGCTCCTCTTTCTCGAGACGCTGAGCCTCTGTCCGCTTCTCTACCTCCTCTCCTGCCTCCTCTCCTACCTCCTCTCCTACCTCCTCCTCCTCCTCCTCCTCTTTCACTTCCACTTCCTCCTACTATTCAAAGTAGCATCCCACCTCCTATAAACATTGGCTCCCAGCAACAATCTTCGCTTAAAAATGGATACCAAGGCGGTTCTCACCCGTCGTCTATCGAAAGAGGGGAGGGGCACACTTCCAATGTGCCAAATTACGCTTGCCACTTGGTTGATAAGAACACTGGATCTCTCAGACACGATCAAAAAGTTGCAGTCGTCGACATGTTGAAACAGTTTCGTTCAGCCTTCAATGATCCCAAGCCGGTGGGCAAAGAAGCGCACAAACCCATCATGCCCCCTTACGAGCTAAGTCTCTATCTCCTGCGCGTCTACCATAAAGAGGTCTGCTATTTGTTTCCCTTCATCTGCTTCTCAACATTTATGCGCGCCTATCGCGGTCTAAATGGCGATTATGGCGCCGCCACTGGCCTCTCTCCGTCTGCCTCGTATGGCCTCGGAGGCTCAGGAGAGGAGGCAAGAACTCATTTGCTCATGTTTCGCTGCGCCCTCTTCACGATGTTGTCCCACGCGTCCAAGTTCGCCAAGATGAAGGAGAGAGACAAAACATTCCTTTCGCGGGCGTTTTGGGAATGCGCGTGTGCACATCTCACGCCGGCTCTTGTAAAGGAAAACAGCCTGGCTGCCGTGCAGACTTTTCTCATTGTCGCCGTGTCCTTTAACAGCACTCGTTTCTCAGGAGATGAGCGCGGGATTCCCATTGAGATTGCATATCGTCTTGCACAGCACATGAGGCTGGATGATGACGGCGACGGGGTCATGAGGTCTCCCGAGGAAAAGGAGGTGCGCATGAAGGCATGGTACGGATGTGTTATGATGACTTCGTAAGAAAAGCCCTACTTCCTTTCTCTCTCTTCTTCCTTCTTTTTCTAGTTCTTTGCTAACAACCAACCTTTTCCAGGTTCATTCAATCTGGTGTAAACTTTCACTTTCCGTTAGCTTCTGGTGTTGGTACCGAGGCCCTCGTATCCGCTGATCAGCCCCCATCTGGCGGCATCCCTTTCAGCTTCTTCACCGGTTGTGTCGCCCACTGTGAAGAGCTAGAAAAGATTCTCCAGAATATGCCTAAAATGCGCAGCCATATCCTCTCCAAAGATCCTGTCAGCCCCTACGCACATGATCTCGCCGAGTTGCTCGGGATGCTCGCCAAGTTCCAGTCGGTGCTGCCGGCATCCCTCGATTGGACTACTATAGGCATACCCGTGTTAGAAGTTGACACCTCCAAGTCTGTCGACACCCAAAAAATAGATTCGGAAACTGTAGAGCCGCAAACGGAGGACTCGCAAGCATCAGATTCTCACGCTATCAATCAAACTACCGGGTCGGAAACAGAAACTTCGCAAGCTGCAGTCTGCAATACCAGGTATACCTGTCTCTTTTCTGCTCTTCTTTTCCCCTCAAGAGAATGAAGTTCCACGACAGCAGTACTAATGGTTCCATTCCAAACAGCTTCATGCTTATTCGTTCTATGCTCTTTGGCCCAATCTTCATGGAAGCATGTATACAAGAATGTCTTGCATCTGGTGGAGACATATCCACGCTGAACACTGCAAGAGAGCAAAAAGCCAGATTCTGTGCTTTGCAGTGCCTCAAGAATGCCGTTCATTTAATCAATTACATGCACAAAAGAAGCACGCCCGGGGCAAAGATTCGGGAATTGTGGTGGTGGGATCCATACCGTGAGCTATTAACCTCTTTTACCTTTCTTTCATGCCCTTCTTTATCTTTCTTTTGATAATGTTACTTTGTTTCTCGCTCTTGGTTTTTGAGGATATTGGCTGACCAAAAAAAAAAAAATATTCACAGATGTTGGCACCGCGGGTCTCGTCATCATCATGGCCCAAACGTCCGAATCACTGTGGGCTTCCTTTGACCAGACGCTTCTTCAGCAAGCTTGGAAGTCCTGCCAAGAGCTGCTTGTTTCTGACAGATTCGAGAGCAGCTTCAAGCGACACGTTGCTGAGTTTCTGTGGAAGGTCAATGGCGGCATTACACAAGGCCGCGTCTTGGCCAACAAATGTTTCACTATGCCGGAGCCTCCATCCGCGATAGAAAAGGGCAAATTCAAGACGTGGACTTTCGGCATCGATCCTCCGCGCCCGGAGGCTGATGGCATCACTAGAGTGCCCTATTGCATGGCTCAGATCCCCAGCGGATTGCCGTACGAAGACTACCTGGACTTTGAGATAAGTCCGCGCACCAGGATTGGAAACGTTCTTGCAGAGACGGCGGCGATGAGTGTCCCCAACGCTCTCAACGGTCGTCCGTCACTGACCCCCAGCGTGGACACGGATCTCGCTTTCACCCCAAGCACGGACTTGGACTTTACCTTTACTTCAAGCATGATGGAAATGGAGTTTTCCGTGGATCCAAACTCGGACGGGAATCCTCCTCAGCCGACTTCGTCTTCCAAAACGTCCTTTAGCCCGTCAGGATGGGATGTAGGTAGGATCTATCATGGGCCAGCCTCGATATCCATCCCAAACTCCTTCATGCCCTTCACCCAACGACCTCTGTGGACTGCAGATATGGTGGCTTGCTATGATCCGGCGCCGGCATCTGGCTCAAGCATGTTTTTCAACCAGCTGCCATTGACTGCTCGTATGGCATACAACCAACCAGTGCCGGGTCCTACTGCGTCGGAAACTGATGCGCCTCCTTTGCGGGTTATGCATTTCAATCCTAGCCTATCCACTGACCATGGGCAGTCGGCGTTTAGCAAGGATACTCCCAGCCAACCACATGCGGGCTACATTTCTCCTGCTGGAGCTGCTGCTTTCAACGGTGCGAACATATTCTTGAATGGACTCAAGAGGAAGCACGGGACTTGACGGTGGACGGATATGGAATAATGTCAACTACATGTGTATTTATGTTTGAATTGGTATATGTTTATAAGTCTATGTTACCTCCTGTTATTGTACATTTTCTATCTTTAGCATGATTGATGCAACCATTGCATCTTTCCGAGTCGTCTAGTATAGTTGTATTCTCGTTTAGTGCCATGCCGTGTCATACCATGCATTGTCATACCATCCCATGTGTTTATTTACCCCCCCCCTTTTTCTTTATGTGCAGCTCTCTCTCTCTCTCTCTCTCTCTCTCCCCCTCTCCCCACTTTGTCTCGTTAGTAGGGCTGCTTGCCCGTGCCCGAAACGAGGAGCACTACGCTGCCCAACTGCCGAATCACGTCCTCTTGGTTCACATCGTGCGTGTCTTCCACCTCTCCCCACTGCTCGGCCTGCCAGGCCACCTCCAGGCCCGTAGCCTCGGAGGCGTCCTCGGCTCCAAAGTGTCCTGCCTGCACAACGCGGCCTGTGCCAACGGGGCCCTCGCTCCACTCGGCGACGACCCTCGCGGCGGCAACAAAGCTCTTGCCCGCAAGCACGGCCCTCTCCAGGCCGGCAATCTCCCAGGCATCGAGCCCCATGACCCAGCCCTGCACCACCTCGCGAACGCCCTCGGCCTGCTGCTTGGGCATGATGGAGTGGCCGTCCAGCACGGGCTCGATGGTGATGCCCGGCCACACGTGCGTCGTCAGGAAGCTGACCGTCTCCTGGGCGGCCTTTTTCTGCACGTGCCGCAGGTCCTCGCCGGCATCGTTTCTCCTATCGTGGGGGCCGGCGGGAGGGGCCCAGCACAGCAGCGAGTCGGTGTCGAGATAGCGCAGGACCGTCTGCGCGATGCCGGAGCGGATCTTTGCAGACTCAGGGATGCTCGGCGCGGCGTCGTCGTCGATGATGTCGAGGGCGCGGCAGACGAGGCTGGTGAGGGGGATGAGGTGTTGCTTCGTGGCTTGCTGGGCGGATGTCAGGATGTCCCATTCGAGGGCCAGCGCAGAGGCGAGGTTTGGCTTGGAGAGCGGGACTCGGATGATCTCCTTTGTGTGAGGGTGTCGCAGGGGGCGAGCGTCGAGATGGACTTGCAGGGCGCCTGGTTGTGGGAGGAGTGAGGAGTTAGCGATCAAGATTATTTAAGAATAAGGGAACAAGCAAGATATTACTAACCGTCGACTTCTCGCACGCTGACTTCCTTCCAGAATCTTCTCGCGGCTCCCGGGTTCGCCTTGCCCTCCTGCGCACTTCGAATCTCCTTGGCCGTCTTCAGCAGCTCGGCGTGCTTCCGGCGGCGCTCCAGGCGCTCTGTCGCATTTCGCACAGCCGGCGTTGGCGGCTCTGGAGGCGGCCCCGTGCCGACAATGGGAGCGACGTTTGCGGTCCTGGGGATGCTCTGGTGAAAGGGCCTGATTTGCTGCGGCTGCGGACGAGGCAGCGCCCGCGGGACGGAGAGCGATATTCGCGAGGGGACTTTCATGGTCATGGATGTGAAGTCGAGTTCGGGTTCAGTCGGATTGAGGCTGAGGAAGCTGGAACAGATTAAAGACGAGGGCGGGATTAGACAACGGGTTTGATAGTTAATTTTCAATGGGATTGAATGCTTGAAAGGAGAGACGAAAAAACGGTAGTGCAGGTCATTGCATCATACGCATCGGCACAAATTCGGAACGGGGCTCTTTTCGCTGTGTTTTTGCCCGCACGGAGCAGTGCCCCCTGCAAGAGACAGCGCCATCCTGCCTTGGCAGAATAGAAAGAATTGTTCAAAAATCCATATATGCAAGAGTGATATGGGATAAAGAGGTTCTAATATCAAGACTTTTTCCTATTTTTATTTGCTCGGTGAGGGTTCAATCAAATAACTTCATGCGGGCGGCTTATACTGTAAGGTACAAAAGATTTTAGTGGCTGGGCCATTTGGATGCTGCTCGGTGACGTAGAAGCGTTGAATGGGGCACTAATGCAGTAAATGATCGCTGCTTTCTGTCTAATTAGATGCCTTGATAATGAATGCATCAAGCTGCCAATGCTCTTGAGGTTGTGCTCTGCGGGTGCATTCAACGGCAGCTATTGACACTCAATGGCATTATCAAGGCTCCTATGGGCACGTGCTGGAATCTCCGATAGAGATCGATAGCAATGTCTACAATTCTATCTTGCCCTCAGGCACCGTTTCTTGTCCTGTCAACTTCTCTCTCCCATATTGTCTGCGGCGGAGACTCGCAAACTGCTACTCATCAAAGTCTGGGCACATCGCTCTATGCCATCGCTGCTTGGGAAATGCCCTCTTGGGAGACTTGCTACGCAAGGTAATTTGGTCCAGACGTTCTACAGACGAGTAACTTGTTGGGCAGATACATTGGAGCATGACGCCCACTTCGAAAAAGAATACGCGTAGTCGGCTCGGCAGTTGAACGAAATGATCGATCATCTATTTTACTGCCCTCAGCGGCAATAGCCGCACCCCCTGGACTATGTCGAAACATGGACATAGGGTTTCTGAAAGATACAGGAATTCTGAAAGACACCAAAGACACATGAGCATCAGTTCGCCTTCTTCAATGCAGACTTGAACCACTGCTTCATCTTGATAGTCTCCTCTCCAATATGCCCAAACAGTCCCTCGACGACCAAGAAATCATGGGCTGCCTTGGGGTTGCTCTCGAGAGTCACCTCCACTCCTGTTTGCATGGCAGTCACTGTCTTTGCCATCAGCTTGCCCTGATCAGCCAAGATTTCCCGATCACCGACCGTGATGTAAATTTTCCCGACAGCGCTGCCCAGCTTGTTTAGCCACGGTCCTTTGCATTCCAAAGGCTCCGCCCAGCTGTCTGGGCCCTTTTCATCTATGCTCGTCCCATCTCCACCGGGCGGAATAACGATAGCAAGAGAGCGCAGGATATCCATTGAAATCATGTCATAAAGATCATTTTCTCGAAAGGAGGCAGCAGAGGTGTCCATACCGAGCCACGGCGATATCAGAAAGGCAGCTGACAGAGGCTCCTGTAATACGATGCGGGCAACCTCAGCATGGGGCTCGATTAGGTGATGGAGCAGCTGCACCGTCAAATTTCCACCGGCAGAATCGCCGCCTACGACGATATCCTTGGCGCCGAAGCCTGCATCGAGAATCTCGGACAGAGCGGCGGCTGCCTGGCGGAGCTGCACGGGAGCTCTCCATATGGGAGCGAGCGAATACTGCAAAAAGGCAACGGCGACTTCAGTCTCTGATTCTACCCCCGAGAGCACGTATGAGTTCCAGACGCATTCAAAGTGACCGGCTATGCTCGGCATCTGAAAGCCTCCTCCGTGGAGATACAGCACTATCTTGCGGGCCTTGTGGCGATTTCCTACCCACAGGATGCTCGAAAGGCCGTCGTCGAGAGGCTGTACATCGCACTGGAGCCGCTCCTTGAGGGCAGGGTCCTTGACAAGCCTCTCTTTTTGCCGGATCCATGCCCTATAGGCCTTTTCCGTAGATGGAAAAATTGTTTGGGCATAAAAGCCCCCAAGGGTACTAAACGCGGTCCTGAAGACGGCGCATACTGCATAGTATCGAAGATCCAGCTCATTCTGGAAGGCGTATAATAGCAAGCGAGCGAGCGCAAGCGCGAACGAATAGGGGGCTGTCAGCGCGGGGAGAGTATTAGCACTAGCACTAGTGATTGTCGGTAGTTGTGGTGGTGATGAATCGCGGATCTAGTTTCTATTCATCGGCATTTGCAGCCCCTCCACCCCTATTTCAGAAATGGACCGACTCACTGACAAATAGCACAATGCCTATCAACTTTATCTTGTCGCCAATTAAGAGGCGAGGTCTGACGGAGGTCGCCTTGCATCCAATTAGCTTACGAGCGATATCAAGTACCTAATAAGGTGATAGGTAGATATTGTGCGTCTAAGTTTCCTCTTACCATCTAACACGAGTGGGTGGTGTGGACCGATGGATTCTTCAAAAATTTCAAGCCTTTAAGTCCAAAGAATTTCAACACCGGCCGTATGGGTGGTGATGTCAACTTCGAGGGGATAGTTTAATACACGAAATCGGACAGTGAGTCGTAAGTCGGCCATCTTATACTCTTCACATGTCTTGCTTTTATTCCCGCCGCTGTCGCAAGTCTCTGTATTCGGCTTCAGAATCTCTTTGTCTCACCGTGCTCACAGCATTTCCAAGCAAACACTCTGCTCTACTAGCCAATGTTCTACGAAAATGCTGAGCTCTCATCTCCACTTCTCCATTTAGGCTTCCTTGCATACAAACAAGACCTTTCAACTCGAAAGATAATTCCGCACATTCCAGTTGGACACCGCATGTCTCTCACCTACGTAGTGTTCTCCGTCTGTGAACCCTCGCATCTCTGGGCAGAAGACACAACTCTGATAGAGGTAACACAAGTTGCAACAGCCCTGCCGCATCAAGGGTTCAACGTTGCGAGCAGGGCGGGCCCTCCGGCCTTTTCTGGCGGCCAGCATGAGCATCCTTGATGCATAAATCCCCTAGCGCACACCTGTACTGCACTGTGGATTGCATCTCGAGCAGGGGTTTCCTTCTGACAAGTCGCAGATCCAACGCTTTTGGTACAAGCTTTTACAAAGTTGCTCAACGTACATCGCTACCCCCCTTCCGACTTCAAGATGGTATTCATCTCTGATCCCGGCATAACATGGTCCGTGTCAGACTCCCTGCTTGATCATATCGTACGATCAACAAAAGGCTACGAGCCATAAAAGTAGTATAAATACTCCACCACTGGTGTGGCATTCAACGCGAGGAAAGAAGATGCAATGCTGCGCCGAGACAGTCGTATTCCCCCTGGCATATGAAGCTGCTACCTACCAGTACTACCACGACAACGAAGAGATACGGAATTATGTTCTCGTCAAGGGAGGGAGTGACACTCGACTCCATAGCCGCTCCTCTGAGCCGTTTGCTACTCAATCCTCTCCTCACAGTGCCCGCAGCCCTGGCCTTGTCCTTATCGAACTCAAGCATCCACGCTTGGGTGTCGTCCAACGCTAGTGGGACTCGGATTCAGACACTGTCTTCTCTCTTGGCAGTAGCAAGCGTAGTGCTGTCTCTCAACTCATATCTGGATAGGCAGTTTGCCAACAACTGGGTATCAGACAAGACATGGAACTGGGACGAGGAAATTGTTCTTGTCACGGGAGGCAGCGGCGGTATTGGCGCAAACATTTGTAAGCACTTCCTTGCACGAAATCCTCGCACCCGAATCGTGGTCGTCGACTACGCTCCACTCGGCTGGAAGCCTGAGCAGGAGGGCGTCCGTCTGTCGTACTACCAGTGCGACTTGAGTGACACGAACGCCTTGAAGGTGACATGTGAGCGCATCCGGAACGAGGTCGGCCATCCGACGGTGTTATTCAACAACGCCGGCCTGGTCCGCGGCGCGAGCGTCATGGAAGGGTCGTACGGCGACATCGAGGCAACAGTGAGGACGAATCTGATTGCGCCGATGCTGCTTGTCAAGGAGTTTATCCCAGAGATGGTCAAGCGTGACCATGGCCATATTCTGCACACAGGGAGTCTGAGCTGCATCACACCTCCGGCCATGGTGGCGGACTATTCAGCTACAAAGGCCGGATTGGTGGCCATGCATGAGGTGAGTGGGCTTTGTTACCATCCCAATCCCAAACAAACGAGAAGCACATGGGAGCTAACGTTGGGCCTCTTCAATCCTCGCCATGAGCGTATTAGTCTCTGCAACTGGAACTCAAAACCGTCTACAACGCTCCACGTGTGCGCCTTACAATGGGAATCTTCTGCTTTGTCAAAACGCCGCTCATCGGCGGAGAGATGAACGTTCCAAACTTTTTGTTGCCACTGCTCGATGTTGACAGCGTCGGCGAGTCATTGGCAAATGCCGCGTACAGCGGCTATGGATCCACCATCTACATGCCCAGCCTTTTCAACAGGCTTGCGATAACACTGGTCAGTAACTTCAGAGAGTCCCGCTGCTAAGTCTAGGCAGGGCTTGATAACGACGACAGAGAGGCTAATCAATCTTGTTTCTTCCAATTTTAGAGGGGTGGTCCGGAATGGATCTTCCGGCTTGTGCGAGAAGGGACGACTGCGTTCCGAATTGATTTTCGAGGCCGGCAACAACTCGATGCAGTAACTGGCAAGCTCCAAAAAGCGTAAAACAGACCGAGTAGCCTCTGTGTATCGACTTCAAGAAGACAGTCTCTTTTTCTGCCGCAAGGCCAGTTGTAAAAGGTTATCGAAGATTCTCCATAGTTGGAATAAGCAAAACGGGGGAGTTTATGCAGCCTAATATCATCAATGTCATTACTAGTGGAATCGCAAGCCCTCATTGGATCCTCTTATTCCTACCGAGATCCCGCCTAGATCTATTAAATCAAGATCCCATCTAGGCAGTCCCACAGTATCTAGCTAAGGTACTAGTTGGTACCTACTTTTTGAGTAATATTACCTACCTAAGGTGGGTAGCTGAAAAAGGAACAAGGTACTGACCGAGGTAGCTGCCGGTCATTCCGAACCATGGCGTTTGGATCGAGTCTCTCAGAAAATCCGTCTATTGCCATGCAGCCTGTCCCGAGTGGCTTCAGTGGAGTGCAAATATTGAAGAAAACGTGTCTTCTCAGCGTAATTCTAGGAGGAAAACTTGCTTGGCATTTGCGTCAGAGGTGTAGTCTCCCGATTGTCTTGCCAACGCATCATCTCCTGTTGGAGTTCTGACGAGCAGCATGAGTTTACAAGAGTGTGTAAGGGAATTATTTACTACTCGAGAAAGAGGTCATAATATCCCCATCAAGGAGTGTCGCAGTAGCTACTCCTGAGATTGCAGCCACATAGGGTATTTGGTGTTTTTGTTTTCAGCCGTCAAAGGGTTTCAACACGCCTCCAAGGGCGGGTTCATTCGCCTAGAACGAAAAGCTGTAAGACTGAAGACGATAGATCGTCAATGAAACACCGGACAGAGCTTGGCATGAGGCCGTCAGATCTCAATGGCGTGCCTATTCTATCTAAATCAAAAGTCATCAGCAGCAAACTCGTTTGCGTTTCGCTCGGCAGCTTTGCTCATATAGACTGCATTTCGTAAGCGGGAACACATCCCGAGTGGATGAACTAGGGATTCACTGCTCACCGATGAGGAACAATGCTAACATGCCAAAGATAAGAATCATAATGTCAACTCAAAAGGAAGAACAAATCCCTCCTGTAGTCGTGTCATGTGTCAGTATGATTATGATTATGGTTCGTCAATTGTCGGCTCGGCTTGCGCGTCGTGGTCGCTTCTTGGTTAATACGAACTGTCCTGTTGTTTCAGTATCTGCTTGGAAAAGGGTATTCGCATATTCGCAAACAAACAGCCTGCCGCTCAGCATTCCCTAGACCCGTGCGGCGCAAGAGTAAGCCGACCATGTCGTCGGCATTGTGAACGCGATTCAATCAAACGTGACATATACAGAGCAGCTTGTTCTGACTGGCGGGCGCTCATTTATCTATTTATAGGGCGAGGAACAGCAATGGCAATACTAGCATTGTTATTATTAGTAGTAAATGGAATATTCGCCCGGCTGAACGGCAGCAGCCGAATGGTCTCAAGATTGACAATTGGCGTCCGTCTTCGGATATCAATTGACCCTCGGCTGGTAAACAAGCGTTCAAGTGGAGCACGTCTTGTGGAACCAATATTGCGGGAAGCCTTTGCAGATCGGCCACAGCTATGACAGCTTTGATAGCCCTTGCGGGTAGCTGTGTTTGCCATTGCCATTGATAGTTTACGCCGACTCCATGCATAAAGAAAAATAGCCGTCTTAGCATGGCTGCTCAAATCTCGCACCAATCACCTGCGTAACTCCAAGAGGAAAGGCTGAAGTTCAACCACCGCCGCCGAGCTTTTTGGTTTGGTTGAAAAGGTGCTGGCAGCATGTCAAGATGACGCGGGAGGCTTCCCAGAAGCAAGCAGAGTGGACAACGCCGCCCCATCTCAGAGATCCGAAAACCCCGCCAAACCAAGACAGCTGATGCTTACTTACTAGGTAGTAGTTTGTGAGCCCCATAATATAGTGATACTACCAGCTCAAAGCTCTGATGCTCTGCTGCTGGCAAGTATTGCTGGAGAACTCGGACATAAGGTGAAATCCCTCCCTTGGCTTTCACAATGGTGGTGCTTGTACCGGCAGAAAAGGAGAGTGGCCACCGCCGCTTGATCCGTCTGGCACTGGCAATTGGCTGATCCATGAGGCAGCCAAGCGCACCGGAGCAATAATGAGCAGAACTAGTGGTCATCCGAGTCTAGCGCTGAAGCCGCAAGCTGCGCCGCGTGGCTCCATCTCAGCTTGGCCATCAGCTCCTCCGGGAGCTTTTCTGTATTCTGTAATTTTTTCCTTGGTATGGAGCAAACCATGACAAGATGGCTTTCGCCGATAATGGCTAGGAGAAGGCAGACGTGGATGAGGCGAAAAACTTATACAAGAAGCTGTCCGAGCCTCTCTCATCCTCGTCCTTGTCCTCGTCGTCCACCCCGGTCGCCTCTCCCCCGCTAGTAGTGAGATCGCCCCCAGATCTCTATCAATCACTGTTTATAACCGACTTGCCTTCTTTGCCGGGACCTTAGCCTCTACCGTTGCTCTTCTCCTCGCATATTTTTCTTCTTTTCCCACTGTCTGTCGAGGCCGATATATTCCAAGGAGAGAGAGAGAGAGAGAGACAGAGAGGAGACGGGAGACGACAGCAAAGCGCGCGTTGTATCATGAGGTCGACGACGATGCGCACAACTCTTGCGCTGCTGGTCGCGGCCCAGTATGCCGAAGCAGCCGATGCAATCTTCCCACGGGCAGAGTCTGGAGATGGCTACTTATCGATTCCCGTGGGAACAATCCAGAGGCCACACAAGGTCGGCAAAAGAAGCGCTATTGATGCGGTGCTAGAGAACATGGATTTTTTTTATGCCATAGAAAGTGAGTTCTGCTGCGGCAAAGAGAGAAGGAAACAATCGTCTTGGACACAGCCGAGAAGCTGTTATCACTGCAGCTCGGGCGGGTAGTTTTTGCTTACTTGAGCGGCGTCGACTCCGTCCTGAATACCGCTTTTCTTCTTACTTATGCTTGCCATCTTCGCTCCATCTCCCCAAGTTAGAATACGGATTGTGAATGTCCGATATACTAACCTGCAATTTTTAAACATCAGTCGGCCTGGGAACTCCTCCTCAGAACGTAACCGTCCTCGTCGATACAGGATCCAGCGAGCTCTGGGTCAACCCAGACTGCTCAAGCGCACCGTCCCAGCAGCAAGAGCAGCAGTGTCGGACTCTGGGTCAATACAACCCTAGAAGATCGAGAACACCGCCCGTGGGTCCGTTTGGGCGCGAGGAAATCAACTACGGCGATCCATCTGACTCTTCCACCCAGACCTCTGTCGACATCACGTATTATGCCGACGTCTTGAGCTTTGGTAGAACCCAGGTTAAAAATCAAACCTTTGGCGTTGTCACGTCCAGTGAGGGTCAGTCGCAGGGCATCATGGGCCTGGCCCCAGACGTTCGACGAGGATTCCCTGGAGACGAGCCGTATAGTCTGTTGCTCAACACGATGGCTGACCAGGGCGTCATCTCAAGCCGCGTCTTTTCCCTCGATCTGCGACACGCGAGCTCTCAGACGGGAGCCATCATTTACGGCGGCCTGGATCGCAGCAAGTTTATTGGCTCTCTGGAGGCACGACCCATTGTGCCTGGCATTCAAGGCGAGACTCGCCTAGCCGTCAATCTCACCACGCTGGGCCTTACCCTTGATCAGCCACAGAGCTTCAAGCTAGGGTCGGCCGACACGAACGTGATGTTAGACTCGGGAACGTCGCTCACCCGCATGCACTCGGCAGCAGCTTTACCCATCCTCGAAGCACTGGGCGCTCAAGATGATGGAGAGGGTTACTTTTATGTGCCGTGCTCGACTCGCAATGCAGCCGGCAGCGTTGACTTCGGATTTGGCAGCAAGACGGTTCGCGTGGCCTTTAGCGATTTCATCCTCTCCGCGGGTGACAGCTCGGGCGACAGCTCAGGCGATGGCTCGGGTGACGATGACAACTCCCTGTGCTATGTCGGCCTTGTCCTTACTACTGACCAGCAGATTCTGGGAGACACCGTGCTGAGGGCGGGATACTTTGTTTTTGACTGGGACAACCAACAAGTCCACATTGCCCAAGCGGCTGACTGTGGCAGCAGCGACATTGTCGCTGTTAGTAACGGGACTGATGCTGTGCCCAACGTCCAGGGCAACTGTAATGCCAACGCCGCCACTGCTACAGGCACAGGCGGTCCTACGGTGAGTAAAAGCCATTTCCCCCTCAGTCTCAGCCTGAGAGCATCTGGCTAACGATGATATTTTGCTACTCCAGGCCACAAGAGCGACCTCCAATAATGGCCCAACCGGAACAACCACGACTGTATTCACTGTGACCTCATGTCCAGTCTTCGACATCGGATGCAAAACCGGCGTCGTCACAACCCAGACCATTGGGCAGGCCGAGGCCACGGCCTCACCCTCACCCAGTGCCACCGGTACGGGGGGTGGCTCCGGCAGTGGTGGAGGCGATGAAGACGGTGGTGTGCGGCCTCAAGCTTTGACATGGGTTTTTGTCGTGCTCGCAACTTTAGCTTTGGTTATCAACATTGCATAGGAAGCCTTCCGTGGAGTCTTGGTCTTTTCCCTCTTCCCCTCTCTTGCTGCTTGTTTATATACCCTCTGCTTCGCATTTAGCTGTATATACGGATGGGCTGTGCGGCCGTTGGTTTTTGTTAGTATTGGGATAGATGACTTGCATACATTGTGTATACCATGCTCCATGTGCAAACCAGACGAATTCTACTGTGTACACTGCGAAGGAGCAGTATTGGTAGAAGGAGCAGTATTGGTAACAACAGCACTACCGCTTGCGCCTTTCCGCAGCTGCCTAGCCATATGAATTGCTAGAAGGCATTGGATTGGCCCAACCACCAGCATCCTCCTCAATGCCATTGTGTAATATAAGACATGATGTGCCACTGTCGCTCTGGAAACTCTTGAGTGAAGCGGGGCCACAGAGATTAAGCCCAGGCTCGAGGGGAACAGTCCCGCAGAAATAGCTGTCAGGCAGACCGAAAATAACTTTGCCATACTGGAGCAGCTCAGCGTCAGTGGAGATATATTTATGCTTGTCGGCACCAAGTATAAGCTTGAGCAACAGTCGTATCTGTAGGAAAGGTTGCGAAACGCTCAACATTCCGAGTAGGGTCGCCTTCTGTCCTCGGCTAAATCGCCTAGTTGTGAGCGCCTGTCAAAGTGATTGTCGTCAAGAATCCGAACGTCCGAGTGGAACTGCTTCGTCTCGGAGACTCGGACTACGGAGAGGCGAGAAGGCAAGTTTGAGAGGTCGGTAAACTTCGTGGTGGAAAGGCTCCGTCGGCACTCCGCGGAGTAGTCTGGGGTAACCTGGAGAATGCCGTTGGTCCAAAGTCCAGTTGCTGAACGCTACTCCGCACCGTAGGGCATAAATGTTGGAGCAGTGGGGCTCTAACGTTGCGGAGAAGCTCCGAAAACTGAATCGTGCTGCCTGGAAGAGGCGCTTGGGTTTTCTTGTTCCTGATCAACTGCGGAGAGGTGGTTTTTGACAAGAAGCAGCAGAAGAAGAAGAAATTCAAAATGGTACATGTAAAAGAGGCAATTCCGAGTTGAAGTCCTTCAATTGTTGTAATAGTCTGAGATCTTTTTCTTTCGTATCGCCTGAGTTGGAGAGAGAGGGGGGGGGGGGGGAGAGAGAGAGAGGAAGAAGCCCGGATAGTAGCTGATCCTTGCCCAACTGCCCGCAGATTCAGTGGAGGGAGCGCTACAATTACAGCGCAAATTACAGCATTTGGGAGCGGCGCAGGAACCGCAATAGCCGAATTCGACTCCCGAGTGGAGGTGCCGTAGATATGACAGACCTCGGATCTGCGAGGTTAAAACAACAGCTTACGGCTTACCCAAGCGCGTTGGCGATGTCGCTTTTTTTATCTTTTTATCCTGATCCATTCATGAGCGAGCCGACCCATTTCCACTTCCCCATTTCTCCTATATACTCACCTCGTTCATGTCTTTCGGCCTTTCTGTCTTTCTTCCTCCTTTCCTTCTTTTTTTTTTTTGTTCATGCGCCTTCTTCCCCTCCAATCTCACCGGCTAATTTTGGTTTATACCCCTCCTCCTCAATTGAGGCCTCTACAGGAACAGCTCTAGATAAGAAAGAAAAGAAAGACAAAATAAGACGAGAAAGAAAACACCATGGTCTTCACGCCGCCCTCATACATTCCTCAATTGCCAGGTTTGTCTCTTTAGCCTCCACACGCACCAATGCAGAAACTGCGCTTCTACAGACCTCGACCTTCAGAGACAAGCTAACTCGGCGAGGGCAGAATGTCCGGACTCCATCACCATTGAAGAATTCCTACGTGATGAAAAGTACGGCAGACGCCCGCTGGCCAAGTCCAAGAACCCGTACACATGCGGCCTCACGGGCAAAACCTACACCGCCGCTGAAGTAGCTGAGCGGACAGACCTGCTGGCGCGCGCAATTGGCAAGCGATTGGGCTTCAACCCTCACGAAGATACCGAGTGGGAGAGAGTTGTCGCGGTATACTCAGGTAACGCGGTATGTTAACAAAAAAAGGAGAGAGAGAAAAGAGCCCGCAATCCTCAGCACTCACAACCCATCTCATATCTCCTGTCTCCTGTCTCCTGTCTCCTGTCTCCTGTCTCCTGTCTCCTGTCTCATGCCACCCGCATCGCATCCCCGAACCAAAGCCGAAGCTGTTAGTCTTCAAGCTACGTGTCTAACGAGACAATTCCCCCAGATCGACTATCTTCCCCTTACGCACGCCATCCATCGTCTCTCCGGCATCGTCACGCCAGCCAGCGCCGCATACTCGACGCAAGAGCTCGAGCATCAGCTCCGTACCTCGGGATCCAAGGCCGTCTTCACCTGTGCTCCTCTGCTTGACAATGCACTCCAAGCTGCCGACGCCGTGGGTATACCCCGAGATCGCATCTTCATAGTGCCTATTTCGGGTGCCGACAATCCCGCGTCATATGTGACCATCGACGACTTGGTCGCTGAGGGCAAGAAACTGCCGCCGCTGAAGCCTCTCCAATGGGTCAAGGGGCAGGGAGCCAGGCAAGCTGCCTATCTGTGCTATTCTAGTGGCACTTCTGGCATGCCGGTAAGTAAGATGATTGGTGTTTTGTTATCAAAGTCCTACAAGAGACATTGTTGGATTTCAGGCTGAGAAGGAATCCATCTTGAAATTGCTTTCTGTGTTTGAGGCTAATAAAAGTCCCCTCGTCAAGAAAGCCGTCATGGTCTCCCATGCCAACGTAATCGCCAATGTCCTCCAGGTTGTCGTCTTTGAGAACGTTCCTCGCAACCAGATCAACATTGAAACGCAGAATTACCTTGCGGTATTACCGTTTTCTCACATATACGCACTTGTTCTAGTCTGCACCGTCGGACAGTATCGCGGCGACCAAGGCATTGTGCTGCCAAAGTACAACTTTGACGATCTACTGGGTGCCACTCAGCGCTTCAGCATTCAGCAAATATTCGTCGTCCCGCCGATGCTCATCCACATCATCGGCAACCCCGACAAGGTCGCCAAATACGATCTCAGCAGCGTGCGCTTCGTCTACTGCGGCGCGGCCCCGTTGGGCCCCGAAATTGTCGACTCACTGCTGAAGATGTTCCCGAAATGGCGTGTTGGTCAAGGCTATGGCATGACAGAATGCTCACCCACCGTCTGCACGACAAACGAACTGGACGTGCTTTCGGGTTCATCTGGCTCCCTGTTACCTGGAAAGCGGGCCAAACTCATTGATCTTGAGGGAAAGGAGGTTACCAAGTACGATACGCCAGGAGAGCTGTTGATTCAATCTCCAGCCGTCGTTCTGGGATACCTGAACAACGAAAAAGCCAATGCCGAGACATTTGTCCACCACGAAGATGGCCGCTGGCTGCGAACAGGCGACGAGGTTATTGTGCGAAAGTCGGCACAGGGCCACGAGCACATCATTGTCGTCGACCGCATCAAGGAGCTAATCAAGACAAAGGTACGTCAAGGTACGCCTAACAAGGCGTATTATATGCTCAAATCCTCCCCTCCAGGCTTAACTAACATGATTCCAGGGTCATCAAGTTGCTCCAGCAGAATTGGAAGCCCACCTCCTTACCCACCCCTACGTCTCCGACTGTGCCATCATCCCCGTTCCGGACACTTATGCCGGCGAGGTGCCCAAGGCCTACGTCGTCAAATCCGACGCCGAATGCACTGGCAAGTCCGACAAGGCCATCGATGCTGCCATCCAACAGCATGTAAAGGAGCACAAGGCCAAACACAAGTGGCTCGTTGGCGGCATCGAGTTCATCGATGCCATTCCCAAGAGCCCCAGCGGTAAAATTCTACGACGTCTGTTGCGAGACAAGGAGAAGAAGGCAAGGCAGGCCAATGGGGCGAAACTTTGATGGAAATTTTGGCTGGCAAAAAAAAAAAAAAAAAAAAAAAAATTATGATTTTGAGAACTGCAGCTGCCCATTCTGCGCTACGTGTTGGCCTATGTTGGTGGCATTAGCGGTGTTGGTTGATTGATTGATTGATGATTGTTTTGGACTTCTACGCACTTGATTTTGAGAGGTAGAATACCAGATAGATGGCATGTACTCGTCATTAACAGGATTTTGGATACCCATTGACAAGATACACAGAAGGAATACTTACAAAGGGATACTGTTGCTATTGTTTCTAATGCTTTCAAATTCTTGTTACTATGTGAAGCAGGTTCTAGCTCACTATAATACACTCGATTGCACACACTAGAGAGAGTTTAATCACACAAGAGACACAAGGACACAGTTTAGTGTTTTCAAAATGTTCATGGCCTTGGCAACAGCCAAACGGCACATGAATCTCATATCGATATTAATATTAAGTTGCCACAAACAGCCAGTCCAGCCAAGGTGTACCAAATGTTTCTCCATGCATTGCCTTTTTTCCATTGCATTGCGCGCGACCCAAGTACCCCTGGCTGTCCTGCCCGTATTGTGTTCGTAAGGATCGTAAGAATGATATTGCCCTACCGTATGAGGGTCTTTTTTTAAACCGCTATAATCGAAAAGTCCAGTTCCGTATACACATACACATTCCCCCATTCTACCACTTCAAGTGAAGATTAATACATAGTGCATGCGCCCTCCCAGAGGCACTTGGAAAACAAAAGCAAAAGCCCCAAACAATTCCAAAAGAAAAAAAAAAGGTTTTTTATTTAAGGAAATAGAGAGATCCTCTACCTTTACACTGTTTTACAAAGCAGCAACAGCGGCCATGATGGCGAGACCCAAGCTCATACCAGCGCCAAGGCGGCCAGCTCCGTTGACAATGGGGATACCAGTGTTAACGGGAGGAATGGGAATGCCGGTGCCGGTACCGGTGGGAGCAGCAACACCACCAGCAGGAGGAGCACCAGCAGGAGGAGGAGCAACCAGAGTTGGGGCAGCGCCAGGGGCGGTCTCAACAGGAGCAGTCTCGACAGGGGCAGCAGGGGCGCTCTCGACAGGAGCACTCTCGGCGGGAGCAGTGACAGCGGGGGCAGACTGCACAGGAGCAACACCGCTGGGCGCAGGAGGAGCGGCAGTGATGCTGACCTGGGGGACAGTGATGGCAGTCGAAACGTAGACAGTGGTGCTGCTGCCGGTGATGGTGCTGCCAGCAGAGACGCAAGGCTCGGTGACAGTGGTGGCGACGGTAATAGTCGTGTAGTCGGTAGGGGCAGCGACAGGGGTGCCAGTCACGGTGATGATGGAGGTGATGGTCTCAGCACCAGTAGCAACGGCAGGGTTGGAACCGGCGTAGCCAGCGCAGATGCCCTGGAAGAAGGTAATGGCGGCGGAGACGTCATCGTCGTTCTGGCCATTGGCATAGAGGCAGTCGAAGACCTTGGTGACGAGGTCCTTGCTGGGGCAGAAGCAAGAAGCATCGGCGTTGCTCTTACAGTGGGGGACAAGAGGCAGCCAGGTGTTGATGCAGCTGGGCAGGACAGGAGGGCAAGGAAGACCAGAGTCGGCAGGGCTGGAGCCAGAGTCAGTGCCAGAGGGAGCGCCAGAGGCAGGCTGAGTAGCGGCAGGCTGAGTAACGGCGGCGGCCTCGGAGGTCTGCTGAGGAGGAGCGCCACCAGTGATGGTAGCGGTGACGGGGCAGATGGTGGTGCTGACAGCAACAGTCACGGTGGTGACGACAGGCTTGTCGGTTCTGGCCGGGCAGTTGGTGACCTCAGGAGCACAGCTGGTGATGGTGTGGACGCTGGTGGTGAAGACGGTAGAGGTGCTCTGGAAGACGGTGGTGTAGACAGACTGGGAAGCAGGGCCAGTGGTGACAGCAGCAACGGTGGTATCGACAGCAGCAGTGGTAGTCTCAGCACCGGCGGGAGCAGTGGTGGTCTCAGCACCGGCGGGAGCAGTGGTGGTCTCAGCACCGGCGGGAGCAGTGGTGGTCTCGGCGCCAGCAGGAGCAGTGGTGGTCTCGGCGCCAGCAGGAGCAGTGGTGGTCTCGGCGCCAGCAGGAGCAGTGGTGGTCTCGGCGCCAGCAGGAGCAGTGGTGGTTCCGCCGGGGATGATGGAGGTGCTCACAACAACGTCGGTGGTTCCAACAGTAGGAGTGTTGTCATAGGGAGTTGTAGCGGGAGCAGTCTCGGTCTGGCCAGCAGGAGCAGTGGTAGTCTCGGCGCCAGCAGGGCCGGTGGTGGTTCCAGCGGGAGCCGTGGCGGTGTCGACAGGAGCAGTGGTCGTCTGGGCACCAGCGGGAGCAGAGGTAGTCGTCTGGCCAGCGGGAGGCAGAGTGTAGGCGGGCTTGGAGTGCGAGTGGTGGCCGTTTCCTCCAGAGGGGGGAGTGTAGACGGGCTGCGAGTGAGGGGGCTTGGAGTGCTGGGAGGGAGGAGTATAGGCAGGCTGAGTATAAGCAGGCTGCGAGTGGGATGGCGGAGGAGCATTGCTGCCGCAGTCCCAGCCGATGTGGTGCACCTTGGTCCTACAAGATGACTTTCCGCTGTTGGGGTAGACAATGGTCACGGACTTGGCACCACCGCACTGGGAGTTCTTGACGGTGGTTCCCTGGGACGAGCACTGAGCAGAGTGCTTGCAGGTAGAGCCATCTGGCATGCCGTAGTGGAACTCGAGGCGGCAGTCAAACTCGGGGGAGATGGAGAAGGTGTCGACAGAGAAGTGACCGGTGCTCTCGTCAGCAGTGATGCAAGGAGAGGTCTCCTTCTCGGAAGTACAGGAGCCGACAATGGAGCGGCCGGTAGAGCCAAAGGAGCGAGCACCTAGGAGGCTATCACGCTTGCTGAAGTCGTTCTCGCAGGACCAGCCGCTGAAACCGAATCCACCAAACTGTCCGAGTTGGCCGGTAGGGAACTGGCTAAAGTCCCAGCCGCTCTGCATGCTGGGGTTGCACTGGTTGTTGGTGTTTCCGGGGCAGCTGAAAGGCTTGGCCTGGGTCCAAGAAGGTCCAAGGTGGAACTAGATGGAGAGGGATGAAGGTCAGTCATCTGCGTATACAGGAAACAGAAGAAGACTGCGAAGAGGCCGGTAGATGTCTTACAGTGGCAGCAACTTGCTCCACGCCGGCCGCAGCCAGGAGAGCAAAGGCGACAGTCTTCATGGTGAAGGTAGTAAACGATAGGAGATCGCGATCAAGCGTCTGGAAACTGGACAAAAAAATATGGATGAAGTATAAAAATATCGATATGAAATACTCTTGTTGAGTGGTTGTAGTTGTTGTTGCGAGGAGCAGTAGTTTGAGGGATGCAAAGATAACGAATGACTTTGACCCGAAAAGAGAGACTGGTTAGATTAGGAAAAGAAAAAAGAGATGAATAGAAGAAAGAAAAATAACGACACAAAGGACTGATGAAACTTCAAAAAGACTGCAGATGGGCTGAGGGCATACCCATCTATATAGCCATATCCAACGAGGACAGAGCCCTTTGTCGGAGACGCTTTCATGCTGGGCGCTTGAGCAGGTGCAAAGCCTCACCCCCCTGCAGCCTGGGAAAGGTCGAGGCAAGAAAGCAGATCCCTGTCGGGCCCCATCGTGAAGCGCCGGGAAGCAGGTTGAGGCAATCTCGAGTCAGCGTGCGAGAAGCGGCTTCAGGCACGGCGTGCTGTTTCTGGCGGGACGACGGCCAGAGCATTGGATGGAGTTGAAGTTGCTGGACGGCGGGACTTTTTTGGGTGGTGGTGGTGGCGTTTGTGGTAGGCGGGACCTGGGCGGCGGGTACAGCGCAGGTACTGGCGCGGCCAGCACACCCCGATTGGGTACTGGGCAGCTACGCGGAGGCGAGTGTCGCCCTAAAAGCCGTCAACGGTGCCAAGACGTCCAGGGGCGCATGGATGGCTCGCTGCCGAAACGGCTCCATGGCTCCAGGGGCTGCGCTACAGCGTTCCTGGCAGGCACGCGGCGCTTCTAGTGGTCGCTGAAGCAGCCCCTAGAAGGAGCCTTTTCAGGTACGAGTGGATGGACTGGTGGCGGAGGTTACAGGTTGCTGGAAGCACGCCGCGCAGCGCTGGCTGAGCGATGGAGAGCACCGGCATTGAAGCAGCACCTGAGCAGTAGCAGTGCTAGCAATTTAGTGGACGTGCAGCTTGCAATCCACTCACACGCTGGATTTGATCTCAATCAGTCCACCTATGGGCTCACATGCCTGGCCATAACATGAGGATGCCGGACTTGGCAAATTAACAAAGAGCCAATGCCAAGGTGAACAAGCAAAAGATTCCGCAAGACCTGCATGGGAACGAATGAGCATAGAGCAGCTGGAGGCGCAAGAAATTGATTGATTGATAGGTCATTAATGCAGCATCTTTCCATCCCCTCTCTCTCTGTCTTTGTCGCATTAGTCTAGTATACAGTCTGGCGTTGGCCTTCGCATTGCCGTTTACGTGTGCGAGAGCCAATCAAACCAGGCCTCACTCCGCGAGCCGCCATGGCCCAATCTCCCCTAAAATAGCCAATATTCATGCACGGGCTTCAAGCCTCACCTGCATGGCCGGCCGCATCTGGGGCCACCGCATGGAAACACAGCGCCTACCTAAGCTTGCAGACAAGTTTATCCCGCGAGCCTAAAGCCCAGCCAGGTTAAGGCGGTTGAGCCCACAGAAAGCAGCGTGGGGCCCCCTGGATGCACTTACGCTGCGGCACCTGATGCGTGGGACAAGAAGCGTCAAAGAACTCAACTGAGATGAGAGATGCAGGTGTTGACACGGAATTGCGCCACCTTTACAACCTTTACAGAGTGCTTAAGCAACAAAATAAGCAAGAAAAGAAACTGTCACACATTGGCGAATCCGCACGTAGAGATTGATGAGATGAAACACATTCGGCTGACAGAATTAGTAGGTACTGGGCATATTCAAACACTGCTGCCAGGTAGTATCAGCGCAGTTATAGCAGCCTTCTTCCGTCTCTCACGGCTCCTGCTTCAGGTTGCCCGGCGCTTTTTCCCGCGCTAACCCCAATCAATGTCTCGCTACCGCCCTGTTCCCTGTTTCTGCTGCCATATGCGTGTCTTCCCCGTGAAACTCCCACCGGCCTTTTCTCTGCTCTTCAACTTTGGCGTCGTTTCTTTGCTGGTAGCCCTCCGTTTTATTTTTATTTTTGTCCATCTCCATCGTCCGTTCGTGAGACACACCCAGACCGGCAACGATCGTCGAGCCCGCACAGGCACGATCTCTACTCTAAAACGCTACCCTTGTCGATGCTACCCATCTATGTACAGTATGCATGGGCTCAACTCTGTGATAGCCAGCCAAGGACTCTGCTCAGATTGAACCGGCAAAAGACAAGCCGCCAACACCGACGGCGGCGCTTGGCAGGTCTGCAATATTATCCGAGAGTGCATACAGGTAGATAGATGCAATCAATCGGTCTCCTCTTTCACCACCGCTGGCTAACAAACAGAGGTGCCAGTTCCACGCTATCCACCAACCGCTATCCCAAACCTAGACACCGTCCTATCTGCCTGTCCCCGTTCTGTCCAAAGCCGTCGCCTAAAGCGTGCTTGTGCCTGGTCCTATCAACCAATCCATCCCGTGCCATGCTCCTCCTGGCCTCGCTTCGCGCCGGCTTCTCATCAATCTCATCCAGCCCAGCTAGTCTCGCTGTTTGTTGATAGCGGATGCCTCCATCGACACTGCCTCCGCCACTGGATCCCTGCCGTCGAATTGGGCCAGACCACGGGGAAAAGCATTTCGCCCCTGTTTGTTAGCGGATGAAAATCTCCAAGCGATGTTTGGCGGCCCCGTTTGCACACGGCAGGCCTGTCTTCTTGCGAGCAATTCAACTTACTTTTACAACGTAGATATCCTTACCAGATATCCCGACCCGGCACGTCGGACTTCGGATAGTACTAGGTACACAACAACACCTGGGAGCAGAACCACGGGATTCGCGAATATCCCGCTAGTTCTCGTCTACGCCAACTAGGTAGATCGGGTGATGCTACTAGTAGTTCTACCTACTAGAAGCACCAAAAAGTGCGAAGCTTGGAGAATGGAGAGTTCCCTACCCAGCTTCTGCAGCTCGGCAGTATTCTTTCGTAAGTGCTACCACTCTATACTACTTTGGTCGTCTTTCTCTGCCCTAATTGGGTTCCTCCTGAATCCCTGAAGCCACAATTCTCCTTCTCCTTACCTTTCTTGGCCAACATAATGCGTGCTACGCTGGGACAAGCGTGTATAATCTCCGTACAGTGCTCCGAACCTAGCACGAATGACAGATGATAAGAGCATTCACCCGAGCTTTGAGAGTACTACTCCGTACAAGCCACAAAATGCCAAAAGCACGGCACAATCACCTAGTTTCTTAAAAGAGCAAGTTCAAAAAGAAAAAGGGGAACCCATCACCTGAAGCTCCCTCTATCTACCGCAATCAGGCCGATAGAATAATTTCCCTTTATCCTTGCTATGTCTTGCTAGATCCTAGACAAGCTGAAAGTGCTCAACTTCTACACAAAGAATCCCGTATACGGTAGGCCAGCTGTCTTCAGAGTGCTCCAGTAAGTTTCAGCTTCCGGCGAGTATACACTGTCCAGTCTGGATATCCTAGCCAGACGCGATGACTGCTGCTTCTGAGCAACTTTGACAGGAAGAAGGTTGGCTCCAATCTTTGGCCCCACGGGTTTGCCCAGTTGTCAATCTCCAAGTCATGGGACAAGAGATACTCGTAAAGATGCTGTCAACATCGATCAGTTCTAGCTCGTTGAAAGCTAACAGTTCTTCGCCACTGCGGGTTATGGAGAAGCATTCGATCAATTTACACCAACTGGCCGTCTAGGATACACTCTCAGTCTTGTAGAGCCTTCCAATCTTCAACGTCCTCCAGTAGTCTTCCGCTACAGCTATTGCGTTGATGCTCTCTACTTCATAATCATCACAGTTCCTCGCTTTTGCAGTATTATTCAAGTTATGGATCGACAGTTGCACATCGTCGGCTCTCTCCGAGATAGTCGTTTGCGAATCCACAACAGAGGTCCGCACCCATGGTAGGGCTACTGATGATCTTCCACGACAATGCCGTATACGGAGTAGCTATGGTAGCATCCGTTACTAACAACGGGTACGTCGTGTTAACATGAAATTATGTCCAATTCTTGTTATATACAGCAACTTGTGTAAATTCTATCGTTTACTTTGCTTAATCTTGAGGATTCCCGCAACATGGCTTGCCAAGGTCATGTCGGTCTGCCCACGGCAGAAGAATATCCGCGACAACCCCGAACATCATGGATCCCGGTTGGGTCGCCCAACCAGAAGCTCATTTTTGACTGTGCCGTCTGCTAGTACCTACTAGCAAGCTCGCTATCAACCGGCTATCGATTAACAGTGGAGAATATACCGGGGTGCCATGTTGCTCTTATGGCTTCCAGCCTATTCCTCATACACAGGGCTGCTCTTACAGGTAGGTGCTCCGTATGCTATATACTTACACTCAACTGGCAGGACGACAACAACCTCTCGTGCTCATTGAATCAAAATGAAGCGTTGCAAATGCCGCAACGATCAAAACCAAGCTCTGTCTGGTTAAACGATAGCAATTTCCACTCCTCAACCAATAACCGAAATCTCGTTTCTTTGCAATCCAACGGATGCTGAAGAAACTCATACACTGATGTAATGATCTTAACCTTGTATCATTCAAAGAATAATGCGCATGCTGTGATGTCCGAATCATACGGCTCACTAACAGAGAACGACTCCATACTACACATGCACACAGCCTGCAGTCTGAATACTTTTCTTCAAGTGTCTGGCCGACGGGCGAGGTGACCCGGCAGAAAAAAGGAATGGTGTTTCAAATACGAGCATAACCTGAAGCAGCCATCCGATCGAACGGAGGTGGCGAAGCTCGACCCCGTCCATGCGTCGCTGAGCGGGCCCACAGGGTTGTCTGCCGTTCAACTGGGGCTACTTGGCTCGCGTGGCGTCGGATCGCCCAATAAGCGTCGCTCGCTACGGTGCAAGTCAGGCACAAGTTGCGATCCGGGCTTGACAGATGAACTTGGTTGCTTGGTTAAGCGTTACTAATGCCAGGGCCCGTCAGAATCTACTTGGCTGCCGTTAAAATTGTTCACAGTCTCGGCTAGAGCAACGCCGTTGCTGTTACGAGAGAAAACTAGGAGAAAAGCGAGAGATGGAGAGCAAGAGTTTGAATACAATGGACAGCCAATTACCCGCCTGGAGCCACACCGCTGCGTGGACTCTATGAATGGCAAGGTAACTTGCTAGCATTACCAAGGTTTGGCTCCATTCTGCATTGCTCTCATCCAAATCGCAAATGAATAGTTACATATCATTATGTTTATTTTAGACTCACTGTCTGTTTCTCCAAAAGCCGCAAGCGAAAAATCGACCAAGAATAGATATGCTTGCTCTAGGGTGGACAAAACCACCTATAGTATTGGCATCTTGCAAAAGGGGGCATACGAAAAGTGCCCTTCCAATTCTGACGGTGAATAACATGCGCATGCTTTTGCGAAATAACTCTTCATGCTTAAATCTTGGCATTGCTCTCTGGAGGGATGCCTCTTGCAGTTAGAAAAACGCTCGGGTATTCTCCCTGAGTTTATTACCCTTTCAAACACCGCCAAAGAAAGGCCAAACCGCGGTATCCCACGAGACTGACTGATCAGTATCAGAGAGGGGAGCACAAAGAAGTTCTTACAGCAAACGTTGCCCCCCTCGATTATACTAACCTTCCTACAGGTGTAGTTCTGCTTCAAAACTCTTTTGCCACCCGATGCCCATCGTCATCGTGGTCTTGCAGCAATCTGTCAAGAAATCGCGACTTTTTACTAGGAGACGAAACCAAACGACTCTTACAAATGCTGTCTCCCTGGCAAAATCTATCCCACAAGGAGAGCACGATTCCAGCATGCCTCCTATAACATATTATTTTCTTTTGCTGTACACATTATTAGCCGAGTTACCGCATCGCACCCGAGGGACTCCGACGTTGCACACGCGACAACCTGCCATGTGCCGCAATAAACAGAGTTTGGTCAATGGCTATGCACATCTTTCAATGTAGGGCAAGTTGCTGCGCTGAGCTGCAAGTCAGTGAACATCTTTTTCCTGTTATTGTAGCTCAAATGTGCTCGGTAACAAACCACAAATGATAGATGTACAAGGGTATGTTTCGAGACTCGCTGTGTGATGCTCATTGATCTCGGATTGGTGGTTCGTCCTAAACATTCGTGACGCTCGTGATGCACTCGATTCGGCGACTAAGGAGCAAGCTTGCAGGGTTGCATAGCTATCTATCTGAGTCGTAGGCGTGGTACTCGCCAACGCATCTTTCATTCATTAGTAGTGGGTTTGAGATTCTTATAAGTGTATTAACGCTATTGGCTCCTGTTAGATGAAGGTGGCCGTTGCTCCCATTCTCTCAATCCATAATGCAAAGCATTACAAAGGTGGTTTACATGTTTAGATGGGTCGCAGCTTGAACAATTTCTCGTGGGCCATCTGGATAGCTCACTCAATCGAGATTCAATGCCTTGTTTCAAAGCATAGAGGCCCTTGACAGCCCTCGAACACAACAATAACAACACGCTAATCACATCAACATTGTAAAGGCAAAGGCAATAATATGCTATGTTGCTCCACTGAGTTGTACAAGCAAGTCATGGCCCGGCTATGATTGTCGAGATGACTGACTTTCCTCGAATGCAAGTTGATCATACTGCTTTACGAGATTTTCAAGCCGCGCACCATCGGGATCTGCTTCTTTGCTTCCCATTGTCAAGGGGTAATGAGACTGGGCGTATTGTATCAGCAGAGGCTCTTCGGGAGCAAGCGGGTCCCAATCTACATGATTTTGCAGAAGCTCTAAGTCTTTGGGCTCAAGTCGATCCCGCAACAGTCGGTAGATGACAGAGGTAAGGTGGATGTGCTGGCCCTGCTCATACAGCCCTTTGAGGCTCAAGATAATTGTCGACTTTAGGGACCTGGCAGTGCTCGCTTCATGAGCAGGAGTTACTTTCAGCGCGTCCATGGCGGCGCCAGCTACGAATGATAGGTGGATCGTCAAAAAGGAGTCGCAGTATTCGAAGCTGTGGCGGATGAAGTAGAGCCGCGTGACGGTCTCGAGACGAGAGGCTGCATGAGAAGCAGTACTAAACGCCGTTTCTTTCTTGATGATCGAAGACTCCGAGATACCAGTTTGCTTCGAAGAAAACAGGATAGTGGCTAAGTACATCTCCATACTTGATAAATTCCCCTGTCAGCATCCAATCAAACTCATCGGCTTGGAGTAATAAGCAAAGGGGGAAGATAGGGAATGGAAGAGGTATAGAAGCATATGATGGAAGTGTAGAACAAGAAAAGCTTACTGCAATTTGAGCTGCCATGGAAAGACAATATTTTGAGGAGATAGCGCGGTAGGTAATTCCGAAAACCACTTCTCCAGTCTCGAAAATATAGACAAAACGGGTTCTGAAGAGTCTTCGGGATATGGAGTCTCATCATAGCCACATGCGGCCATGTCGTGGATGATTGCACGCAAACCAGATACTGCCTTGAAGTGTTGTCCGCATTGCGCCGGGATGAGCGTCGGACTTAGTGGGTATTTGAGCATGAAATCTCCATACCAAAACGGATGCTTCTCTGGATCAGGTAATGGTATGGCTGGCGGATCTGTGATCAAGGGAGGCCGATAGTAGTAATACGATTGTACACTACCGTTGAGATTGGAGCAGCGTATTAGTGGGTGGCTG